AATGGTCACTATATGTTTTGAAACATATAGACGTTTTGTCTACAATTGAACAAGTCAATAATGACTCTCTTAACTTCAGCTGCCGCTCAACCGAGCGAACAAGTATATTAAAGTGAGATAGATAGAACCTCGAAGATAAAGTAGTCAAAGCCAACTCGCCATCTCCTACTGATACCAAGAACATGAACCCTCAAGAAATAAGAATAAATTACATTTTTTCTTCTCTTTCTTCTTCAACTTCTATCCAGAACACCAGAGACAGATTGACAAGCAGACATTTTATGTACATGTATGATGTATATGAAACAGTCCACTTTTCAGAAATGACTGCTTACTCATATGTATAAATCCAGATTTTATCAAGATCAATGGTCGGTGGCCATTTTATCAAAAAAGACAGACAACAGAACATATTAACTATTGACCTCATTGTCACTCATCGTTTTCTTTTCTTTTTTCTTTTTTGATGTCCCGATAAAAATGACACGTGTGTCAATATCTCTTCATTGACACACTATGCCATTACATCATCATCAGTGTTTAAGTGATGGAAATGGCCAGTTGTCTTTGTATTTTATATATACCGTTTTTTTTTTCTAACCATAATTCCGGTGTTAATGTGATCAAGATAAGATAGCGCATACGTTTCGCATTTTTCACCTTTACTTTCTCTACTCTAATGTCCATTTCCGTTGTCCAAGTGGTTAGTTAAGACTCATATAAGCCCAAGAGGCGCCGGTCACTTTACTCATTGATGCGAATAGCACGTCTTCCGTACTCAATCACATTTACTTTCTCTCTTTTTCTCCTTACAGGCGTTAGTCAAAATAAAAAATGAGAATGATAATGATAGTGATGATGTTCAAAATGATGGTGATGGGTACGATTAGACTTCGTTCCTATTAATTTTCTCATACAACACCCATATAGATACACACCTGTGTCAAGGGACATCGAAATGAAGAAAGTGAGCCTTCTCGTTGTCACTTACTTGAACTCCATTAGAGTGTGACGTAAGATGAAAGGAAAAAAAAAGATAATGAAAAGAGATATCAGGAAGCCTGAGAATGAAAATGAATTGTGTAACATCTTGTTACTATATGATGATCATCTGAACTGTATATAGTATGTATGTGGTAGAGAGCCTTGCGGGCAGCCTTCTTATTTTTTTTTTAATACAACATTGTAATTAGATCGTCGTCTGTCGATAAGTGAATCATTTCGATTTCCAATCGATGCACGTGTTACTTTTATTACAAGCTCTCATATTTAATTCATTCAAAACGAACTGGGTGGAGCATTAAATCAACCAACTGAACATAAGACATATATAAAACATCTCAATTAGATAGGCACCAGTAGCAGCAGCAGTAGCAATAGTAACATACGATGGTCAATTTACTTTAAAGATTGAATTAGATTTTGCTAGGCGAACATATGATATGCACACATGTCACATTTCTCATTTTACAACAACAACACATGACTAAAAAATAGAGCGTCTAGCATTCGAGTGTGACTATAGAAAAAGTATGAGCAGACGCGTGCGTGTTTATGTAAAGAAGAATAGATAAAGTCATAAAAGAAAAGAAGATACAAGCATCTATTTTGTAGTCAATTTTTGTGACAAACATAATGATAAAAGTTTGGTTGGCATGTAGTACGATTAACGATCACGAAATAGGCATACCAATGGGGACGATACAACATATAAATACACAATCTATTTGTCGTTGTGTGACCGAAGGACATAACACAGACGTCATTATGTTAAATTGTGTCACACCTATTCTTTCTTTTTACTAACATGAAATTTTTCTGTATTTAGTCATATAGTAGAAAATTACGATGAAGACCGTCATTATCATTATCATCATTGATTGTATTCTTTTATTATTTTGAAGATGACATCATCATTTTTTTTTATGTAACCTTATAAAATAACTGGACATATAATAATAGAAGACTAATTAATAAATGGAGAACAATTCATATCATTTCCGACTTTTTATATATTTTCCGGTAGATGACCTTCTGTAAAATATGTCAAGATTCTACTTGGACTTTGAACAAGCGGTCAAGATGATTACACATCAAAGTTTTACGAAAAAAAAAAAATCTTATTTACAACATACAATTAATTGTATAGTCTGAATGTGTAGGGATTTCTTTACAAAATTCTCGTGTAGGCTTACAGGTGTTTAATAGATTTAATAAGCGTTAGATGATAAACATAGAAAAAGATTCATTTTCATCTAAAAATATGACAATAGCCTTCGACAAATATATCTTCTAAATAGTTTTGTTCGATGAAGTAAAAAATAATTTCCTGCCTATTGAATATGCAATAGTAAATGCAGTTATTATATTCTTCCTGGAAACATAGTTCAACATTTAAATTAAATTTTTCTTTAATGAACACTATCCATGGAAAGGATCGAATATCAAGTAAAGAGAAGAAAATGTTTATATGTGAACATTATATATGAGTAGATTTTCTCTTATGACTCTTTTACGTTGTCGCACATAATCGTGTTAAACGATATTGATCTCCCATGGATTCATCATAAATGTAACACGAGATAATAGGAAGCGACTAATCTGGGAAAAATGTGATAAGAATGTTCTATCCGTTTATGACACTTACAAATAAGTCAATCATTTAACAATCAATAACTTCTGATAAACGATGTAAAGTTGTTCAATGCCACTGGATAATGAAAGAAAACAAATGGATTGCTTGTGTCAGCAAAACTTATTTTGTGTGAATTGATGTGTATGATATATTTTTTTGCTATTTTTTTTCCTTCATTTATTCTTAATATTCCTATTTTCTTAACATTTTTTTTTTTCATTTAAGATATGTTTTACTGATAACGCCACAGGCGCACTCTGATGCATCAGACGACCTGATTTACACATTTTGACGACCTTCAAAAATAGTCTAAATGTGTTTAATAGCTATTCTGTTGTCAAAACCATAAAAGTTCATTATGAAAACTATTCTCGACTTGTTTTTCTAAATATCCAAATGGCGTAAATAATATTTATAGTGAATGCATTAGGAAATGGAAAATCTGTCATGTCGATGCGCGTGCTTTATTAGAAATGAAATTACATATTAATTATTATCTATTGATAGTAACCATTTTTTTTGAAAGAATTTATCTGTAAACTGATATATGCTAAGCATTTATTTATGGAGTAGATTTACGAGAGGTATTAAATTTATCGTTCTTTGAAAAAGATAAGAATATAATATGAATGATTTCGACAAAAAAAAAGGTTTTCAAAAAAAAAAAAGCAAATTATTGTTATTTCTACATGCAACGTTGCATGATGAAATAATATCTATATTGCAGAAACATTTAGAATAGCTAATTTAATACAATATTTATAATGAAATTTAATTGGATATGATTAAAACGACTATAATAAAGATTTAAAACGAAACTTTAAATTAGAAAAATAATTTTGTTTTATTAAGAAGATGAAGTTGTTGTCGAAGAGAAATAATGCTATTTTAAGAAACGAACCGGAAAGTTCGACGGAAACCTTATTTTATCTCGATTGTCAAGTGTGTTTTGAATAGTGGAAAACCAGAAGTTATGTAAATATATCATTTAATGTTTTTTGAATCTTTAAAACTATCCTGAAAATAATCTCACTATGACATTTATCAATCATATACAGCATTTTTATATTTTGAAAAAAAAAAGAAAGAAAATCTTTAACAGTGAAACGTTCTTCAAAGCTAAATATTTCATTCATGATATCACAATTTTTTTTTTTTCACTAATAATTTTTGCTTCATTTTCATTGTTTCAAATAATAAAAGGCTAAAGAGTATTGTATCAATCAATAAAATTTTTCTTCTTTTTTTGACATTTTCAATAAAAACATAGAAAAAAGAACTAATAATTCTAACCTTTTGATAGTCTATATCATCATCTTCTATAATTATGTTCAATTAACCATGTTGCCTAATCAATCTTACTAATGAAAACATGTACCTCGAACGGTCAAGTTTCTCTTGCTCTCAAGACTCTGTCACAGAAATCTATCGATAATATTCTAAATAAAATAAACAACTTGAAATCGGTGTCTAGTTTTTTTTTGTAGTTAATTTAAAACGTACCAATGACTAATGATGACACATCCGAATAGTGTTTGCTCGTTATATATATGTATAAGTTGTATAAAACTTTATAAATTAACGTTTTCTAAATCATAAAAACTTCAACTGTATTCGAGGTTTTACTTAAAACTTGCTAGTCAATAAAGCTTTTGTATAATTTGTAAAAAAAAACTTCATTTTAATTGTGTTTGTGCCCAAAACAAATATCAATCAGATTAAGTGTCAATACATTGAAAATAAAAACCATGATTTAATTGTTTTTTACCTATAACATGATTAACAACTGATGGTACTCTTAAAGTTGTTTATATGATGATGAAAACATATGATGCGAGATGCAATAATACTACTGCAAAGTCTTGCACCACAAGAAGTTTTCATCTTATTTTTCTTGTCGTCATTGTTACCGATAACTCTTGTAGTCAACGAGTAGATGAGAAAATAAAAATTAAAGGTAAGAAACTCCATAGCAATGTTTCTTTTTTCTTTTGATCAAATTTTGTATTTTTTTTGAACAACATGAATACATAAATAAATTTTTTGATATGTGCAAAAAGAAAGACACATTAAGTTTTTTTTCTTTTTATCATTAGAGGGATATTAAGAAGAGAAAAATAAGAAGAAAAAGAGAAAAAAAAATAAACTTTAAATTTAAGTTCTATTTAAAATACAATAAATAACGGATGAACGCGCATGTGAAGAGTATATATAAATTTTTTTGGCTTATTTTTGTCAAATACATTAACAACAACGAAAAAAGATAATAGATAAAAATAATTCATCACATTGTTGTTTGTTTGTTGTTACTACTCAACTATTTGGCATTTGAATATTTTGTTTTTTTTTTTTTCTTTTCATTGATTCATTCATTTGAAAGTAAATGGCGTTTACCTTTATTTGTCGAATTACGATTACCAAGATGAAATGAACGCCTCAAGGTATCAAATCGTTGACTAATTGTTAGTTTTTTATGATTTATTTCATCCGGATTATCATGATTTTGATGATCAGGATCTTCATCGATACAATTTTGTATTTTTACATGTTCACGTTGTTTTATATGACGTTTTTGAAGTAAAAGTGACAGACGTGTACGAAATGATTGATTAAATTTGCTTTTCTTTGCTAATGAATTTTGTTGTTGATCATTTGATGATGAAGCACAATCAAATTCATGATTTTCAACTTCACAAAATGTTGAAGAATTTTGATTTGGTAAAGATATTCTAAAATGGAAAAAATATTGAATAATTAACAAAAAAGAAAAACAATGAAATTTAATTATATTATTCATACGATTGAGACATATGTGTTGGTGCTAGTGGAGCTTTTCGTCGTTTTGGTGAAATTTTTGGTTTGTCATTTTCATTTGTTGATGTTGTTTCTTTTAATAAGACTATCGGTGATGTAAGACCTGTTGATATTGGTGACATGGTTGTATCCACTGGCAGATTGTCATCATGTTTTTTTAATATTAAATGTTTATTTGAATTTGTACTTTCAAGGCGAGGACGTTGTCGTGTTATAGTATTTCGAAATGATTTTCGAATTTGATGTGTTAATTTATCCAATGGACGTACACGAGTCTTGGTATCTGATGGCGGTGAAAATGGATCATCATCATCATCACCATCAATATGATTAATGTGGTTATTGTAAGCATGATCAGATACTTTTAATTTTGTTTTATCTGATGATGATGAAGGTGCTGGTGGTGGTGGTGATGATGATGATGATGAACATCGACGCCGTCGTCTTAAAAAACTTTTTGATTGATTTGATTTCACTAAATTTGAGTTGGAATTTGAAAAACCATTAGGGTCAATACGTGGATAAATGTGATCGTCATCAGGAATTTCTTTTCGTCGACGAGAACTAAACGATTTACGCAGACTATATTTCATTCTTAAAGAAAAAGAGAAAATTTTGTAACTTCATTTAATAAATTATCTATCCATAGATAAGTTATACAGCCTTGAACAAGTTTTTGTGCTTAGTATAAAAGGGTGGCGTGAGCCAAAAAACATGACAATAATTGCAATAAAAAAATCGAGTCAAAGCAAGGTCACCACTGTTTTTTTCTTTTCTCATTTTTCTTGTTTGTCGGCTCGGTTTTACTTGCATTGAAATAAAAAGAAGAATATGAGTATGTGTGTTTGTGTATGTTTATAATGAATTAGAATCTAAGTAAAAAAAAGGAGAAGGTGGCTAAGAAGAAGAAGAAGAAAAAGAAGAAGAAAAGTTGCTGTCGCAGCAACATCAGTCACCAGAAAATGTACGTGATGTGTGTGCATCCGAACATTTCAGATAAAAAAAATAAAAAACAGAAAGAAAAAAATGTAGGCGTCTATAGAAGACTGAAGAGGGTAAACAAAAAAAGGGATGAAGAAAAAAATTAATATGAAAATGTCGAGCACGGAACTTTTTTTTTTCTTTTTCACTGAAATAATAATAGCAAAGAAACATGTCATGATTGTCGCATCCTATAATGAACGTTTCTCGTCGTCTATATTCTTCATTCGAGCATAAGAAGGAAAGGATTAATAAAATAAATGAGTCCAGATTGAGAAACTAAGAAAAGAACAAGGCAAGAATAAAAGCAAATTTCTGATCGAGTAAGATGAGAATAGTACGATGCATCGGTATCTTAGTATACCTAAAAATGATATGTCGCCATTAATATCACATGGAAAGAATTAAATTAACGGAAAAAGGGATGTGTAGAATACCCAAAAATTGTCTACAATGACTCGCTAAGTATGTCATCATTATGATAAACAGTCAACTATCACGAACGAAAGAAAAAAAACCAACAATATGTCTACATGCCTAGCAAGTCAGAAAACCTATCTGCATGTAAACGTAACATTTTCTTTTTCTTCATTTCTACAGTCATTTCTCGTTTGTTTCCTTCGTCATCATATCGATCATATGGATATGACATTAGTCCTTGCCGTTCTTCTTATTTATAGAAAGAGAGATGGAGAGAAAAGAGCCAAACAAAGCATTACATATACATGCATATAGCTATATATATCTGTTTTAGACAAAGAGTCTTTTATTAAAAGGTTTCATTTGGCTTATATTTATATATTAATAGGTATTCTATATTATAAAGCATATTGGAATAAGAATGAATTTATTTTCCTCCTTCTCTATTTAACTAATGAATTTTGTCATTAAAGAATATATTGAATATTAGGAAAAACTATGAATACAAATTTGATTAATAATATGCGTGATTTCTCATCATTTGAACAATAAATTCAATAAGCGTAGGTGTTCAACGAGAGGTGACATAGATTTAACAATAACTTTTATATAAATATTTTTTTTTAATTACTAATGGAAGTTATTAAAAAATGGTTTTATTCAAAAAGTAGGTTGATTTTTATCTAATAAATTTTGATTGACACAATAATTAATTGAATGAAATAACTTCCTTAGATCATTTTTTGTCTAAAAATAGTTCAAATTAAAGTGCTAGAAAGCAAACAAGAAGGAGAAAAAAAAGGAGCCGATAAATATATCATTCCGCCTCGGTGTTTTGACAAGATAAGACCACAACAGATTGTTGTCTTTTTTTCTGCCAGAACTCGAACTCAGATATGTATTTAGCAAGATGGATAAAATAGACAACATTTTCTGTAATACGTATAAAACAAATGCCAATTAGATGACAAATTAATATTATCTGTATTGTTAAACTTCGTTGGAATATCAAATGAATGAATAGATAATCATAGAAAAAAAAAATCCGATTCATTTTTTTTTAATTCAAAAGAAGAATAAAAAACAAAATTAGTTATTCTTATTCATCGATTCTTTTTCTGGAATCCTTTTGTTTATGGTATTCAGCAAGCATGATTTCTAACAAAAGAAATACATAAAATAATTCTCAAAAGAATTTATTCATATGTGAATAATAAAACCATCGAGAAACAATTTTCGTCTTCAATAATAATTTCTATCCAATTTTATAAAAAATATATTCATCTGTTTTAATTGAAAAAGAAACTGGCAATAAATAATGATCTATCATTAATTCCTAATTGAGCATTAAATGCTACTAGTCATGGTTTTAATGATTCATTGCTTTTATTTATTAAATATTTTTTTTTCAACAGATGTAGCTGATAGTTTATTTTCAAAATTATGCAGATGAAACAAACTGGAATGAAATGCGACAAAAGGGCAGATATGTACCATGTGGTACTTCTATTCAAGTCACAACACAAAATGAAAATGGTGTTGACTTTTAATTACTTTATCGTCATCCAGCTGATGAATAACCTGAGCTTATAACATAGACACTAATATCATTTATAATCAAGCAACCTATTAAAGAAATTATCGAACAAAATTTAAATCATGTATTAGTACGATATTTATTCGTAATGAAAAATATTTTATTGGTGAAAATTTTGATACAACATTAGATGTATTAATTACATCAAATATAGTGAATTATAGTTTAGATACTGCTCGTACATTGTTTCTCAGACATGAAAATTAAGATGGTTTAAAATAACTTTTTCAATTACCTCATAATTCATTATATATATTAGATTGGAAAACTAATTTTGAATGGTTTCATTCAATTAAACAAAATAATCAATTGCATGTTGATAAAGACTCCAATGAATTAGCTTTTTCAAGTTAACATATATCATTAACAGTTGGTATTATAGCTACAATTTGTAATCTTTGTATAAAACAATTATATGAACAAAATGTATGTTGTAAAACAAAAGATCAAATATCAAAAGAGCAACAAGAACATTTAACATTTACTAATGATAAAACGAAATATGTTAAATGCTGAAAATAAAAAATGATCTGAATTTGATTAGAATTATTATTATGAAAATGATTTCAATGCATTAAATTTCGAAGTTTTAAACTCTGGTTATTTTAATGAAGAAAAAAAAGAATGAAATAAAAGATATAAGTTTGCCATTACATATTATGAAATATATATAACAAAGAAAAGATAAGAAATTCAACGAAGTTTTGTTTCTTTTTTTTTCTGTTCATTTATGAACCATGACTCACAGATGTTGAACTTGCTGTTGTTGCTGTTGTTGTTACACTTGCTGGATGATTATCATCAAATGCATCAAGTGTATTTCTTTTAAAATCTTGTAATGTACTACTTAATTTATTAAAATCATCTGGTTTTGGATTTGTTAAAAATTCATTTACACCATATAGACGTAATTTACCTTGATCATCGCCTAATATTATTTGTTGACCATTATGTGCCCATAAACATTTATTTAAAGCAACATTTCCATCAAGTGTTGTACTCAATAATGGTAGTTCAGAATCATGATTTAAATTCCATATATCAAAACGGCCAGTTATGTCACATGTTAAAAATACACTTGGATGTACTGGTGACCAACGTACATCAGTAATATAATCACTATTAACTTCAAATGAATTTAATGGTTTTGATTCTTTTAATGACCATAATTTAACACTCCAATCAAATGAAGAAGTTAAAAATAAGGATGAAAAATCAACTGAACCATTAACATTATGACAACTGAGACCTTTAAAAAAAAAGAAATTTTCTTTTTCTTATTACATGAATGTTTTTTGTTTATATTTCATATACAGAAAACAAACAAACCTGTAATTGGACCAAAATGTCCTTCATAACTTTCTTGAATTCCAGCTTTATTTCCATGTCTTGAACCAGAATAAGCTTGACCTTCTTCACTTCCAATAATAAAATTATTAACTTCAACACCTGGAAATACCATTCGTGTTGCTGCAACTGGTTTTGTTCGATAAGCTAAATCCATACTTTCTTGTGGTTGTGTCATCATTTCAATATTCCATGAACACATTTTGCCTTCATTTGATATTGAAATTAAATTATTTGCATTTTGTGTACCAATAACTTGTAAACAATAAACCGGATGTGTATGTGATGATGCTGATAAAGCTGTACGTTGTACAGGTGTTCGTTTATTTGTACGAGTATCCCAAACAACAATTTGACCACTATATGTACCACCTAAGAGAATATTTGGATGAAATTTACTAAATACACATGATGTCACCCAGGATTGACAATTAAATACGTACTAAAATTGAAAAAAAATAGAACATTGATGAAGATTTTCGACCTTGAACTAATCACGATAAGAATATTTTCAAATCAAATCAAGATGAAAAAGAAACATTAAAATTTTTTTATATAAAATATACATTTACATAACATAAACTTATTGAATCTAGAAAAGGTTTCATAAGATCTTTTTGGTTGAATATTAAAATGAAATATTGTATTATTTATATTAAATAGAGAGATATACTTACGATCCAGAAATGAATAATTCAAGGAAAATCAAGGAACTCACATGGCAGAGGTGAAGCCGGACAGGTTTTTCCTGTCCGGTCTGGTCCGGTTCGGTCAGCAACCGGCCCGACGAATTTTACAGCGAAGGCAAAAATTCTGCGAAAATAAACGACCATAAAAGTATCTGTTCACATAAAATGTTAGCGGAGAGGAATTGAATATCTACATGCAAGAATCCGAACTAGGGAGTGATCAATTTACATTTACGAAAATTTATAAACCCAAAAATAAATTTAAAAAATTTATATTTAAAATAAATTTTAAAAAGTTTTATTTATTTTGAATTTAAATAATTTTTCAAAATTATATATTTATGTAGATCCAATTTAAAATTATAATAAATTAACAGCAAATCGCCACCCCTAATCCGAACTGGAAACTAAAACTTGGGACTGAAACTCTCCCTTCATATTTTATATCTAGGTACGTCGACTTCTCGAGTCCGACATCGATATAAATTAGTATACAGATCAAATCTGTTTTTCATCTTAATTAATAAGTTTATAACAAAAATTTAACACAAAAATGTAAATATTTAATTTTCTTGATTCAGGCAGCTGCCTAAATAGAACAAGAGAACTAATTATTTGATCAAGGTCAAATTGAACGATACACGAGTAAGAAATCGATAGAGATATAAAGAAAACAACCAATCGTTTATAGTCAAGTAGAAGACAAGATATCTATTGAGTCTTTCGCAAACTCATTCTTCTGACTTGAAAATATAAAAAAAAACCGTTTTCAGTAGAGAAAATTCTTGGATGCAAGAACCAATTTTGTAATGATGAACTGGCAAAAATCCGATCCTGTCGGGCCCGGTTTAACTTCTTGTCCAGTATTGTCCGGACTGGTTCCACCTCTATCAAGTGGGTAGCTATGGATCCTTACAAATGTGGGTCTGGGTCTACAAAAAAATACAGTCACAGCTCCGTACTTGCTTGATCTCGTTTACATAAATACAACTAAAACTATTTCATACAGCACAAGATTTTGATGTTACTAGTGGCATGGTGCTTTTTGTTTATCAATTAATTGTTTAATTTCCCTTTTTTCTTTTTGTTAACATAAATACTCTTTTTCACTAAGTAAAAACTTTTAATTTATTAAGCATCGAGTGATGAGATACTGAAAAACAAGAAATAACTGTACGTTGATAATATTTCTTGAGAGTATCTAATAAATAGCTGAAGTGTTAATCCTTCTCTTGTTTATGTACACAAAAGCGTGGCTAATATTGATGAAAAAAGAAACTCGGATCGGATACGAGTACAGCTCGGATCAAAGCTAGGATTGGTACTTGTATAGTACTTGATGTACGTTTTCAATAATATCTTTATGTCTTGTATAAAACACAACGTCAATAAGGTCATTTTGCTTGCCGTCTTTCACTGTACAAGATGATAATAGTTCAATCCTTTCCATCTGTTGACAAACAGCAGAAAGACTACAAATAGAGCGTAGAATTGCAAGTGTTAACAAGTAGAAGTGCTTGCTGTACTTGAACATAGTTTTACGTTGAATAAAGTTCACATCAGTAAAATTTATATGGACGCTTTGTAACCTTTAGCAAGACAAATGAAATAAGTCTATTTGCCATGAACTTATTTCAATCGGCTAAAAACTTCAATGGAAATACTAAAATTTTATCAAAAATACTCGTCCTAGCTCTGTCCAGGTCCACAAATTTGGTGTTTCTTGAGTTCGAATCCAGAAAAACGTGAACCCGCAATCCCATTAACTCAAGACATGTTTATAATGTAATGAATGAGATCTCTCAAAATTTTATAGCAATCAAGAAACTCGAGGAGATGAAGATAAATCAAAGAATTCAAGAAATTGTATGGTTGTTATTGCTACTATCGGCGATTATCGTCTCTTCACTCAACTCAATCAAATGTACACCCACACCCTTGAATTACTTCATCTTAAGATATAAGTCATTGAAGTATATATAGATAGGGAATTTTTTTTAATTTATTATTTTCAATGGATAATTTTGCGATAGTAGCCATTGCTAAAACTTGATGATCATGTTTATTGCAATAGAAAATGAAAGTTAGGCTGCTTTGATTAATGATTGTAACAGCTGTTACATCTGTTAAAATGTGTCGTTTTTCTATTTATAATAGCATCGAAAATCCTATCATTTCATATATTTTTCTATTCTAATTCTTATCGAAAAAGAAAAAAAATCATTTATTCTATTATTGATTTTTGTTTTTCTTTTAACTCTAAAATAACATGATTCTTACTTCTGGTGTTGGTTTCGATTTATATTTCGTATTCCAAATAAGTACAACACCATCAGATTCATGTGTTGATTCGTCATTTTGTGAATATGATGCAAGAACTAATTCTGGATGATAAGTTGATGTATCAATACATGTAACAATACGATGACGTGTCCAACGTTCATCAAAAAATTCTCTATCAAATTTAATTATTTCTCCAACATCCATTTTTTCATTTTGTCCATCTAAATCTCTTCCACTATAATCTTTAAATATATCAAATGCTTGTGGACTTTCCCATAATGAACGTTCAATTAAACGTGATGAACGAGCAAAAAAATCTTGAAAATGATCACTTTTTAATATTTGTTCACGTTCATCATTAGTTAATTCTTGTTTTATTAATGATGCTTGACCTTGTAAACTTAATTGTTTATGTTGTTGTTTAAGTGAACGTGTACGTTTCAATCCAATTGATTCTTTTGTATTATCATCTAAACTCATTGTATCATCATCACTAACATAAACAAGACGATTATGTTCACCTGTTGTTGAAGGTTGAAATTCATCATCCCATTGTAAATGATCATGTTGAATTGGACTTGCTGTTGGGTCTTTTTCACCCGATTCAATTGTTTGAACTTCTTTTGAATATGTAACTAATTCCTTTGGTGGCACGCTTACTGTTGCTGATGTTTGTTGACATATTTGTAATGAAATATTTGCTGGTGGTCGACGTTTTTGATGTGCTGATAATGATGATGCTGGTGACATAGATGGTGAATTTGTTGGCAATGATGCTGCTTGATGAATACCAACTTCTTTTAATATTTGATCAGGATCAGTATCTTCTCTTGGAGTTGTTAATGAAGTAGTTGGCATTGAAGACATATTTGGTGTCATTGGTGTTGTTGAAGATGGTTTTTGTGATTTGATTTTCCGCATTTCTTCGAGTTTAGCTCGTTTAGCTTCAAGCTCAGCTCGACGTTGTTCGGCAGACATTTTGTTTTCTTTTCTATTAATACACAAGATCACAACTAAGAAATAAAAAAATCTGAAAGTGAAGAAAAGCATTTATATAGCTATACTACAAGAATATCTATTGGAAAAGAAAAGAACCAACGGCAACAGATGGTTGGACAATATATTTATTGTACTTTTATTCGATAGGAATTGTGAGCATATTATAGTGAGCATAACATCATCTGACTATAGGTGTGAAGGAAGTGAGACATTATAAAATAAACTACAAAAAGCAAAAGGAAAAAAAAGACACTTTTGAGCATTACAAATACGTCAACACAAAACCGGACAAAAACTTGAGATTGGTTAAATATATAAATGCTATATAAACGATTGTCAAAAGAAAAGGCAGTAACATTATCTCTAGATAAAAAAAAGTTCATATTGCCAATAGAAATTGTGAAAAATACATTGGAGTAAAAATCTATCTGACCACTAATTTTAAAAATAATAAAAAAACGGAAGAAGCTGTGTGTGAATAGGTGATTTACAAAAAGAAAAAGAAAAGACATGCACTGTTATCAAAAACAAAAACCGAAAAAGAAAAAGATTTAATTTCATTGATTGATTGATTCTCCATCTACTAAACGTTCATTCATTTTCGATGAATATTCGTCATCATCATCATCTTCAACTGGAAAACGTGCTTCTTCTTCAATATCAGATTGATTACCTAGATTATTTTGTATTAATTCATCATCTTCTTCATCTTCATCAATATCTTGATCATGATTATCAGCTGATGGTACTTCAGGTATTGAATGTATTAATGGTATTGTTGTTTGCTGTGAATGATAATTTTCATCATTGAATGAATTTGTCGTTGATGATGGAAGAAGTATAGGTTGTCGATATGTTTGTCGAAGAAGTATTCGTTGGTGTTCGTCACTTGAACTATTTGTTGTTGTACCATCAAGTGTAAGTGTTGTTGGTTTCTTTTTTAATGGTGGTGCTTTTGTTCGTTGAAAAAAACCAAGCTAAACAAAACGAAAGAAAAAAATAACTAAATATGAAAAAAGGAAAAATATTATAGAAATCAAAAACACATAAAACACAACGAGCAATTATACCGACTATGAATTATTATAACGAGAGAAAAACATTTAGAAAATAAGAGATGATGGTGGTCGAACACGTTCAAAAAACCCGACCTAGATAGGAGAAGATGAATTAAATACATTTTTCTTATTTGTTTGTTTTTTGTAGGAAGAAAATAATTAATAAATATCAAACATACCAAACAACAGACAATAACAATGAAAACAAGAAGAATAAGACCAGCCATAGCTCCAACTAATGGAACCCAAAGAGGTAAACGAGGTACAATAATTTTATCAGATCGATTAGCAAATTCTGCAGCTGTTGTAGCCTTAAAAAAAAAACAAAGTAAAACGATATTTTATTAATTTCTTTTTTCTTCAAAAAAAAACAATATCATTTTCATTTTTTGCGTTATTCCGATACACTTTCATTAAAGCAGTCGATAGAGAATTTGTCTTGTTCAAGCAAAATTTTAAACTATGAACGCTTGCTCAATTGTCTAACCGTGATTTTCTACAGTAAGCTTTTACTCATGAAGATCAATCCAAAAAATAATGCAGTTAGCATCTATCGATAGAGAACTTTGTGTTCTCTGCTTCTGCAGCATTTTCAAGGTTTCGGATACTATCGTTCATAGAAAAAAAAATTTGAAACTAAAACCTAATGACATTTTTTCTATGTGTGTCAGAAAAAATATGTTTCTCAAAGCGAGACTTACGAGGGCATTACTTCAAGTAATACCCACCGTTTGTAGTCATGTTTGACCCACGTACAGGTCTTAGTGAAACTAGTAGAAATTCAAAAGAGTTCATCCTCAACGATCTTTGACGTCAAGTTATGCTCGGTCTACTGAATTTTGTATCCATTTTTAAGTACTCTCCAAGAGAGAGAATAACGAAATTTTCATCCAAAATTTTGTCTATAGAAAGGTCTTATGACTCTTAGAATATTCTCAAAGTTTCAGTCAAAAAGTTATTGAATTGCCAAGTGAAGTCGTTTTTTGTGACATATCTATGGCGAAGAGTTATTTTTGGAAATTCAATAAATTGACGACGGAACATTTTTTTCTGCTGAAACTTTCAGGATTTATTCTAACAGTCATTAGACCAGTCTATAGACAAAATTTTGAATCAAAATTCCGTCATTCCGTCTTTCGGAGAGTACCTAGAATAAATTAGAAATCCAGTAAATCAGTCATAACTCAGTGGCTAAGGCTAATAAGAACGAATTCTGTTAGGTTTTTGCTATTCTCACTGAGATGTGATTGTGGTTCCAATATGAGATCAAACGACGGATGTCACTTCAACTAGTTTCCTCGTTAAGTATGAGACAACCATTGTCGCGCTGTCGGGTGCGTAGATTGATTCTTAACAAAATGTTTTTATTGCTAAGTTGAATAGTGCAAACGATTAGATTGCATCGAAACAAAAACAAAGAACACTCCCATGATCCTGTCAGACAAGGCTTTTTCCTAGTTTTGACTTGATGATTATTCTCTCAAATATTTCTTCTGAAATTTTGAAACATATATTAAAGTGGCAAAAATTTTGTGATATGTTTGCTATTTCAGAAAACTGTTGTAAAAAAGAAGATTATGTTATTTTTTCGTGTGTTTTTTTTACCACTGCAGTTGGACAATGAAGTAAATCTTAATATTTAAAATTTTGGTTCAACAACGAAAAACAAATGTAACAGTTTTGTAGAACAAAAAATTCTCTACTCAATGACTTTCTGAAAATGTATCGGAGTACCCAAAGCCGAAAAAAAACAATGATATTGCTCTCTTTAATCTACACCTATCCGTTATTTACTGTAGCATTATCATTATCAGTTGATGTTTGAAATATCAGTAGATCATTAATATGTATTGATGCATATGATTGTATATCAACACGATCATATGTATCAAAATAATTTTCAATTAATGTACTATTCCATAATCGAGCACGAAGTTTAATGAAATAATAACTTTGTGCTGAAAGACTTTTAATATGACAATGTATTGGATAACAACGAACATTTTGATATGTTGGATCACATGTTAATGTTAATGTACGAATATTTGATGATGATGTTGGTGGAGTTATTGTTACTGTTAATGATGTTTTAGGATCAATAACACTATCAACATTTTGTTCATCACGACGTTGTCGATTAATTGATGATGTTCGATTAAGTAGATCAAGTATACGAATGTGATCACGCCATTGTGGTAATCGTTCACATTGACCATCGATTTTTGTACCTGTACTAGTTAATGTTGATGAAATTTCAACAATTGGTTCTTCAACAAGATACAATAAAATTTTTCCATTTTCCCATTCATCATCTAATGTTTCATATGGCCAAAAAATTGTTACATTATGTGAACGCACACTATTTGGACCACTGTTTATTATCTAAACAATAAAACAAAAAAAAAAGAATTTTAATTTTTTGTATATGAATAACTATTTTCTCGTTTTAATTCAATAAATTATGTAGAACTTCGTCTCTAATAAATGAAGATAAATAAAACCATATGTGTTCTCATGTAAGACATATTATTAGAATCTTTTCTTTTATAATAAAAATAATTCTATTAGATTTTATGTTTTAATTTTACAAGAATTTCTTGAACAGTTTTTCAAAATTAGCAAAATCTTTTTATGTTTGTTTAGCTTAAAAATGATTTTAAACACTAGATCTTTTATATTCCTTATATAATTAATGAACAGTTTGATTTTCTCGGAAATAAAATTAGAAAAAGAAGAACTTTTCAATATATTTTTCTTGATATCTTACTGTATAAATATGTGTAACTTCCATTCCAAATTGATCAAGATTTTTAATTGAACTTAATCCAAGAGATCCTTCACCACTAACTGATACTTGTTCAGGTTCATGTGCTGCACGTAAACTTAAATCAGTTTTTAATAAAACTTTAGCTATTAATGTAACATTATTATTATTCAAATTTGTTTCATCAGTTAATGTTGTTGAATTAAATTCAAAATGTAAAATATTACTTAATGATACATTTGATAATGTAAATACAAGTTCAGTTATAGAATATTTTTCTGGTGGAAATGGATTATTAAAATAATCCGACATTTTACAACGAACATGATTTCGATGTATTGGCTGACATGAATAAGTGTTATCATCCTATTATGACAATAAAAAAAAAAAAAAAAGAATATAAAATTTAAAAAAAACCTATTTTCTTATTAACCATAATTGCTTGTGAAAATTGAACAAATGATGTTGGAAAATAAACTTCAATTTTTGTTCCAAATGCTGGATCAGCTTTCCGACGATGGGGTTCTGATGGTACATTTGATAAATTAAGACGAATACGTATTTCAGAATCAATACCAAGCACCGAAAGATTTAATGCTCTAGACGAAAAAGAATTCAATGAGAATAATAATAAACAAAAAAAAAAAAGTATATTTTAATTTTTATGTGAAAAAAGCTTGAGGCGTGATATCTTACGAATCATTGAAGAGAAATTTGCTTTATAAATGAATAGAGATTAGTAAATAACAATTATATTTCTTCTAAACAACAACAAAATAAAATTCTTACTTTTGTCCATTAACAAATTCGGCTGTTAATTGAAGATCAGTGATGCATTTATCATCATTTCCACAGCCTTTATAAAAATTTGCCTAAATTTATAATTATGATATCAGTTTTTTTTTGATATACTAATATATAGACCTAGGACAGTTCCATATCAGTTCCGATCTTGAGAACTGTCCCAACAGTTCTTTGAAGGGAACTGATCTGTTCCTAACAATTTTTTATAGGAACTAGGGAAGGTCAATTATCGTTCCGTTATCAAGTAACTAGTAACAGAAGCCTGCAAAAATGAGTGTGAGTTGTACCACACTCTATTGACTAATCACAATCGAGGAAGCTTTTTCTCAGCTATTGTGAAGACAAAACATTTTGATGTTCGGATCATATGAATCAGGGCCATGGATAATCCCATGATCGGCCTGAACATCCATATGTTTTATTCTTACAATAGCTGAAAAACAGCTTCCTCAAATCTGATTGACTGATGAAACAATTTCGCGAACAATCAGATATCGGACCGGTTTTTTCGCACTATTGTAAGGACAAAGCGTATTGCTGTTCGGGCAGATCATAGGATTATTCGGAGTCCTCTTTCATTTGACCCATACATAATTTTTTTTTGTGCTGGAAAAATAAGTTAATGAAGTGTCATTAGTCAATAGTGTGATGTATAGCTCGTGCTCACTTTTGCAGGTTTCCGCTATCCGCTAACTGGTAGCAGACCCGTTACTAGTTGCCTGGTACCGTACCTGACTGACCATAGTAACTTTTCTCCTCTGATGGTCACTTTACGCAGTTCATAGAACTGAGAACTGTTCTAGGTCTACTAATATAGAATATTTCTTTTACTTGAAATTTTTTTGTTCGTTCTTCTTCAGTTGCATTAATCATTGGAATGTTACCTTCAAGAATAAATGGTTTTCCTCGAAGATCATTTCGATCTTGAGATATATTGTAAACAAGTGAAAAATGAATTGGAGTTAAAAAATCATCATTTCCACTCTAAAATTAATAAACGAAAAAAAAAACGGTCATCCAATTTTTATGCTTGTACAGTTTCATATTACAACTTTTAATTAACTATCTTCGTCCTTAAAATAGTTCATGTTCTAGAATGTTTCTCAATAAGATATCAAATTTCTATTTGCATTGATACTATAAAAATCATTAAAAGAAAAAGAAAATGTTTAGTTGAGTTTTAAAGGAAAGAGAATATGTCCTTGTCCTTGTTTTCCAAAGCATAACTTCACCAAATTACGTTATAGAAAAGACGATAATAGATGTATTAAGATTCTTGATCTCTTGAGAATGGCCTGTAACAAACGGTAGAAGAATATAACTAATCGGAACAACGATCGACCTTGTTATGCTATTAAACTAGATCATCACAATAAGATTTATTGATTTCTTACTAATGATTATTTTTGTTTGAAAGAAAACGAAAAAGAAAAGAACATCGTATAGGCATGTATAATTATTATTAATGAGTATGTTTGATGTACAACAGTTGAACTCATATCAAAAGAGTGCATAAAACATCTGAAGTTTTGACAATTTATAATCTATCATGAATCTCATTTATTTGAGTGAATTCTATAAATGTTAATTAAAACAATATGAAAACAAACCTTTGTAATAAATGTTTGATTTTCACATGTATTCAAAACTTGTTTATTCGTTATTGTAGGTAAATGATTAACAGTTGATAAAATTCTTCGAATTGTTGATAAAGCATCAGCTGTTAATGTATAAATAATAATTAAATTTTGTGCTAATTTATCATTTGAATCAAAACATAATCGTACATCAAAACTTAAAGAAAAAAAAAACAGATAGGAAAAAAAAAAGTTTATAAAATAAAAACAAATTTTCTTTACCAAACAACTGGTGTTCCATCAATTGTTTTACATGGACGATTTTCTGAACTATAACGAATTGCTTGTAATTCTTTCATATTTTCAATTCGTACATTAACATTTACTAATGGATGTGACCTATGATTTATTAAACATAACAAACAAATATATTTTTCTTTCAAAAGAAAAAAAAAAGATTTACCTCAAATGAACAATCATATCTGCTTTAGGTATACCAATAATTAATGATGGATAATCGATTATTATTGTTGAATTTGATGATACTATGGATGTTGATGATGATGTTGATATTGATGAATATTTAAATGGTGATTGTGTAGCTAATGAAAATCCAAAATCATTTATTATTGTTGTTTGTTTTAAATTAATTAATAATTGACTTGGTACAATTTTTTGTGTATGTTTTGCTAATTCATTCTTTCGAGAGCCAAGATAAATATACACACTACCTGTATGAATATCATCTTTTTCACCCGGTGCTGATATTGCTAAATCTTATATTAAAAAACAAAAAATGTTTATTTAATTAAAATATAAAAATGAATTTTTTTTATCGTTACCATCGATTCCATCTTTATTCAAATCAGGTATACAAGCAACAGAAAAACCAAAACGTGAATGTATCGGTGGTTCAAATAATATCTGACGTCGATCATTTGAAAACTAAAGAAAAATTGATATTTTTATTTTTATATTAAATTTTTTTTGCTACTTTTCCATTTAATCCATAATAAATATAAACAGCACCACCATATGATGGTTTTTTTGAATAATAAAATGGTGCACTTATAACAAGATCTGTATGTCCATCACCATTTAAATCTCCTGCTGTCATTGCATATCCAAAATAACTTCCTAATTGTTCACCAATTAGAACATATGGCATGGAATGATTATTATTTATTTGAAATATTGTTTGTAATGTATCATAACCAAAATTATTTGTTGATACAAAACGTTTCGTATAAAAACGAATTTCTCCTCGACCATTTGATGCACGTGGTGCTGATGCAATAAATATATATGATCTATCATTTATATCTCGACTTTTACTTTTAATTATCAATACTGAATAACCTATTATGAGAAAAACTTATTTCTCCTTTTCTGTTGAATTCATTTATTTGATTTTTATTTACCTAAATAACTATATGGTAATGGTGTTGAAGAAGCTGATTTATATGCATATAATTGTCGTAAAAGAGTATCAGAATAATCAGCTTCTATTCGGCCAGACCATTGAAAGGCACCTGGTTCACCGAATGCAATAATATCTGATCGCTAAAATCAGATTTTCTAGATTTAATTTGACATAAAAAAAAGCAGAAATTTTACTCCTCCAGATGGTATATAAGCTAAACTAAGGCCACTTTGACATAGAGCACTGCCTTCATGTAATAGTTCTGTTTCAGAGCTTTGTTCACAGAAATCATAATAAGAAACATCTTGCTAAAACAAAAAAAGAATAAACTAATAAATTTTTTTAAAATTTCATTCGAGTAATTTACATGATCAGATGATACTTTAAAGCAAGCACCGCGTGTATCATATCGATCTATACTAATATTGCGCATTAAACGATAACCACATGTCTAAAAGAAACAAAATTTTTATTTTATATTTCTATGTTGTAAAATATTTTTATTACTCACAACAAGTGAATCATCTGATGTCGCTATGAGGGATGAACCAAGCCAAGCATCATCAAGTACAGTATGAAATGAAGGCATTGCTTGAGATAATTCATCTATAAACGAAAAATAAATTTGAATTAAGCTTTTCTATTAAAAAAAGTGATGTAATTTTACTCTCAATAAGAATCGGCCGACATTCATCTGTACCATTTGGACATTCAAAAATATTACCGAATACGCGACCAACTGGTATAGTTTCAGTACTATTAGATGACACAATGGAAGATCGTTGTCGAGTAAGTAATGCTCGAGGTGCACCAACATAAGCCCTATAAAATATAATCTATAGGTACGTATAATATTATTCCAATAGTCGTACCATTGTTGTTTAGTTGATGAAGATACGACAGCAAAGCCAAAAAGGGACTTTGATGGACCTGTACGTAGACCAGGAGAAATAATGTCAAGGTTGAATGTCTTGACCACCGGTATATAGGAAGAGATAAATAAGACAAATAAAAGCATGAAAAACATTTTTGAATTTTTCTAGCGATCGGCCATCAAGTTATTTTTTTTGAACCACACATACAAACTCACTGTTCTAGATAATAGTTCGAAGTGTCACAAATAAAGATTGAATAACCATCCGTTCTAGCCTTGTATTTATTCATTATGATTGGTTCAATAACGTGCCATATTTATCTCTAACAGATCTTCATTTGATAGAGGTCGTCGATTGATAGACATGTACTATTTTATTTCGATCTCTTTGATGTATTCCTGTGCATTACATACCAAAAAATATTATTTTGATGATAAGAACTAATGAACTTAATCTCTGTTATAGATTAGGGAAATAGAAGATTTCTTCTCTCCCCCTCCCCCACAAAATGGCTGACTTTCTGCGAAAATTCTCAACACTTACTGTCAGTTTTTTTTACAGATTGTGATAAGTTTGGACAAAAATTGTGTTTCGTAACACGATTTGCCTTTCTCTGGCAGAAAATGAAATAAAAGTCAGCAAACAACGCCGTTTCAAGAAGAATAGGATTCGGAAGGTTACCGAGAAGGAACGACATGGAAGCAAGTCGTCTGTTGTGGAAAGAAGCAGATCGCGATAGGTTTTGTTCTTTCTGCTTCTTCCTCTGCCGTCATCACTTCTAGAATTCTGAGAATGAAAGCATCTTCGGTCGAATTTTCAGCACCTTACACCTCTAGAAAATTTCGACAATCTTGAATTTCACTTTAGCCAACATTAACTTAGTTTCGATACATATGAAAGACGAAAATAAGAATATGTTATGGCCGAAAATGTAGAATTCAACCCAATTCAGAATTCGTCCAGTCGAAAGTGGAATTGTAATTTCGACTAGGCGAAATTGGAATCATTTTTTAACGTTGTTTTTGTCTCCTGGTTAATTGGTTCTTCTTTGATCTATTCACTATAGCTATTAGTAAAAGGTATATATAGGGTGTGGGCCTTATCTTTATCCACACCCGTCCGTATCCCACACGCCCACCCCTCACTCAAAGAAGGGTGCATGTTCAAACATGGACTAGATGAATTTAAGACTTATATAGTATTTGTTAAAAAGCTTTGTAAAATAAAAGAAATTGTTGGTACTATAATTATTTGCCTTTCTTTACCTTTTTCTATTCATTAAAAAATTATTCCAATTTTGTCTAGTCGAAATTATAATTTTAATTTCGTCCATAATCATTTCAGTCAAAATTAGAATTTTGAATTGGGCTAAATTCTAACTTCGGCCACAACAAATATATATATGTTGTGGTCAAAATTAAAATTCAGTCAAATTATAAATTTGACTGAATTTTAATTTTGACCACAGCATATATAGAGAGAGAGTTGCAACCAAAGAATGAAAAGATGAATCATTCCATTTACTTTCAGAACCTTTAGTCATTATATTGTGTAACATTTCGATTTTGATGAATGTCAACATCGACATATTGCACAAAAAATTGGCTTTAGGTAGATAGAGAGAAAAAGAGAGAGTGAGGGTTGCAACCAAAGAATGAATAGATGAATCATTAAGTCGGCTGACTGCACGTAGTACAGTTTGCTGACTTATTGCTTTTCCCTTGCTTAGTTGCCATGGCAAATTCTTCTTCTTCTTCTCGACGCATGAGTCACGACTCAAGTTAGTCACTCATTCACCGCAACCAAGCGGCATTTCAAATTCGGAAAAATTTTGCCGAGATCGCGAGAATGTGACGAATGAACATCTGAAATCCTATTTTTCAAATTCGACTCCTGTTTGGAAGCTATAAAAATGCAGAAAATAATAATTGACAGCTGATACTTTCCTTATAAGGTCACATATGACTCAGTCTTGAAACAACCATTGATATCGCAGATGCTTTATGCATATATAATTTAATTATTATCTTCTGTGACTTGAATCCATTTATGAAGGAGTCTCAAGCACTGAAGAAAATTTAAGTATGGCTTATGTAGATGAGACGTGCACAGCCACAATGAACAGTTGATAGTTTCCTTATAAGGCAATAGCTGATTCAGATTCATTATATTTCTCACTACGTGAGTCTATGTTTTACAAATGGTAGATGGTGTCTATGATTGTGTTTTCACATTGCTCGGGCTCGTGCAGTCAGCGGCCTTTTTTCTACTCGAGCAGCTCGATTATCGATCTAGTTCTTTTCACTTTGAGAAACTATAATCACTTGATTGTATAATATTTCGACTTTGATGAATGTCAACATTGAAATATTACAGCATAAAACTATTTGTAGGTTCTCAAAATAAATGAAACGATTCAATTCTTAGTTCTTAAGCTACAATATTACGTATCTATTCTTATGATACATTACCTATATTGAGATTTATTCTTATGCATAATTATGAAAGAAAAAAATGCTAAAAGGTAAGATTTAAACAATTTTACATCATCATGCTTCCGTTTTCATGTTATGTTTTTCGGCATTTTTTTAAACGAAATACGTGTCTTCATATTGAAAATATTCTCGTTAAGAGAATTTGTCTGAAGCATCATAAAAATCTTGAACAAAAAAAGGTTATAATAAGAAACTTTAAAAAGTTTCTCGTCATGATTGACACGAAAGTTTATTTCAAACATCATTTGTTAATTGATAAAAACTATTTTATATTGCGTCTAAAGAGATAATTTTGTTTAGCAATGACATTTGAATAACAGTTCAAACGGTTATGAATAGGTTTTGCTTACTGTACATGCATACTTGCACCTAATCGGTCAAGTCATTCACATCAATTATCAATAAGTCGATCATTTCTCTTCAGTAAATAAAATTAGTTTTTAGTTTTCCAATATGAGTTCTCTCTGTATTCTATGGCTCCATGTTATAGATAACATCAAGGTATTAAACGATATTGATTTAGATTTTAGAATGGTCACATTATGAAAAGACGGATTAAAATTATGTAGAAAATCCGTTCAAATTCTTTATTATTTTTTTTAGAATAAATAGAATTTTAAAAATGAAAAACTTAAAAGTTTTAGTAGTTCTGAAAGGATTCTAAGTTCTTATTTATTTGCTCTGTTTTTTATTCATATTTAGCTATTAATGATACTTTCTGATAGAGAGGAATAATAAGAAAGAAAACAGATGTTTGTTCACAGAGAAATTTGATTCAAATACTGTGGAACAATGACAGCGAAAAATCATGAATTGAATCCAGTTAAACATGACACGCTGTATTCCTCTAGAATGTACCATATCAAATAGAAATGGTAATTCTTAATAAAATGTTCATCCAGATGATGATAATAATCATCAATAATCTGTTTCTAATTCTTCTTTTTTTTTTCATTTTTATATACCTTCATTACTAAATATGAGAACATATAGAAAAGTACTGCATTGAACGAATAATACTTGAAACAAGTAAACATCGTCTACACTTCAAGTATTACTGGTCACTCTAATATTCAAATTTTGTCAATTTGTAAAGAGCAAATGAATTGTACTATTTCGTGGCTTGATAATTTCAAGTTTAGTTGAAAAGAAAAAATGTCAAGAAAACGAATCATACAAATGTCGAAAGGTTAAAATGTCGATAGAAGCTTCAGCATATTTTTTTTATTGAGTATATAAAAAGATAAGCAGTTTAAGCTGAATCAATTTTATTTATTAGAAAAAGAACGGATGAAAGACAAGTAAGATAGTTCTCGATAAATTAATTACTCAACATTAATTAAGTTTTGTACTAGATCATCTTTTTATTACCACAACAAACGATAAACCAGTAAGATTGTAAAGGTTGTACGGTAGAAAACAAGATCCACATACCCATACAATATTTTTATCTCGACCACAATTTAGAGAATTATTGGATTTACTGGTTACATCGCTACGAATGTTAGAAGCAAACCATCAAAATCAATAATAATAATGCTTAATGTTGTATATATTGTTGCTCTTGTTTATGCATAAAGAATGAATAAAGCAACGATCTTATTCATGATTTTATGACGTAGATCATTCATAAAATCCATTTAACATCATCAGAAAAAAGCGTGAAATTATTATTTTTAGTAGTATTGTTGAGTCAATTTCATTACATGAATGTTGAGCATTACAGCATGGATTAAAGAAAAAGTCAAGATACAACATATGTAGTCTCCAATATATCCCAAATAGCTGTTGAATAGACGTTTACTATATGTCTAAGTTATATACTGATCACACAACTGAATATCACAAAAACATCGATTGTAATCATTGATAACACTCGCAATACGACTAACATCATTAAATTGTAACATAGGAAATTGTTAAGACTTAATAGATCGTAGATAGCTTTTCCGACTATTTCATTCCCTGCTCAACCACCGACGTAATAAAATTTAGGAATGAAAAATTACACAACCAGATACATGTAACTTTTTAAAAACTATTTCTAAATCGAATGTAAATGCGCCAACCTACAATAAGACAAACGTAAAGAAAACATTCTTACTAACTTTCTCGCAAAGATACAATATTGTTTCTTGTATTTACTATTCTTTAATTGAAACTAGCTGCAGAGAAACCAAATTTCAAGTGATCCGGAAGATAATATAACATAAATGTCATACATAAAATAAACCACAATTGCCGTCAGTAGATACAAGGATTCTTGTTAAATAGTTAACAAAAATCACGGAAGTTTATAAAGTGCTATCGAGAGATAAGCAAAGCAAAGCAAAGCAACATAATCAGCAAAGAAGGTAAATAGTAGTATATATCTTTACTTCATATCATACAAAAATCATCATCAAACAGTCAAACTCCTAACCAAATAGTAGTCATCGTGACGAAAAACACTTTTCGGACATTGTTATTTGTTTGTAGTACTGCCATGTTAATTGTATAGTCTTCGAGGTAATAAGGATGTATATATATACATCTTTGTTGGGAGAAAATACCATCAACAAAAAATGGTTCACAACTACTCTTAACTATCAAAATTAGAATTTAGATGATTGAGTTTATTTTTCAATAACATATACTCTGTGAGTTTTTCATCAAACAAAAATTCATTTTGTATCGTATCAATTAAAATCTCATAAAATAAATTGCCATTAGCTCTTTTTATATCCAGGCTACAGTATAATATAAAGACCATCATCATAGTAAGAGAAGCAGGTCCTATCAAATGCATATAGTCATTACTTTTTATGCCTTTCTAATGACAAAATCATAAAGTAGATTATGATATTCTCTTATGTATTGGGACGAAATGATAATGAAGCAGTATTTTTGAAATATGATTAATGTATTCAATGTAATTCATACAATAAATAACGTCATCTGCTGTGTTTAAAACACTTCTATAAATGGAATTATTCATCAAAATGAAAAATACGAAAAAACGAATAAAGAATTGTTCAATGGAAATAGTGTCGGTTAACATAATGGATTCGCCATATATAGTTCGTTGTCGTATAAAGAAAAAAATTAGTAAATAGAAAAATTATCAATAAGAATATATTATATTCAATAGCTAAGCTGATCACAAAATTAAACTAATAAAAGAGTTATTATATCCTATCTTTTGAAATGTGACTTAGAAATATGTTCGAATATCATTGACATTTCAATTCTATTGTTAATAATTAAACAATATTATTTTGTTGAGCCTTTTTTGCACTCTTGAACAATATTTTTTCAACGAACCTTATATTATATTAAATATATACAAGTATCAATTATTTTTTTTTAATCAATGATAATTATTTAGAGCGTTTCGGAACTTACATTTTTTCAAAATTATTTGTTTTTAAACTATATCGTTGTAGATAAAATTCTTTTTTTTTTATCAAAATACCTATGACTCACAACTATTTGCATTGTAGCAAAATCCATTCAAAAAAGAAACTATATCTTTTGAAAAATCAATAACAGTTAAAATATTTTTTTTTGTTATACAAATAGTGTATAGTTTTACTCATGTATGATTAGAAAAAACTTCCACTTTACTACTCACGAACAGTGAGTGATTCTCTATTTTATAACAGTAAAAAGAAGAAGAAGAAGAAAAAGAAGAATGTTCCCTTATCATGATTATATTACAAATATATTCTTTCCTTATGATTCAGTAAAATTTAATAAGGACCATTTCATAGGTGATTTGATTGATGTTAAAACACTTATTTATTAGAGAAAAGATACTTATAATGAGATACTTCAAGCATTTGAAAAAAAAATGTTGTTATTCTCATGTCCTTCATATCAATGCCATTCCAACATGTACTTGCACGGGAATTTCGATAATAAGAAAATTAATTTAAAATACTATCTATCATATTAATCAAATATACATTATTGTTTTTTATTATCTATTGTTGTTTCGAGTAACTAAAATTAATTTTGAATATTCTACACAAGAGAATTTTAATAATGTATCAAATATCATTTAACTTTTTATCTTTTTTATCGTTTTCATTTTGGGTAGTTTGTAATTTGTGATGTGTGTGTAAATATAAATTCTATAAAAGAATAGTCATCTGAAAATTCACTTTGTACTGTTTATTCGTTTCTTTCGAACTCCTCAGTCGAATTCAATCGATCTTAGATTTCATCATATATATACAGAGTAGTCGTCTTGATGTTTGATTTGTTTGAAATGTACACATTGAGGCATATATGAACAAAACAAAACCTTGCTTCGTACACTCGTTTCATTCCCCTCGCCATTCGAAAGCGATTATTTTTCTTCTTTTGGTTATAATCTAAAAAAACCAATAAGACTGACTTTATTGCTTCTAAACGTACAACCACGTCTAAATGATTTAATTTCCTGACTATACTTCTTGCTTGATTGGACTTCTTTTCATACTTGCTTTTTATTCTTTATACAATATTATATAATGTTATACATACTATTTCCTTGCGAAACAAGACTAAACCAATTGTATGTAATTACACTAATGACACAGATGAAAAATTGTGTTTGATTGTGTATATCCGTTCTTTTCTCGTCCTTGTTTAGTTATATTGTATTTTTACCTGTATTATGCTATGCGCATACTCATATGCATGTTGCCATCATTATAAGGTAAAGCAGAAAGCAACTATTTATATTCCAATCAATATACCGATTGTAAATAATTCTATGTGTCTGTCAGTATTCATGTGATATAAGCCTCTTCGATTAGGCTAAAACTGGATGTTAGAAATGAACATTGACGATTTAGTTCATAATCCGTAATTTAAATATCACGAATGATAAGTTTTCTTATTCATTGTGGCAATGACAGGGAAAGGATAAAATTCAAATAAAATTCATATTCAAAACTATATAAATAATAACAACAACAAAAAAAAGCAATCGTTACTTGATGAAAAAAAAAGAAAAGAATATTGTTGATACTTACCAATGTAAACAGATCGATAGACAAAAGATGTCTTGTCTTAAATTTCACATCTACTCCTGTGTTGAATGGCAACAAAACTTCAAATTACAAAGATAACATCAAACCCTTTTTTCGTACTTTTCTTATATTGTTTGAGAATAAACAATTCGATCTATAGCCAACAAGGTACGATAATTTTTTTTTCATGACATTTGTTTGATTAAAAAATGATGAAAATGGCTTTTTTTTCCCCTCCTTCTCTCTTTATGTTTTTGTTTGTAGTATTGAGAAGACGTCGTTTTTTTGCGATTTACATACTAAGTTTTAAAAGTAAGAAGTCTATATAGCTTCTATTCATACTTTTATTTAAAATTAATTTTACGTGTATATACTTTTTTTTTTACCGAGCCCAAAAAAGGAGAGAGAGCGAACAAACAGAAGATGATGATTATTAGCCAAGCGAGATAGGACACGTACGCATAACCTTGCTGAATGAAGGAAGAAGGAGAAAAAAAATTTATCTTGAATTGAGTAAATGATGAAGAAAAAAGGGTTATACCATCCTCAACAATAGGACAAAAAGTGGTAGAGAGAGAGAGAGGGCGAGAAAGGCGAAGGGAACGGATTTCATTTCATCTACAGCTCACGTTTGCTGAATAGGAGAAAATGAGATAAGCAAGATAAAAAGGCACCATACAAAAGGCGTTTCAATTTTAGTTTGCATTAGAGACGAAAAAACGACTTGATCGAAGATGTTCTATTCATCTCCTTCAATATTATAGAGACACTCAAGGTTTGTTCTTACTGTATTTTTTTATTTGTAGAATGAAGCTCGTTCAAGTATCTATTGTATTATGTGTGGCAGTTTATTTTGTCAGTGCGACAAAGTTACTTGCTTCATCGTCATACGAGTTAGATAGTCAAGGAACCAACTTGCTTCGGCGATTAGTCAAACGACAGGCTTACAATGGTGAGAATACATAAGAAATGTTGGATTAAAATAATTCTTATATGAATTTCAGATCCGAAATGCAATCCTCGCGCATGTGCTGTACCCAATTGTGGCAAAGATTTTGTAGCAGGAACTCTACCAAATGAATGTTGTGAAAGATGTATACCATGGGAATATGCAAGAAGCATGGGAATTCACTATCGACAACCATCACAAGATACTCGAGGCCAACAAACTAACGATCCATACAATCAATATCCATACAATCAACCGCAACAATATCAAACAAACCGTGCCGATGTATACATTTATGGGCCTGATCAAGGAGCACGAGTATCTGCCGGTCATAGTATTTATTTTGATTGTGAAGTTATTGCACCTCATAATCAACATGCTCAACCACGTTGGACACGAGCTGGCAACCAGGTAAATACATATATGGCATTTTAATTTCTTCTTATCTACGTGAATAATCTTCTATTTTAGCCATTGCCATTCAAAGTACAAAGTACAATGCTTCCAGGTAATCGTAAACTTGCACGTCTTACAATTCCCGATGCTACCCAAAGTGAAGCCGGTCGATATGAATGTAGTGCTGGTACAGGTAATCCTAGTGATCAAGCTTCGATTGATTTACAAGTAAGTATTTTTTTTCTAGTTTACTCTGACTTTGTTTTATACAATCGATTTATTTTAGATAACAAATGATGGCTATTATCCTCCACCACGACCTGCCCCACAACCACAACCACAACCACAACCACAACCACAACCACAACCACAACCACAACCTCAACCACAACCATCATATCCTAATTATGATCCATACAATCAATATCCATACAACCGACCAGATTACTATCCACCACAACCACAGCCTCAACCTCAACCTCAACCTCAACCTCAACCCCAACCACAACCACATGAAGATGATGATAATGATCAACATGATGATGAAGATACAGATGAGCATGCATATCATGAAGAAACAACAACACCAAAACATGTAACTACAACACCAGCTCCAGCTCCAGACCAAGGTGGTGAAGAGGCGGAAGATGAGGGCGAATATCCAGAAGATTATTCTGACAATGAGAAATAATCAAAAGCAATACTCATATAACAATAGAAACTATTTAATCAGCCCAGAGAACTCTATTATCTAAATCGCGTTAAATCAATACTAGTCTAGATCTATTCATTGAAATCAGTTTTTTCTCTTATTTCTTATATTATGCATTATTAAAATAATAATTATCCGAGTTTTTTTTTTCAAATTGTTTTTTTTCTATTCACATAAAAAGAATTTAACACACTCAAGCAATGTTCTATGTTACTTTGAGAAAAAGAAAAACAAAGATTTTTCATATTTCTCATTTTTCATATAATCGATACTTGGATAATATATTTAAATTCATATGAGAAATTGAATGTCATGATTTTTTTCTTATGATAATAACAGGAAATACACGAGAATCAGATACAGACGATTTCTTCATAAGTATTATCAATGATAAATATTCTTGCATATTCAAAGATTCAATTTACGTGAATAATTAACAAAATAAAAACATTTGAAAAATATTCGTCTCATACTTTACATAACATAGGATTATTTTAAAAAATTCATATTTGAAATAAATCGAAAATCGATCATTTAGTAAAAAGTTATTGTTATCTGTATTACAATTTCATTGATAATTTGCGTGATGATAAATATCGAATTTTTCGGTAATTCAATACGTATATGTTTTGTGTTTTTTTAAATAATAGATTTCTAATATTATTTGAAATTAGATAAAAATGTATCGATTGCGCCTGCTGATCAAATAATGCCGTATCAAGGCCGAATAATACAAATCCCATTATCTTTAGCATCTTATAAAAAACATATATGATAACAAAATATTTGAGTTGGATTAATTACACGTTTGAATCAAAAACAATAACCATACTTATCGTATTAGTTTCTTCTATTCGTCTTTTGTAAGAATGGTGGATTTAGAAGAAGCAATCGTTTTTTTTTTCTATCAATAATTCTAGTTTTAATATCAATAATATACAAAAGTACATCGAATAGAAATAACAATAATGATTATTTTTTTCGATGGTATACGCAATAAATTAATTTAAGATTATTAGAAACATAGTACATCTTGCTGTGCTTGACGTATAGATATTGATCAGAGTTCCTGTATTTATTAGTCTAATTTATCTACGTAACACTACTTCATATTTTCACTAACAGAAATATACATAAGCTAGTTATTTCTTATATGATAAAATATCAAAGCGTTTCCGTTCACGTTACTATACCGACAAATATGATTAAATGCATCATTGTTTGAATATGTAATACATCTTCGCAATATATTGGATGTCACAGAATGATCACATCTATTTCCGTCACATGACAAATCAGATACTTTACACATAGTGATCAAGTTAGAAACATTGTCATTTTTTTTCTAATTGAACAACAATAGATGAAAGTCGAAAAAATTTTACTAAGCGTAATTGTTTTATTGACACATTCACCATATTCGAATCATGCTTTAGCATTAGACGAACACAATTGGTCAATAGTGGTTCGAAATTTTGTGCAATTGAAACAGTCTGAATTATCAGATAACGTCAACACTTCAGATAATATTAAAGAGTTACATTTATGAAGAGTTGCTAAACGTACGATTATGAATTCACATTATAATAAAGTATCGGACTATTTATGTAGTTATACTCAGTATTAGTTTTCAAATACATAATTTCGTATAAAACTCAGAGTCATTGTCAATTTGAGTAATTTTACTTTAGATGTCACATATATGTGTTGAATAACTATTGTTATCATGTTTCGTAAAGGAATAAATCAATTTTATCAATGGAAACCAAACAGATCCTTAGTCAAATGATTATATTAAACTATTGAATCAAATATTATTCTTAAATCGATTATAGAATTCTATCCAATGTTATTTAGACTGTTATTATTTAAATAAATATAATTCGAATATTTTTAAGTATGAAATAACTGAACAATGATTTTAAGTTTTCCACTCACTCGCTCTGTTGGTAGATTGCAAATGTAAGCAAGAAAAAGTACAAATTTAAAAACATATTAAAACAAAATGAGTCAGCTGACAAACAGTATAGACTATATTTATTGTTTATCTGTTGATATTCCCTTAACCACGATATACGTACCAAAGTATAATTATTTGATCTTTTGCTAAACAAATGATGCATATCTGATGGATGTGATAGTATTTAATGAAAACAAAAAAGTAGAAATAAGAGAATGTGTCTTTCTATCTATCTTTGAAAGGAAAACACACTATTATTATCTTTCTTTTCTTCTTCTATCATATGAATAACTTCTTCTTTCGTTAACTATAAGAAGAAAACTTTCATTTTAGTCATATTTCAACAACAAATAAATGAAAAATATGTCCATGAACTAAATAACTCATATTTATTTATGAAAACATAATGATGTAGCAGAATGAACTTGTCGACCATCAAAAGAAATAAGTTACAATAAAATAGATATCTTGTCAAATTATATTTTCAATTGAACTATGATTTCAACGTTATTACACGTTATTTCAAAATACAATAAAATGCAGTAATACAAATGTTTCATTAATTCAACACGTATAAACATTATTGAGTTATTTTGTCTAATCAAAAATATGTACAACAATGGAAAATGAAATTTCGGTGTATGAAACCAAGTATCTCAGTGAAATAATGATTAAACGTGAAAAAATTCTAGAAAACTTCTGATAGAATTTGTTTTTTTTTTGTTTAAATTTGACCTTTAATGAATAAATTATTTATTATGTTATTATCAAAACGTTGTATACAATCTTTATTACTTCTATAGTATAAAATTAGTTTCTTTGTCTTTTCAACTTGCATCTGTATGATATCATTTAATATATTTTTCATTCATTGATTTAAAAATAATTAAATATTTTACAGCAACTGATGGTCACAGATATCTTTTAATCAAAAAATGTCTTTTTAATTAAAGTATATAGATTAAACTAATGATGTTGAAACTACAATAAAAAATATTTACCGATATTTGTTAGCAAGATATTTCTTGCTGTAGTTCTTTTTACAATTCATGGATTCCTCTGTATTGTTGTTGGTTAAAGAATAAGATTGTGTAAACAAGAGTGAATAGAACTTTTAAGCACGAACATAAGTAGTAGTTTTTGTATGTGGTGTTTGTGTAGTTCGCTCTTTCAATACAGTAGTTGATTGAAGTTTTCGTGGTAATCGAGATCTATGTGGTTGTTCTATAATAATTTTTGGTGCAGGTGGTGTTGGATTTCGAGATGTATGAACAACTACTGTTTTTTTAGTTGATTTGTGTTTTTTTTCATTGGTTGGCATATATGTATATGTTCCTTTATCAATCAGAGGATTAGGACCGACTGTTGTTGTTGTCTGAATATGTTCTTGTTGTTGTGTTGTAGGATTAGAAGCTACTGTTACTGCAGGTACAGTAGTATTATACGCTTCGTATTGTGGATTACTAATAGATAATAAAATTATTTGTAGTTTTTGTTTAAAAAAAAAGAAACTGCCGATGGTTATTTTTTGAATAGTTGTTTATAGCAACGACGAAGAGAACTGTAGTTTTCATCATTCAAGAGAGAAAACTCGGGAATCATCGAAATAAATTGAAACCTGATGGATCATTCATTTGATCTATCAGGTGAGTTCTTAGTGAAGATATTGAGAGTGAGATTCTGAAGTAATTTCTCATTAGTTTTTGATGTGTAATATGCCGAATCGATAGAGAAACGTTTTCTCTTTCGATCTACATAAAACTCATCATCCAGATAAGTCGAATGATGATATTTGTTTTCAGTTGCAAAGCGACATGAGACTACTATATGAGCATTTTTGAAATTTCAAAAGTTCTCTTATACAGAATAATAATTGGAATTTTGAAAATATTCAAATAGTAATCTCGCGTCGCTTTGAAACTAAAACAAATATCACCATTAGATTTAATGTGATGAATTAACTCTGTTTGAAACTCTTTTGGAGCCGTCCATGGCCAATCTACTACAATTAGGAGATCTTCTGAAAATTCTTGTAGCTCTTGAGCGGAAACAGTTACGAATTTGGATTTTATGGAGATCGAAAGAGAAAACATTTCTCTATCAATTCGGCATATTATACATCAAAAAATAATGAGAAATTACTTCAGAATCTCACTCTCAATATCTTCACTATGAACTTAGCTAATAGATCAAATGAATGATTCATCAGGTTTCAATTTATTTTGATGATTCCAGAATGTTCTCTCTTGCATGATGAAAACTATAGTTCTCTTCATCGTTGTTATCAAAAGCTATTCAAAAAATTATCATCTACAGTATTTTTTTGAAATGGATGATAACAATAATTTCAAAATAGATACTTTTGTATATAAGCAGGATTGGTATAATAAGATGAATAATCATAGGTAACTCCTGTTGCAGATGGATTATATTGCCAATTAGGATCATAAGCATAAGTAAGACCAGTATTCGGATCTACATAAGTTGTATATGACATTGGATAATAAGATGATTGTGTTGGAATAGAAGAAACTGCTGCTGGTGCGTTATTAGCTACTAATTTTGGTTGTGTTGTTGTTGTAGTTGTTGTTGTCGTTTCTACTGTTGGTTTAACATTTGATGGAAAACTTTCAACTACATGAACATGTTTTCCTCGTTTCTTCAACATAATAATCAAAAAAGAAAATAATGCTCTATTGAATAATATATAAAACGCACTTTTGTACTAGGCGTTGAATGATCTTTTCTTGTCGAAATAACGAAATCAGATTCTTCTAATAAACTACATACTTTACAATTCTTTGAATGACCATGTCTATGTTTATGTGGTTCCTATATCACCAAGAAAAAAAAAAGATAAGATATTATGTATATTTTATTTTCATCTACATGCCTGTGTCTCAAAAATAACTCGGCTACCACGATATATATCTACGTCACTACAACTTCTTTGTTTTCCTTCATTGATAGCTGATCGAAATCGACGACATACTTTACAATCATCGATACTATGATCACTATCACTTCCATCATCATGCTATTTTCAATCAAAATTTCAAGATTTAAGAATAAAAAAGAAACTGAAATTTCTTCAAAGTCTTTCACTCACTCGACGACTATGTGCATGTTCAATTCCAGTTAAAAATCGATTAACTAATTTTTTTGCATGTTTTGGTAAATGAACACTTTTTGTAGTCGACGGATGAGCTCGTACAAGTCGTCTAACAGGCGATTCATACGAACTATAAAAAGGATTTGAATATTCTTCAACTAGAGTCGGTGTATAAACACGTTGATAAACGAGAGGTTTTCTTTCGATTATTGTTGTTAGTGGTGGTGTTAGAGCTGGTACAGGTACATATTGAATTCCTGAAGATAATGAAGGTTCCATTATTTGCTTAATAACAATTTCTTTTTTTTTCGGTGATGATGGTGGTTGTGTATTAATAAGAAATTGTTGTATATGTTTTTCATGAGATTTTTTCTTTTTTTTAGCTGGTTGCGTATTGAGAATTATCGGTAATGTTTGAATCATATTATTTCGTTTTGATGATTTCGATGGCTTTACTTTTAGAATGAATGGTGATTCGTCATTTGAACTATTTTCATCTTCTGAAGAATCAGACGATGATGCTTGAACTGTTGTAAATGCATATGAACGTGTAGGAGATCGTCGCTGTTTTACTTTTTTTAATTGGCGAATTTCGATTAATTCAGTCATATATAGTTGTTACTATTAAACAAGAAGGTTGATTAGTGAAGAAAACATGAGAGAGAAAGACCACCTATAGGGTTGTTGTCAACGATCCATATACAAGAAAAATGATTAAAATGGTCGTCAACATATTATTTTTCTCTTTTTCAGATACATTGAATAAATAACAAAAGTCTACTATTAATAAAAGTTGGTTCAACAAATATTTTTCTTATGTTTATTTTTAAAGGACTAAGTTTAACAAAAAAGAATCTGATTATGGTTTCGATTCTTCTTATCAATTTATGCATATCATCAATTTATATATATATGTAATTAACTCGACTAAAATTTTACGATTAATTAATATAAGATTCATGGAAAGTTGAAAAACAAAAATGGTTAGTCTTGTTATTTGAATTGCTAAATAAAATCTTTTTCATTTGCTCTAATGAATGTTCAATTTTCAGTAAGCTTCAAGGAATTATCGAGTTTACTTCTTTTTCTATGCATTAGTTTTTAAGTGATACTCCAATACGCAAATCGTAAGATTTGATAAGAAGGTTCAGATTGTTCTGGTGCAAGTGAATATAATATATGCACTGGTATTGATATTCTGATCTTAGTTATTGTCAATATCTTACGAGAGTGCTATTCAAACTGTAACTTATCGTTGACGCTCATATTGAACCCACAGGGAAGTGTCGGTAACATTAGAAAAATGTTTAAAAATGTTCGTGTCCATGGATCTTTCGAGTCGAATTATGATCCTTTAACTGAATTTTCGACCCATTTTGAGGTATCTACTGAAAAAATTCAATAACAGAATTCGGTCTGCAGTTTTGTTCATGGGATAGGTCTAATGAATCTTGGAAAATTCTGAAAAGTTTCAGTCCAAAAGCATGTTTCTTTGTCAAGATATTGAATTTCCAAGTAAACTAAATTTTTATGACAAGCAACTATTTGTTGAAAATTCAATATCTTGACAAATGAGCATTTTTTTCGGCTGAAACTTCCAGAATATTACAAGAGTCATTAGGTCTATCTATGAACTGAATTTCAGGTGAAAAATTCAATAGAACGATAATAACTCGACCCCAAAGGCCCATGGATACGAACCATTGTATGATTTTTCTACTCTTACGAAGACTTCTTTGTGAACTCAACATAAGTTAAAATAGCGCACTACAGTTGTGTTAGTTTCCTCATCAGATAAAATATCATTGTACAACATATAATAAGAAGAAAGAAAACAACCTATTCAAACAATTTTCAGATCATCAATTGTTATACAAGTACAGTGAAACGCCTATTAGTGAGCATCTCCTATTTAGAACACAGTCTCGGTCATAAGAAATGATTTTTACTGAAAATTTATCTCCTATAGATGAACACCTCTCCTACTGTGAATTTGAACATATTTTTACAGGCTCTATTGCAGTTTTAATCTCTTTTAAATGAACAAACATATACTTTTGTTTCTCTCTCTTTCCTCTTCATCATTTCTGGTTAATGTGTTCAAACTACTGTTCATTGTTTTTTTATAACTATACATGCCAGGTAACTCAATTACATAACAACATCATCTTATACGTATTAAATGAAAAAGTTCAATTATTTAATGATAACAACAGTGGTAATGGTTCATTACAATGTGATTCAGATGAAAAATCGAATATTTGACTTGCTGTTGTATCCAATGTTTTAAAACAACAGAGAAAAACAATATTTTAATAATTATCAAACAAATCCATTCAAATTATTGAATGAAAATTCAAAAGTTTTTACTTAATAAAACTTAATGAATATATATTTAGATGAATTTAATAGCATCGTTTCATCAAATTCACATATATTGAGATTATAATATTAATACAGAACTTTATGAAGCAAAGCAAAGTTGTTTATTCTGTTGAAATTTTTTTGAATTCATGAATATTCAAATAAAACAAGGCAAGCAACACAGAGAATGGTCTCTAGATACTTCAAAACTAGTAAATAATCTTATATATTCTAAAACATTTTTTTTTTCATTTTGTAGTAAAATATATAACATCTTCCACATATGAGCACTTTTCTAAAAACCCCAATTACATTCATTGGAGAGATGCTTTACTGTACTATAATTTACATTTGAATTATCTTGTTCGAATCAATAATATATTCAAATACTTTTCTGTCATATTACTAGAAAAGAAAACTTCTATTGAATACTAAGTGAATACAATTTTACACTTTCCAAATATTCATATTTTTACGCAGACGCTTTTTTATTTGACTAAATGTTATATATTCGTAGGCATTGATGATCTTAATCGTTGTATGTGTGCTATTAATGAAAAAAAAGCATTGTCTCCTTGCTTTTTTTTTTTATGTTGGAATAACCTTCAGAATCAAATGGGTAGTATCAAATAAATGCAATGATTGGCATATGTTTTTTTTTCTTTCGATGAGAACCATTCTGACTAATCGAATGGTTATTCATTTTTTCCATTAATCATTAAAAAACTATGTTATACTATGTCTAATGCACATTTTTTTATTCCAATTAAAGATTGAATTGTTATTTTCAGAGGCAACTTAATATAAATATCTAAATGAATCATTATTTCGTAAGAAATCTAATTGAGTATTGATGTAATTTTTGCTCTTTAACGATTTTCATGATTTATGTAAAATGATTCACCGCAAATGGCTTTCTCTCTCTCTCTCTCTCTCTCTCTTTTGTTCTTAAAAAAGATATGAAAATAAAAACTAATATCGATAATCTATATTAAATAAGAACTGACTAAAAGCAGGTTTTTTTTTGTGTAATATTGTTGATACTTGGCATGCATACACAAAAAAACATATGCATCTTTTATAAGTCTTAAGGCGTTAAAAAAGAATGAAGTCTTCTGTAAAATTCGATCAATTTAGTGAGTGTTTTTCTGTTGTTCTCCTTGCAACTGACGTTCTCATCGATAATGGCTTGTGTGAGCCTAAACAATATGACGAAATTAAATTGTTTTTTTTTTTCTTTTGCCGTTATAAAAATGTAAATTATATATATAACTTTTCTCATAATAAATTCGTAAAAAAAGTCAACGGCATTCGTTGTCTTTCGCTTTTTTTCCTCATCAATCGAGTGTGTACATTTGTGGCTTGAATATGATTTTATTTGCCTTTCAATAACCAGAACATCGGAGAACATGATGATTTGCAATGATGTTTCATATGTTGATAAAATATATGCTTTTCATGTACCATGCATCGATGAGGACGAATACAGCGAAAGAAAGACAGACAGACTACAAAGTTAATGAAAAAAATACATCCTTGCGGTGACAAACAACAGAGAAAAAAATTCCATTAACGTTACGTAGAACGAAATAAAACAAATGCTTCATCATTTTGTGTTTATGTACATTGAAGTAAGAAAAACACCAGACAATGTACGAATACTGACCCATGCTTCACGACAAGAAAGAAAGAAAGATGACAATTTTGCTTGCTGACCGTAGTCCATGTCATGAAGTATGTGTACAGAGACAGATCAAGATAGAGTCGCGACGCCTAACATTTTGTTTCTTCGCTTAGGCGTACAACTGAAAGAACTAAAGAGGAAAGATGACAAATTTACTACTACGTTTATAAAAATACTGCAGAGAGTTTGTATGAAGAAAGAAAGAAAGGAACGAAAAAAAAAAGAACTATAAAAGCGCGCCAGAGGGTACCAAATGAAAAAAATTGAAAGAGAGAAAGAGAAAGAGAGAGAGAGAGCAAAAACGAGACAGAAGAAAAGTTTATGCTAGTATGCACACTCAACAGCTCCTTTCACTAGTGTCATTCGTCATTTCTCATACTCCTTCGTCTTCTTTTTCTTGTCGTCATTTGTTTTATGATAGTTATTACTAGTAAAATAGAGAAAGAAAAAAAAGGAAGAAAAAAAAAAAACTGTAGAAAAAAAAGAATTCGAACACTCATTCAATGGAATTTCTTTTCCTCTCTTTTCTTTTTAACATTTTGCATAATTTATTTCAACATATACCATAACTGAATTGTCATTCGTTATTTCAATTAGATTTAATATTCATTTAAACCGCAAAATTTAATCAAATAAAATGGCTGTGCTTTGGCAAGTGATCATCACTATCTTCTTATTGTATATTATAAGTATGTATAATAGTTTATTGTTGTTCACAACTTACACTAGTAAGAAAGTAAGTGTTAGACAAGAGTGTAACCTTGAAAAAATACCTAAAAAGTATATGAGCTGTATGTAAGTACCTGTAGGCAACACATATGAGTAATACAATATAAATAAATTCTTTTACCTTTATAATTATACGTTGATATGAAAACTCAAACTATTAAAAATTTTATATAAGATTAATAGATTAAAAATAATTGGCATCGCTTCTAACTCTGTATCTTGAACTATTTGACCTTCATGAAAACAGGATAAAAAAAAAAAGGTTAGACAGAGATTAATAGCAAAGTGTTACAAATGTATTAATACATGACAACAAATTAATGATGACCTTTTTCGATCAAAAAATTTAGTAATAAAAAAAATATAACTTAACAGAATATGTTTAAGTATATGTACATGTAAAATATATATGTAAATGGTATGAAAATGATTCAGCATCAAATATCAATGTGTGTTTTTTGCTTTCAGCAATTGATGCAAATCGAGCTCGTCGTCTCCGACGACATTCTATGTTAAATGCTGGTCAACAATCAGCTAATCCAAACTCACAAGTAGAAGCTCGACAACAACCACTTGGACCAAATTCTCAAGGACAACAGCCAATGAATCTAGGTGGAATGGGATTATCCAAAGATTCTAACTTAGGACAAAATCAAGCAGGTCGACAATATTATCCATATCAAAGTCCATATGGTGGTTACGGATCACAAGGTGGTGGTTACGGATCACAAGGTGGTGGTTATGGATCACAAGGTGGTGGTTATAATCCATATGGTTCAGGGCAATGTAAGTAAAGAGTTCTACATATATTCATTGAATTAGTTCATACATTTTATTATAATGTACATACTATTATTTATTATAATAATATGAATTCAATTTTGTCGATTTTTTAGATTCGCCATATAATCAGGGAATGGGACAATATGGTTCTTATAACAGTCCGTATCAAGGCTCGGGTGGTTACTATTCAGGTTATAACAGTGGAAGTTATAATCGTCCTGGTTATCCATCGAATCCTTATCAATCAGGAGGTGGTAATTATGGTGGTTACAATTGGAATGCTGCTCACAAGCAAAATGTTAACATTTTCAATGTTTTTCTTTCTTCCTTACTTGCATTAGGTATCTGTTTTTTTATTGCCATTTGAACTTGATGAAAGATACAGACATAAGCCAACAAAAGAATATTAGAAGAGTTTTTCATTTTTTTTTCATTCTTCTCACTTGAATGGTTATATGATTGTTTTATTTTCTGTAAATATTACCATTCTTATATGTCTGTTCATTTTTCTTTTCTTTTTTTTCTATATTTTTCACGTATATCAAGAAGTTTTTTGTTTCACAAATTTTGTGCGTACGCGCTCAATATCTGTTGTTGTCCATTTTCGAATTGCTAAGTTTAATTTTCATATACATACGTATACAATTATCTTTTCTTTTAATTTTTTTTTTTTTCATGTGTTCATGCCATTGTTACAATTATGATTTGTAAGCATAAACAATAATTTTTCGAGAAAAAAAGAAAAATTTATAATTTGATACTAATTAGATCTCTCATCGATAATAATAATATCATTAAGTCATCAAAACAAAAATCCAATTCATTTCAAATATTAGTTGATTGTAATCCTCATGCACAGAAATTGAATAGATCAGAAATGAAAGAAATATTTCCATTAAATTATTCTAATAAATATTGTGAAATTAAAAAAATTTGTAATCAGACAAAATCAAGAAACGAAAATTGCATTATGATGTCAAATAGATTAAATTCTATTTATAATAGAATCCCGACGGCTGAACAAACGAGTATGTACTGTTAATAAAGAAACAAATATATAGAAAGAGATTAGTTTTTATTTTCAAAGTAATCATTTGAAAAACCTTTCTAAAAATCTACAAAGAATATCAAATGAATCTGTCATATTCTTAAACAAAGGAAGTATTTTCAAAGTTTTCAAAGCCTTTTCAAGCATTATTTTACAACTATTTAAGTGTTTGACACCCTTTTGATATATAATAAAATCTTGATCATATTTGCTGTGTAATATTTGACTGATAAGAATCGTTAAATAATTTTCATCAGTCATTTTTTTTTTTTACACAATCGATAAAAACAACAGAATAGTTACTGTTTTATCAAATATAAATAAATCATCTTCAAGGATATGAACGATAATACAATATAAATATCAAAGTTCATCATCATGTAAAGAGTTGAAAAAATGTTTGTTTGCAATCAATGTTTAGACATCTACAGTAACAAATAAATGACGTTATTGTTTCTACGAAATAGTTTGAATGCTAAACTTTTTCGTATATTAATTATGTTTTTAAATGTCTCATCTGTTGATCTTTATATAAAAGAATTATCAAATCAATTTACACGATCACAATCACTTTTGTTTTTTTTTCTTTCTCATAAAAAGTGAACATTTTCAATTGAGTAATTAGAAAAGTAGCAACGATTTCTCTCGATGACATTTATACTAAAAAGAAAAAACAAATTTGATTCATCTTGTTATTTCTTTTCATATTGTTTAGTGCGTCACAAACGGTTTAACAAAATTGCGCCGTTTCATACACATAATATCACAACCAAAGGTCAATTTCAATCAAGCAATCCATTCAATTATTCAATTTCGTCACAAATAAAAGATATTCAATCATATTGTTTATAAACTTTCAGTTTTATTTCATTTTTTTCCTACATATATCTAAATTTTACTAATAACTACGTTACGCAAGAATAGTTGATATATGTTTATTATTTAACAATTGATACTTGTCCAAAATGGTTGAACAGTTGTACCCCAAATATCATAGCAAATTCGATCTTGAGGACGAATTTCTTGACGAAATATTTCTTTCCAATACCAACCAAAAAACGGATAAAATATAAAACGTTCAACACGAACACGAGCAGTAAGGGCATTACGTGGTACACCAAGAATTCTTGTTTGACCTATTGGATAATTTCCAGACGATAATGTTTGTTCAAATAATTTTACAGGCATAGAGTAACCAGAAACGAAAGTTTTTCTTATCGCATTAGGTATATGATAATCAATATAAAATCGAGCTACATAACCACCTTTATTTCGTACTCGAACCCATGCATCAGCTTAAATTCATATATGTATCATATTAGGAAAAAATTAAATAAATGAATACTTACTTGAATAAATGAGAGTAAAAAGTATCAATATCAGCAGATAAAATTGCATTTTCATTGCATTTGAGAAGATTTGCAATACATCAACATCAGATTTATATTGTTCACAATGGCCTTGCTTCGGGATATTGTAAACTAAATCTTTTGATCTACTTCCCAATGTCGTTATTTATATTTATGGATGGACATTTGCAATAAATAAAATCTATTCGATTGACGTGTGTCATTTTGTTACATCATACAATTTATTAAAATACTATGAAAGAAAGAGTAAATAAAACAGATCATTAGGATTAATACTCAAAGACGAAAAAAGAAAAGTAATCAAAATCTGACATTAGATATAAAATTAAAATAAAAAAAATTCAGTTCATTCAGAATTCATGTTTGTCAAGCGTTGTTCAATTTCTCTAAATATAGAGAAAAAAATCATAGATGATAGTTCTTGACATTATAAAAAAAAAAACCTATATTTTATTAAATCTCACCGAAATGCTATGAGTAGTTCGTCTCGTTTTTGTATTAATATATTCAATATTTCATCATTCAAATCATCAATATGATCATCATCATTATCTAAAGATAAAATTCAAATTTGTCTTTTTTCATTTATATATTATATAAATTACTTTGTCGTTGTTCATGAAATTCATCGATTATACCAATACTTGTATTATTTTTAATCTCATAATGATTATCCGTATTATTATTATCATTAATCATAATCGATGTAACTTGTGTTAATGTACTATCTTGTGAAGATTGAACAGTATTTGAAGGATTTATAATTGATCTTTGATGATGACACGTATTATTTGTTGTTTGATGTCCCGTAACAACAACTGGACGAAATGAATGATGATGATGACGTTTAATCGGTGATGGTGATGATGATGTTCGTGTTATTTCACAATTTGATCGTGGTGGTGGACGATGCCAAATAGATGAATGATGATCATTATCACGTGTTGGACGAAGATCAGCTTCATTCGGAACTAAACTTGAGGAAGAAAGATGATTTTCAACAGTGAACGATGTTTGAATACTGGCATCCTGTTATTAAATAAAAGAAAAGTTTTCTTTGTTTGTAAAGATATTATGAATCTACTTGTAAGGTTTGTGTACATGCTTCTGAATATTGTCGGATCGGTACTGAAGTTGTAACAGGTTGTTTTGTATGTTCTGTTTCGATATTTGTCATTGATGATTGTTTAATAACTGGAGGAGACGGTGGACGTCGTGGAAGTATTGCTGGTATTTCAATAGGTGTTGAAGGTAAAAATGAACGTGTTGGAGATACATGAATTCGATTGGTTATCTGTCAAAATTAGTTATACAAACTGTTTACATAATTTGTTGTGAGATTATAGCATAAAACACGATATAGCTGCTATTGTTAATCAAAGGGAAATTGTTTTTTTTTCTCTATCTAGTTTGAGATACATTTCTTCACCATCTTTCATCAGAAATACAATAAGCAAGGAGTTCACATATTATAATGAGACATTATTTCCATACGACCTATGATCGTATATCAATGTCTATCACCATCTCTAACGCGAGGGAAGGGTGAAAGTTTAAAGTTTTACGCCTATACTTCAATACTCCTTTTCAATCGTGTTTCACAAAGATTTTGCATCTAAATTGATTGATAATTACTTTCGATGGAAATGTTATAGGTTCACCATTTTGTGCTTGTTCTAAGCGTCTACGTAAACGCCATTTATATAAAATATCATCTTCACTACCATCATCAATAAAATTAAGCTTTGGATCTGCTAAAAGATAAAAAAGAGGTTATTGAATATATATTTTATTTTTACAAACTAATTCGCGTAAATATTGGTCGAGCTGGTTGTTCATAAATAACAGGTTGAAAAGTACTTGTTGTTGATGTTGTTTTTGTCAATGTTGATGATGGAGTCGAGCCAATACCTGTACTTGATACATGACCTACATCAGATGAATGTGCACTAAACGTTTGATTAAGAAGTAAAGATGCTCGTTTATTTAAATCTTGATCGATATCTGTCGAAGGAAATATCTATATTATAAAAAAGAAAAAATAATCAATCATTTTTCTATCGTAGATTTTTATTATTATTAAAAAATAATTTTACTTCAATAAATTCTGGAATATTTGATTTATGTTCATGGTTTTCATTAGCAGTCGAACAACAATTTTTTTTTAGTTCATCTAAATGTCAACAAAAGAAAATAGAAATAATAATTTATAAATATACAATAAATATTCTACCATGTAACCACCAAAAATCAGAATTAATTGAATCTCGTTCTGGTCGAGCTTGAGGTTCATCATAACGAAAACGATCAACAAGTCTAAAGCAGACAAATCTATATTTATTTTAAAGATTTTCAATAACAAACTTTTTTAATGTTGGTGGTTCGTTTGATTTTGATGCTGATATATCAAGAACTTTTTTTGGTGAAGATTGAGATCTAAAAATCAATTTGTATAAATCTTTCTTTTACACCTATTTACAAACAAGTAGTATCTGGACAGTGATCTATATCTATTAGTTCGTATTTCGAGCTTTGTGTAGGTCCAAGCAAAAAAAAAAATCAATATTTTAGTTTTCATAGATGTAAAATCTGAATATTTCTTTATCCGAATAATTAGATAGTTGATAGCCGAAAAATGCTTAGAAAAACTGGATTAGTTATTTGTTCTGGTACTTCTTTTTGTGTACTCAAAAAGTGAGTACACTCTAGAATCGGTCAGTATGTCCGTCCGTCCGGCCTTTTACACGATAACTTTCGAAAGGAGAGTCAGATCATGATGAAATTTTCTATACAGTTCAGTCTTAACAATGTCTCGGTCGAATTCGAAGATGAGAAGGATCCGTCAAGAAATGGCTGAGTTATCGAAAAAATTGTCATTATTGACCAGACCATCCCTGAGGGGGGGTACAGGGATTTTTTCAAAAAAATTTTTTTTTCTCAGAATTATTCACAACATATATAAATCAACTCAGTTTTTAATGGTGATTCAGAATCTGATATTAGTTTTGAACCAAATCGTAGCTTTCTAAGAAAACATCGGCTGAAAAAGGTCTAAAAATGCATAGAAACTGCATGGAGAAATCAAATAGGCTAGATATGTCTCAGATGATACAAAACAAAGTGAATATACCTGTTCACTTTTTAAGGTACACATAACACTCGAATTTAAATCCGAGGTTTTCGCATTTATTTTGAATAGTTTTAATACATTATCGCGATTTTATTCTTACACTGATGGAATATTAGAACGTTTTTTGCTTGTCGAACGAATATTTCCCGTTTGGTTTTTCATAGATGGTGTAACATAACGTCGAGATGTTCGATTAGCTACTTGCATTTTTCTTATCAAATCTAATCGGTCCAAAAAACACAAATACAGATCGATTATATTATTACCATTATCAATCAATATCCGACTTCTGTTGTTAAGCAACCACAATTCAATGAAAAAACTATTTTATTAAATATAGATTATTGAAGATTTCTTTTTTTATGTAGCAAAATAAATTCGAAATCCTATCAAACTAAGTCAATGATAGATGTCATTAATTATAGAGACTTATTCATTGGCCTTACCCTAACAGCAACATCAAGTATTTAAGAATAATCCAATCAATGTTAAATTGGAAATCCATGAATATGTTCAAGATAAAACTTATTTTGAACAATTACTATTTATAGTATATGAGATACATCACTGATATAGATCATTCGTAATATTAAATTCTTTTGATTCAGTAAAATTAGACATTTGCTTTTAACGACATCTAACTTTTGCATTGTATTCAAGTAAAATATCTCCTTCACTATTTTTAATACATCATTGTAATGTAGCGTCATCGTTTACATGAAGCTTATCTTTACGAAAAATAAGACAAATACAAGTGAATAAATCGTTTGATTGAAACATTTCTATCACAGTATCTATTTTTGATATTTGAATTGAATTCAGATGTCACTTCATTTAGTGTATTGGACATTGACTTGCATTGCTCGTCATGCTTTATATGACAGAATGACATATTATCTTATTTGCATCTGCGTCAATATGTTGTGGCAAAATAATTTTTACTTATTTTGTTTTCTCAATTGAGCACAAGGTAAAATTATTAGAATTAAATACTTAGGCATTTCTTTTGTATAGTATCGACAAGAACAATCATATAATTATGAATACAATGGAAAAAGTTGATTATATTTATGAACGTTTACGTACACAAATTACAGGCAAAGAATCATCAATAACTTCTCAATCATATGTATTTTTTATTTTTGGTGCATCTGTATGTTTAATGTATTTGTGTTATAATGAAATTTTCTTCTTTTTTTTTTCTCAATTTTACTAGGGTGATTTAGCTAAAACGAAAATCTACCCAACACTTTGGTTTGTCAGAAATAAAAAACAATAAAATATGATTTATTCTTTTTTTTGACAGGTGGCTTTATCGTGATGATTTTTTACCAGAAAATATACATTTTATTGGTTATGCTCGTAGTCAATTGACAATTGAGAAAATATTTGAAAATTCTCATAAATATATGAAAGTAAGAAGATGAAATCTTTTTTTTTATTAAAAATTTATTATTTTAATTTAATTAAATTAGGTTAAAGAAGAGGAACATGATATTTATGAGAAATTTCTTAAACTTAATTCATATATTTCTGGTTCTTATGATAAATCTGAAGATTTTGAAAATTTAAATTCTCAAGCAAATAAAATCTCACATGAAACAAATTCTCATCGAATTTTTTACTTAGCTTTACCACCAAGTGTTTATGAAAGTGCATCAGAATTAATTAGTAAACATTGTCGACCAGCATCGTATGAAAATTAGCATGATTTTATTTTTATTCGGTTTTTTTTTCTTTGTATTTCAAAGACCTAGTTGGTTACGTTTAATTGTTGAAAAACCATTTGGTAAAGATCTTCAAAGTTCAAATAAATTATCTGAACATTTAAGTAAATTATATACGGAAGATGAAATTTATCGTATTGATCATTATTTGGGAAAAGAAATGGTACAAAATATACTGGTACTTCGATTTTCCAATAGAATATTTTCACGTGTTTGGAATCGAGATTCAATTGCAGGAGTTAAAATTATTTTTAAAGAAGATGTTGGAACACAAGGACGTGGTGGTTATTTTGATGAATTTGGTATTATTCGGTATGAAAAAAAAATTATTTTATTTATTATTCTATTGGAGACGAGTATTTGTAATAGAGTTTCGTATGAACATACTATATTTTTTGTGAAAATTATGTTTTTTCCATAAAAAAATTCATTTCTACTATGTAGAACATAACAACTGATAAAAAATTTTTTTTTGACGAAAAATTTCTGAAGAGATTTTTTAGCTTCAATGTTTGACGAATAAATTTTTATTTTATAACACTAAAAAATGATATAGCATTCAATGTAGTTTCTTACGTTGGTTCTAAATCTAATATTTATTTTTGTTGAAAAGTGCTTCTGAACCAAGAAAATCAAGGATCATCAGGAAAACGAAGTATCTTTAAAAAGTTTATATATCACAAGTGAAGTGCTCGAACTGTTCAGTCTCTTTTTAGTCGAGATTACGGGCATTACGTAGATCCAAATTAGCTGTGAGTATACTAAAAACAGTTCGCGATTTTGGCTTATTGCTAAAGAAATATTGTACTTTTATGGTATGTGTTGGATGAATGGCATGATTTCCCTCAGGAACGCCAAGAAAACTGGTTTCTGCCTTGAAACTTTGCATAGAGATAGGCCTTAATAAGAATAGTTTTTTTTTTCGAATATTTCAGATCGTATCACTGTTCCTATCCTATGATATCTTTGTTAATAGTATACAGCGGTAGATCTGATTTTCTTATTTAAGGATAGAAACAAATCAAAAGATCTATAATTTTCACAATCGACTACTCTTTTTAAGGTCTATCTCCATGTAAAGTTTCAACTCAAAATTCGAAAGGCGTTTATTTGATGTTTCTGGATTCATTTAAAAAATACTGTAAAAGTGCAATATTTCCATAGCCATAATTTAAAGATACGAACTCTATTTAGGACATTCATAGCTCATTTGAATCTACATAATGCACATAGTCTCGATTCAAAAACAATTTATTAGTTGAAGGACTTCGATCGTCTGTGAAGAAGTTGTTGTGCATACGTAGTAGACGTATCATATAGAGAAGAAATATCTCTAAAAATTTCGTTTCGAATCGGAATTATGGAAAAATGTGTAACGTCAATTTAGCGAAGAAATATTTTTGGATAACTCTTTAATCCAAAAAACAAAAGTGAGATTAATTTTTTTACTTGAACTAGATACAGCAATTATTTCATGAATCGATAGAGCAGTCACTATTTTTTCAGAATATATACAATTTGCGGAGCGATAGGAGTTATTCGAATGATTATGCGTTGAATAGTTTTCATTGAAGAAAAATTGATGGAAAGACATTTTGTCAACAGTTATCTGATTGAAAGATATTTTGCCGAAAACTACTAAAATAGAAGCGTTTGCTATTTATTCTTTTACATTCAGTATGAGTTTTTTGTATTTATATTGACTGTAACAGAATAAAAAAGTAAATACTACTGTTTTAGTAGTTTTTGATTAAGTATCTTTCGAGCGTGTAACTGTCGACGAGAGTTCTTCGACAAATAATCATTTGACCTACAGATAAATATTCCAATTTTTTAGTGCATTTTTCCTACCTTTTCTTTAAAAAAATCAATTTCTATTCCAGGTCGCTACAAAAATGTTCTTATTTTAGAACAACGGCTTTTGTAATTAATTAAGAAGTCGAACTAAATCTTTCGATTTATTTACTTGGTTATGAGCCAATGTTTAGTTTCCATTATTCCCACCATCGAAAATTTCATTTTCATTTTTTTTCAACTAATATCCACGTTGTTGACGAGTTCTATTGACGTTGAAATAAATAAACGATATATTGAGATGATATTTTTATTTGAATTGAAAATTATGATTATTTATTTAAAGTGATGTCATACAAAATCACTTAGTGCAAATCTTATCGATTGTTGCAATGGAAAAACCACGTTCAACAACCGGTGAAGATATTCGTGATGAAAAAGTGAAAGTATTACGTTGTATAGCTCCAATTAAATTAGAAAATGTTGTTATTGGACAATATATTGGTGATAAAGGATCAATAGATAGTGAGCATCAACTAGGATATTTAGATGATAAAGGTGTACCAAAAGATTCTACAACACCAACATATGCACAAGTCGTTCTTTTTATAAAAAATGAACGTTGGGATGATGTACCATTCATACTTCGTGCAGGTATAATTTTTATTTTAAGAATTCTATGTAGAACGAAATATCTACTTTAGTACTAGTGTAATATTATGAAATTTGGTTTTTCTATCAAAATATTCTTTAAAGAAGACCAGGAGTTTTTTTCTTACTCTCATATTATCTTGAAAATAAATTCTACTATCTTACATATATTCTCAAAGCAATCAACATTGAGATGCAGAAGAAAAACCGGTATGCGCGTAGAAGAAAATTTCGACGAAATTATTATCTGCATGAAAACTTTGTTCATGTAGAAGATTAGTTAATAAAGTTTTTCTTTCGTAGGAATCAAAATATGAAGTTTGTGCACACATTAAAAGATTGATTCTCAATAGAGAACAATCTAACTGTTTTCTTGTTCAATTTTTTTCAATATTCAATACATCTCTTCTTCGACATGCATAAATCTTATATTGCATTATGTTTTATTTGGCTATGCCCTTCGAATCTGAGCAGTATTAGCGCATTTCGTTTGCTTGGATTGCTGGTTAGGTTAACCTTTATTTTACTTTTCATAATATACACAACAAACTGTCTGCTACAAGTTGCGAAGAAATCATCAAAGGCAAAGTAATAATTTAGAAAATTTCGTTATGCTACTAATCCTCAATCTAACCTATAATTCTCGTCGTCTTTACCTTCAACTGTAAGCATTGGTTACAATATGATAAATAGTTTCTGGAATGACCAAGTATCAAGACCATCAGTATTTTTCAATTATTGAAGACATTAATTTATTTTCTACATAACGTTATTTTGAGTGCGTAGTAGCCTTATGTCTCTCTTGGTTCTTATTTATTATATATGTATATATTTATTTTGATAATAGAAAATTTTTTTTTGAAGAAGTTCTCTTCGTTGGGAGAAAATTTTCATTTTTGCAGTAGATTCTGCATTTATAATCGCTTTCTTTAATCCAGTTTGCTTTGCTCATAACAAGCCACAGATGCAATCGACTCGTGCTTTTTAGGAGTTGATCCTATTTCGTCTAAACGCTAATGTGCATGCTTAAAAACTACACATTTTTCATGTTCGTATCGAATGAAATATATCAGTACATAACAGTTGTAACATATTAATATGCTATTCGATATCCTCAATAATATCTGTTATAGTTCGAAGTATTATAACTTTTGCTTTTTTGATGTTCTCAATTTTTCATGCTAATAAATGATTATTTACAGGCAAAGCATTAAATGAGAAAACAGCTGAAATTCGTGTTCAATTTCGTGATGTTCCTGGCTCAATGTTTGATGAAGAATTATCTGAAAATGGTGTTAAAGAAAGATTAGCTCGTGATGAACTTGTGATTCGTATACAACCCGATGAAGCTATTTATCTTAAAGTAAATACAAAACGACCTGGTGAAATGAATTTTGGTATTGAAAAAACTGAATTGGATTTAACTTACAATGAACGATATCGAGGTGTAAAATTGCCTGATGCATACGAACGTTTAATACTTGATGTATTTATGGGTTCACAAATAAATTTTGTACGTTCTGATGAATTACAAGAAGCATGGCGTATTGTTGATCCAATACTAGCTGAAATTGATAAGAAAAAATTATCCATTATTCCATATACATTTGGTGCCATTGGAATACGTGAAGCATTCGATGCAGCCGTTACACAAGGTTTTGTTTATACTGGTAAAAATTTATGGAAAGATGAACCGTCAACATCAATAATTAATTCACAAGAAGATAAAAACAATATGGAATCTCATTCAGCGAATACATGAATAAATGCTTAAGTCTTTCATATAAAACATTTTTTTAAAATTATTCTTATGAATATTTCAGCATTTCATTACTTTGCTTTTGTTTTTTATTGTTAAAAAAAAACAAGATTTATAGAGTATAGATCTTTTTTTATCAATTCAGTCGTTTAATTTGTTCTCAAAAAACAACTCGCATGACTTTTTTTTTGTATTGTATATTTCTTGTTGTAGATTAAACAAAAAATATGAGCTTAACGGGAGGATATCATTTGTCAAAAACAAACGGAAATATGCCGCATGATGATCTTCTTATACCTGATTCGAAGTCATCACAACAACAACAATCTCAACAACAACGACCATCACCACCATTCTATTGTTTAAGTCATTATCCACTTGAACCACCACCAACTGGCAGTACAAATCTTATTGTTCATTGGGGTTTAAGTCGTGATTTTGATAAATATGTTAAACAACCAATACCACCATCATTAAGTGATTTTTTAACAGATATTCCATTAGCTGAAACAGCACATCATAAAGCAGCTTCATTTGCTGGTGATGCACATGGTGGTGTTGGAACCTTACGTTCATTATTTGCTGGTCCAATTATTTCAAAAGAAATTCTACCACTTACAGAACAACAACTTAGTGCATTTCGTTTACATCGTGAGCCAATATTACCTGATTTATATCAAATATATACAAGTTCACCAAAAGAACCACGTGCGGCACCAACAACAGAAACACTTCTTCCTCCACCAGTGACAAATCCAATACCTGGACCTTCACCACAAGTTCAACGTGTTATTAATGAACAAACATCACGTGTATCACCGGATGTTAAACGAAAAGCACCTGCTGATACAACACCTGTTATACAACAACAAACAACAACACCCGTTGCTGGTATTCTTAATCGAACAACAAGTACGCCAACATTAGCAGCAAATACAAATTTACCATCTAGTAGTGGACATTTAAATGATGATCAAGATGAAATGAATTTATCAAAACGAAAAACTAAAAAAACTAAAAAAGAAAAAAAAGTTTAATGTACATGTTCTTTTTTTGTTGTTATTATTATTATTTTTTTGGCATTTTGCTACTAATTGTTATTACAATTAAAAGAAAAAAAATCTTAATTTTCGTTCTAGATCAATTTTTTGTCATTATTTTAAAGACATGGTTAGTAGAGATAAACTTCCAAAAGTAGGTGATGTTGAGCGAGAATCTAAATATGGTTACGTTTTCGGAGTTTCGGGTCCAGGTAATGAAAAAATTTATTTATTTCAATGAATCAATTAATTATTTGCTTTGTCTATTCTAGTCGTTATAGCTAATCATATGGCTGGTTCGGCAATTAATGAATTGGTAAGATTGATAAAAGTCATAAACCTCTCCATATATTAGAAGATCCGAACTTTGTCAAAAAAAGTTCTTTGCTGAATTATCACTAAGTCGTATTTATTAGAAAATAAAAGTTACGAATGAATACAAGAAGAGATAGTAATAGTTTATCTATCCATAACGATAATATGTTTTCTTCAGAAGAAAGAAAAAAGTGAGAAAATATGTAATCTTAAGCTTTCTTTAATTATTAACAGCAACAAAATAAAAACAGTTCATGAAAGGAAATTTTCCAACTGATTACTCGCTTTGAAATTCGGACTATGTGCATCGTGTAGACTCTAATAAGCTATGAATACGCTGAAAAGATTTATTGCTGTTAGTTTATTGCTGCTACCATACTGCGTTTTAAAGGTTTTTCTAAGTTAATACCATTGCTCCTCCCATAGGAACACTAGGAAAATTCATTTCTAAATTTTGACTTGAAACTTTGGGCTGAGACAAATCTTAACCAGAATAATTTATTGTGAAATCTGTTGTTTTTTTTTGATTTACTCCTTTTCTGGAATAAGACTAACAACTCTGTTGGTGTCTATAAGTAATGTAAAAATAAATAAGCTTTTATCAGTACTATATCTTAGAAAAGGAAAAATGAAAATGTCTGACACTTTCATAATAAACTATTCTCGATGAGCTCAATCGTCATGAAAAGTTTCACGTCAAAATTCGAAGACTAGTTTTTCTATTGTTTGCGAGGGGTGCCACGTCATTATATTGAAAAATATTGTACAAAAAAGTAAATTATCGGCAGCAACACGCTAGGAGTACGCAGTCTTTTCGAAGTATTTAAAGCTTACTAGGATTTACATGAAGCAAAATAGTGTTAGTTCAAAAGTAATTAATCAGTTGTGATATTTTCTTGGTGAGTTTATGAAAAAGTGGTATTTGACTCTAGTTCTTTTTTTTGTTTAGTTTTACTTTGTATTTAAAATAACATGATAGTGAACTGAGTAAAACATAATAGAAGACTTACAGTCTTCTATTGTGTATGTGCGAAGGTTTATTTAATAAAAAGAAATTAATTTCTGTCTGTTTTTTTTTTGTATAGGTTCGAGTTGGTCATGAAGAATTAGTCGGCGAAATTATTCGTTTAGAAAATGATTTAGCAACAATTCAAGTTTATGAAGAAACATGTATTTTAAAAGATTTTTTCATTCAATATTAAAATATTTATTTTAAATATTCTTTTTTTAGCTGGTGTTACGGTTGGTGACCCTGTTTTAAGAACAGGCAAACCATTATCAGTTGAACTTGGTCCAGGCATTATGACAAGTATTTTTGATGGTAAGAAAGATTCATTTTAAAAAGAAAACTCCTTTATACAGATGACATTTTTTCGTATAGGTATTCAACGACCCCTTGAAGTTATTTATAATTATACAAAAAGTATTTACATTCCACGTGGTATCAATGTACCTGCATTAAGTCGTTCAGCATCATGGCATTTTGCACCAGATAATCGTCTTCGAGTATGAATATTTTTTGAAAGTTGAATTTCACGTATTTCTTTATATATATTTTTTTTTTTTTTGTTAGGTTGGTAGTCATATAACCGGTGGTGATATATTTGGCGCAGTACCAGAAAATAAAATGATTAAACATCGTATAATGCTTCATCCAAAATCCAAAGGTACAATAACATATATTGCACCGGACGGCAATTATACACTTGAAGTTTGTTGAATAAAGTTGTTTTTATTTGTATGATTTGATTTTAATCGTTTTGAAAAAAAATGAATAGGATGTTGTCCTCGAAACAGAATTCGATGGAGAAAAAGCTAAACATACAATGCTTCAAATTTGGCCTGTTCGACAGATGCGACCAGTAGTTGAAAAACTTGCAGCTAATCATCCATTGTTAACCGGTCAACGTGTATTAGATTCATTATTTCCGTATGTATTGGAGTTCTTTTATTGAAAAAGAAAAAAAAACAAAATTGTTTGTATATTTAGATGTGTACAAGGTGGTACAACAGCTATTCCAGGTGCTTTTGGCTGTGGAAAAACTGTTATTTCCCAATCACTTTCAAAATTTTCTAATAGTGATGCTATTGTTTATGTTGGTTGTGGTGAACGTGGAAATGAAATGGCTGAAGTATTACGTGATTTTCCTCAAGTAAAAAATTTCATTGAGTTTCTTTCTTTGAATGTAATTTATCGTCAAAAAAAAAAAATATTTTGTAGTTAAAAATGGAAGTAGACGGTAAAGAGGTATCAATTATGGAACGAACAACTTTAGTTGCAAATACATCTAATATGCCTGTCGCTGCTCGTGAAGCATCGATTTATACAGGTGAATTTAATGGATGAATGTTAATTGAAAATTTATTTTTTTTTTTTTGTTTAAAGGTATTACACTATCCGAATATTTTCGTGATATGGGTTATAATGTTGCTATGATGGCTGATTCAACATCACGTTGGGCTGAAGCTTTACGTGAAATTTCTGGTCGTTTAGCTGAAATGCCTGCTGGTCGGTTTTCTTCTTTTTTGAGAATCTGAAATCATTATTATATATTCTTGTTTTAGATTCGGGTTATCCGGCTTATTTAGGTACTCGTTTAGCTTCATTTTATGAACGTGCTGGTCGTGTTCGATGTTTGGGTAATCCAGAACGTGAAGGTTCTGTCAGCATTGTCGGAGCGTAAGTATACGATACAAACGAAAAATAGAATCCTGGTTAAAAGGTGCCACCCGTCATGAAACATTACTATTCTTTATAATATTTTGGATGTATGCATGCAACAAAAATAACCTGCTTGCAAACAAAAATCTGTTCTCCATCAATTCACATGCATTGGAATTATGATTTAGACAGCATTTCTCTCTTGTGATCACCTTATCTAAACCATGCTGGCACAAATATTTTCGTCGAACTCCTCATTCTAAAGATCAATATCGTAGCTATTTCATATCCAAATTTCGTTAGAAATTATTTTAAAATAACTGAAATATTGTTTTTGCATGAAGAATGTCTGTTGAAGAACAAATACTGATTTTTAGTAAGACGGACTTTTTTCACAATGTATTTGACCTATTCATTAGAAACTTCAGCGGAAAGTTCCAGTAAGACACAGCTGTGCTCAATCTTCCAAATAAGAAAAGGCAGCTATAAGTTTCGTATGAAGTCGATTGTGTATCGTTGAGATATCATAGATAGCGTCACCTTCGATACACTATAATGTGGCCGGAGTGAAGGTCGTGTCCTCTATTGATATCTCAATCGTACCCATTAGAACTTGATAGGACATACATCTTTAGGTAGAGGAAGCCTAACCTTACAAACCAACACATGTCCTGTTCTGAGATCAAGGCCTTACATTCGATTTTCTGAAATTTGAAGCATCTGCGTTGCAATTTGTTCGATACTTCTCGAAATGATGCAATTTCCGTAATTACTGATACTATCAATATTTCTAAAAACTCGTATTTTGTACTACTTTGTAATTATCGAGCTTCTAGAAATTTCGGTAATTTCCTTTTTCGGAAGCCTGAACATATCTTCTAAGACGAGAAATCTGTTCTGAAAGTTTTAGAATCGCAGATGTAAATGAATTCAAATTAGTAGTACGACATGAGTTCACTAGAGCAGAGCGTACTAATTACTAAGATCCTAACTGTGTCGGGGGCTTTAGTGATAGTAAAGTAGACATATGGGACAACCTTTAGCTCTAAAATAATATCAGTAGCTTGCGAAATAAGAAAACGGCAAACAAAAACTTTCTGAATGCATGTTTTCGTTGAATATTTTTACAAGGAAAAAGAACATATGTGTACCATCACGCCTGTCTATGTGATTCAATGAAGAACGGGTTTATACTTAAGATCAGACTCTATTGTCGCATGCACACATGCACCTAATATATTAACTCGACATCATAAAGAATAGTGGCACGTCATGAGTGACGATTACTTTTGTCCAGGACTAAATAAACAAAACAAAGCATTTGATTTTTGTTTTACTTGTAGTGTTTCGCCGCCTGGTGGTGATTTTGCTGATCCAGTTACAGCAGCAACATTAAGTATTGTACAAGTATTTTGGGGTTTAGATAAAAAATTAGCACAACGAAAACATTTTCCATCAGTTAACTGGCTTATTTCATATAGTAAATATACTCGTGTTCTTGATGATTATTATGATAAAAATTATCCAGAATTTGTACCATTACGTGCTAAAGTATAAATTTCATTCTTGTTTTAAATATGAAAACAAAATCTTCTTTTATTTTTAATTTAGTGTAAAGAAATATTACAAGAAGAAGAAGATCTTTCTGATATAGTACAACTTGTCGGTAAAGCATCGTTAGCTGAAACAGATAAAATAACACTTGAAGTAGCACGTATGATAAAAGATGATTTTCTTCAACAAAATGGTTATTCATCATATGATAAGTAAGGAAAATATATTCTTTTTTGTTTTTTAATTATTTATTTTATTTCGTTTTATTTTTATTTTAAAGATATTGTCCATTTTATAAATGTGTTGCAATGCTTCGTAATATGATTGCATTCTATGATTTAGCACGACATGCTGTTGAAACAACAGCTCAATCAGAAAAGAAAATCACATGGAATGATATTCGAACAAATCTCGGAGATATTATTCATCAATTAAGCAGTATGAAATTCAAAGTAAGTTCTCGTTTTATTAAATATATCAATGGATTATTATAATATGTCTAAATTAATTTAGGATCCAACGAAAGATAGTGAAGACAAAATAAAACGTGACCTTGAAGAACTTAATGAACGTATGCAAGCTGCATTTCGCGATATGGAAGAAAATTAATTTTTTTTTTTCTTTTTTCATAATTTTTATTAGCATTCTGTGTTGTTATAATCTGTTTATCCTTCCATTTAATCATAATTATTATCCTATAGACTCGATTCTATTTTTTTCTCGTTTCAATTCCGTATTGTTCCAACGTTTGTTCGTTTATCTTGATCATTATTTAGTTTTACTTTTTTGTTTTTTGTCTATTAAAATAAGAACAAAACAAATTTGTGATCGATGTCTGTCTTATTTATTTTCCTTTTGATTTATTATATGTCGTAATTAAGTGCAATAGCATTTTGTTTTTTATCCTTATCATATACTTATGCAACTAAAAACTTTCTTCTTTCTTTGTGTTAATTATTTTAGAAAAAAAAGATATTGGTCATTTCTTTTATTTTTCATTTGACATTAAGACAATAAAGAAAGGCTGAATTTTTTTTTCTTCTTTCCAATTTTAAGATATGTCTGAATTAGTTGAACGTAAAGGTATTAAAATTGAATCAACTGCAACATTAAAAAAGAAAACAAAAGAGAAAAAATCCAAATCAAAAGATCTTGAACATGTACGTATTATTGATGATGATGCACCAGTGCCATGGGGTACAACAACAGAACCTGATACAATAGCTAATGATGAAATTGTTTCAATTGAAGATGCTCCAGTTGTTATCGGTATGTATTTCTTTTTTGTCTAAGTTAACAATAAAACTATTACTTATTCTAATTAATATTTATTAGGTATTGTTGATGAACGTCCATCTGAAATACGTGAAAAAGAACGTTTTAATGATGTTAAACGTTGGCGAACAGCAGCTTTTGAAGAAGTACCTGAACCTGATAGTATAGGACCTCAACCAAAACCAACAAAAATTCTTTCTTCATCAAAGTCTCGTCAACAACAAAATTCATCTGATGATAGTGATTCTGAAATCGATCAACATCAACCAAGAAAAAAAAATGATCCTGATTTATCTCCACCACGACGAACAACACAGCAGAATGATGATGATCCATCTCCTCCGAGAAGAAGGCGTCAATCAGATGATGATCCAAGTCCACCACGACGACGTGATCTATCTCCACCACGAAGAAAACATGATGATTCATCTCCTCCGAGAAGAAGACGTCAATCAGATGATGATCCAAGTCCACCTCGACGACGTGATCCATCTCCACCACAACGAAAACATGATGATACTTCTTCTTCACGAAAAAAACATCGAACAACTGATGATTCTAGTTCATCGAGACGGTATGATTCATCACCTCCTCGACGAAAACCCAAATATAATGATGATTCAAATCTATCAAAACGACGCGATACTTCTCCATCTCACAAACGGCAACCACGAGATGATAATGATATAAGTCCTCCAAGACGTCAAGATAAATCTTCAACTTCTCATCGAAAAAATGATCGACATTCTCGACAAGATTCACCATCATCAACAACAACAACAACAAATCGTCGATCAAAACAAGAATCACCTCCACCACCTTCTCAACCAGCTAAATCAGAACGACGACGTTTAGCTGAACACAAAGAACAAGTAACTGAACGATATGCACAATGGGGCCGTGGTTTAGCTCAAGTTCGACAGACGGAAGAGGCTGTGAAAGATTATTTAGAACAAGCATCAAAACCATTAGCACGTTATCGAAACGATACGGATCTTGATGCTATGCTTAAAGAAAGAGAACGTGAAGGTAAATGAAATAGATTAAGTTTTGAAATTTTATTTTTAAAATATCAATATCTTTAACTGGTACCTTTCTATTTTTTACTAAGTAGTATTGAATGATTATCAAATCTTTTCTTTTTTCAAACTAGATGATCCAATGCTCAAATATCTTTCCAAACGAACATCTGATGTAGGTGATCGAACGAATAATAGTAATAGTGCTCCACCTAAACCTCGTTACAGAGGACCTGATCCTCAAAAGAATAGGTACGAATATGAATCCTTTATGATTTAGTTTTAATTAAGTTATGATATATATATATACATTTAGATTCGACATTTGGCCTGGTTATCGATGGGATGGTGTCGATAGATCAAATGGTTACGAAAAGAAATTATTTGAATCGATTGCTAGTCGGCATGCTAAATCACAAGAAGCCTATCTATGGAGTGTTGAAGATATGTAAATTAAATTGTGCTAATTTCTTTTTGGTATTAAAATATAATACAGATATTAAAATCATTTGTTCAAAAGACTTTTAGTCTAAACTATTTGATATTCTTGTTCGCGATCTGATAATACTTATTTGATAATGCAGTTCATTTTACTATATGTGCCACTCGGAAACGCTGTTGACTTATATGCATTGAAGCAACATGAAGAAATTAAATAATAACAAACGTTCTTGCGTGATATGCAAAAATAAGAAAATGGAAAGGAGTATTTTAATACAATGTTAATGATAGTCATGTATGTAGATATTGCCTTCAATTGTTAGAGAGGTAAGAGTTAAGAGAAAAACAGAAGAAATCAACCACAAAAAAGAAAAATGAAAAATAGGCAACGAATAGAAGAACTAAAGAAATTGAAGAGACATCGAGCACAATGAAGTAAAAAAAGCAATAATCTGTTCGTTAAGCGGGTTATTTAATCACTTTTTTTTAATGTTTTTCATTCTATTCAAAAAATTTTATTTCGTTGAACTCATTTGCAATACGACTTCTCGTATTATTTGTTTGTTGATTATATTCCTAGTTGGATTGTGATTTAGTTTTAATGAAATATGACAATTGAGATGATGATAAACAATGAGAGGGTAGTTTGGTAACGCACAATTTACAAGAAGCCTTGACGATCTGATATTATATTTATATATAACAATTAGAACAAAAATTCAGAATGTTTTTTTTTTCTATTTATCAATATTTGTGCACGTGCCAATGTCATGAATATTTCTTTAGAAAGAAAAAACATAGCCAAAAATCATTCAAGAAATTATTTATTGGCATGAATATTGAAAAATATTTTAGTTTAACTGACATTGTTATACAAGCAATGCATTATATTATATAAATAATCTTTCGACGGGATCATCAAATGCAAAACATGTAAAAAATTTCAACCATCATTTGTCCTATGATTATTAATCTCTAATAAAGACATTATTACGAATTATAACATCGACACGAGAAATTCGTAAACGTTGATATACTTATAAGAATGAATGCAATTGCAATGGATCCCTTAATTCAAGATAATCATTTAAGGTAAAATGTATCTATGCTGGTCTGATTTAGAAAATGTTTATTATAGACTAAAAATCCTATGGATGTTAGATGCATAAAAGACGTTTGTTGTGCTGATAAAATAAAACAGTCATGCGTTGCACCCGTCAGCTAATCGATGATTTGTGGAATGTACTTAAACATATCACACATGAATAAAATTATCAGACGAAAACTTTAGATTCACTTGTTGACCTAATACGAAAAAACAATCAAATATTGAGCAACATGATTTTAATTCTTTGCAAAAAAAAATATTGAGTCTATAATGGATGTGAGTGTAAAACGACAACTCATCTTTCTTTATACCAATTCTTATTAGAAATCTCGTTTAGTTTTGATGAAAAATTCAATTATAATAACGGGATTAAAAAATCGAACGAGATTCCTTTTCTCAAAAACTAATAGTTGTTGTATATATGTCCAGCTAACAGAGAAAATAAATCGTTCTTTTTAATAGTTCTTAGCAAAAGTCATTTTCACTTCCCTTTTCAGTTGATTCATGATTATTGTCAAATTTCATTCATCATCATCAAAAGAGTATTTATTTCAAGTAAATAAAAAAAAAACTGTCATTTTTCTTGTGTCAACTATCTCTTTAACACGAAACTAAGATTGTTCTATCATATCTGTAGAATAAACGATAACAGGTTGATCAAACATATAGTATTCACGAAGATAAATAGAAAATCCCGAAGAAAACGTCCATGCAGAGAATGGCTGAACGATATCATGGAATGGTGTGGGCGAAGCGGACAAGACCTGTTCTACCTAGCACAAGGCCGACGGATATGGAAGAAACTAATCCGTACAGTGGTTGGCCCCAACGAGTGATAAGCTTACGGAACATTATAAATCTCATTAACAGAATATGAGTTAACGAAGTCGTTCATTGATACTTCTTCAAACTAACTTGCATATTCTAAACTAACATTATTGTAACTCAAAAATTGGTCATTTGTTTACTGTAAAAGATTTTGATTTCAGAGTGATTGATAAAGTTTTGTTCGATTATAAGCAACAAGTTAAGAATTTTTCAGAAATTTCGGGCCATTTTTAAAGCGTGAAACATTCAACAAATGAGACCGAAGCTTATTGGACACCTTTTATTTTAATTCATGTAAAACTTATCCAAAAAGATTAAGCTATAAGTTTTGAGACAATTAACATTTAACCCTACAAAAATACATCTTCATTCTAAATAATCTCTTTTTTTTATAGTTAACCTTCGATTATTTGTAATAACAAAGCATAATCATGTGTACCATTTTTGTACAGTAAATTTCGATCGATGATTGAGATTTGAAACACATTTTTTTACACAATCATAATTGAATACAGTTCTCTATTACTTATTATTTTAGAGAAGCAGAAATCTTAGCATATCGTGATATCAATGACAACGATTGTAAGACAAACTTTATGAACTCAACATCTAGTTAACAAAGAAAAACACTTCAGCTGCCTTGTAACTTACAAATTTGTAGTAACGTTGTATGCAGATCTTAGTGAGACCTAAAGAATTCATTACATTTGTGTATCGTTGTCAATATATGACGATCTCAATAGTGAAAAAATAATGCAATTCTTCCATTATGTTTAAGAATAGTAAGAAAATCGTGTTATTTTTGGATATTAATGCTGTTATATCTTGACAATATTATGTTAACATCACAAATTCTTTTAGTCTTAGTGAGAGCTATCTACTTTAAATGCTAATAGAAGCACGTAAATTCCAGGTACTTGATGCTATTTTCTTGTAGAAAGAGTTAGAAATTTAAATCTTTGTTAGGTTAGTCATATCAAACAATAATTAGGAATGTAAAGAATGAAATTTCGAACGATTTCTTTACATGCTCAGTTACTGTAGAGCCTTCTAAATACCAGTGGACATCCCAAATAGAGGTGGATAGACCGAAAACCTGTTCGAAATGGTGCAAACACATTTAGAACTACTCGCTTCAAACATCATTTGCAAATACATATTTGCCTCTACTGAACTTACTAAAAGTTTAATTCTACCACATTTTTTCATCAATTGATAAACATTTTTTTAAAATTTATTGGTTCTATCATTCATAAAAAACCTTGATATAATTAAAATCCTACCCATTAAGCCCCCCCCCCCCCATAAAAAAAGTCAATTTTCGTCAAAAATTCAGAAATTGAAATAAATACATGGGGAGATAGCCCATCATCTGCTCTTTCATAAACGATCATTTGTTTTTCTCGTTACTTCATTTTTCCGAAAAAATTTTCAAGATTTCCGTCAACCCCTATTCGAAAAACCAGCTGTTTTTTGAATAATCAAAAAATGTTTTTCGTTTTTTCTCAGTTTCCGCTTTCTCAAAAGCGCNAGTAGTAATTGAACACTTTCTTTTATTAATCAGTAGCGGACATCATGCTGGCTTATAACATATATTGTGCTTGGTTGTCACTTCAGTGGATTTCGTAAAAATTTGAGTTTTGTGTAGATCTCGCTATTTTCAGGCTAATTCTTTTAAAATTAGCTGATTTTTCATTCTACTTAAACTTTGTAACAAAAATTTTAACGCCATTAAATAGTCCATTGTTCGAAGTATATGTAGTACTATTTGAATTTTGCAAAAGTACACTTTCGATTTTTCACCTAATGTCCACTTGGTTGCCCACTGTGAACGATGGTGATATCTATTTTGTTGAAGATATAGATGGATGTATATGATATTTTGTTTATTAATAAATCATTAATATTTGTTTTATCTAATGTCTAAACATCTTGATCATCAGCTGTTATTGTTGCAAGATCATTTGTATTTAATATTTCATCATTATCTTTTTATGAATTCTAAAGAGATTTTATTTTAAAATTTTGTTCTTTTTAGAAATGAGAAAAATACAAATCATAATCGTTTTCATCGGGACTTTCATTATCTGAACTATGTAAATTCTTTTTTTTTCGTATTAATGTTGGCAAATGTTTAATATTATTATTTGATTTTTCAATTTCTAATATTGTCATGTTTTAAACTCATTAATTCATCAAAATTACGTTCACGTTCTCTAAGAAAATAAATAAACTAAATAAGAAAAAGATTAAAATTTAATTTCTTACTCACCAACTCGTTTATTTGTCAATAAATCATTAAATAAAAAAGCTAAAATTCCAGCTTTTTCATCAGCTATTAATAGTTTAGATGATGTATCAGATTAAACTCTGTATTAATTTATAATCAAAACCATCACGTACTCTTATATATGTATGTAATATTCCACTGAATGTATGTACAGTTATACCAATTTCAGAAAATTTTTATCCAAAATTAATTATACCTTTTTCTGAATTTGATGGTATATCAGAATCTTCACATGATATATGCCGTAAAATTTCACATAACGAATTTTATCTCTTGATAATGATGGTATTATCAATGATTGTTGGGGATTATTGAATGTTGAAATTAAATTATCAGCTAAAAGAAAAAGATTTTTTTATGAAAATTTTTTTCAGTAACATACGATAGTTAAGAAATTCAATAATCATTAATGAATTAGCAAATGCTTCAATTGATAAACGCATATTTTCAACTCGTTTTAATATTGAAAATGGATAGAAGAAAACAAAGAACTTCTTTGTATAATTAAAGATTTTTGTGCTACAATTACAATTAAAAATGATTACCATGTTTACAGTGATAATTTTCAACTTGCCTAATTTTTTCCGCATATACTTTTTTTTAATCTTTATTACTTTGTTTATTTATCTTCTTGACATGTATTAGAGGAAGGTTTCAAATAAGCATCTCTGAGCAGAGCGAGCAGAACAATCCGTCGATGGAGAGCCAGAAAAAGAGACCTTGTGGTTTTTTGCTGTTGATCGTGGTGTTGTTTGCGATGTGGCTCTGAAAGAAAGAAAAAAACAAGTAGCGTTTATTATGAATATATCGTAACGATGCGGGTGAACTATTTATAACTGTGGTAAACAATGTCGAACTAAAAAACAATTGCATATCTAATATCATCTTATCACGTGATGAACATCGAAACTCAAGGAAAAAAGGAAGAAATGTGAAAGATCAGAATCGATTTACATGTCAGCCACTATGTATAAGTGTAGAAATTCTCACACATATCATTATATCAATAAATATTAATCGAAATATTGATATACGTTGATATCAATGTTAACAGATCTGTTTATAATATTTGTACATCCACAAAACTTTGCTAGAAGTCTTAGGTCAACATTTGAACGATAATATCACTGAAAAGTGATATGCAGTTACTGATTTTGACTGTGTCAATATGCGATATCGTTGCCAATTAGCGAAAGACAAAATAGAAAAATCTGCATTTTTTCAGCCAAACTGAGATTAATGTCAAGCAGATTCAAAGTAGCCAAAGTTACCCATAATATGATGACTAAGATGACATGTTGCCAGTGACTGAAATTGCAAATGGAGGATTTCCAACTCTGATTTTGGCTCTCGACGATGATCCGTTTTCTGCACCACTTCTAAAGATCTTTCGTTGGCTTTCATATAAGACCATAGATCGGAGGTATAATCACTGGGTTGCTATGGGTAAGTAAATTTTTCGCGAAACAAAAAATTAATTTCCTGCTTGTGTGCACCCGCCCATACCAAGTCGAGCACCACCCTTAGAAAATGTCCAGCTACGTTTCTACCGTAGATTACAGAAACTACTTCCCATTTGCAAGTATCCACCTGGAAACGTTCCTCTTTTCTCAAGAAATGATCGAGACTGAAAATCGATACCTTTGTCAAAAATGCAATTTAGCTAAGGGTTTTCTGTCGAAGCACAAAACTTCACACAGTTGAAAATTTGATTATACATAGATCTCGGTCAGTTTTACTCATAGTAAAAGATGACAGCCTCCTTTGCTGTCATGAGATCTAAAACATTATAATTGGCTAAAATCGTGATTTTTCTTCAGCTATGGAATGCGAAAGGACCAATTATTCACGTTGAAAGTTTTGTTATGCATAGAACTCAGCAGTATGTACAACTAGGAAAAAATTCAGATTGATTGATCGAGGTGTTCTTAAGATATTAAGTCCTCAATATACTCACTTGCTGCAAGAACTACCTTTTAGGACTTTTAGAAAAAAATTCATTAAAAATCGATGGCTCAAGATTCTTTAAAACGGCTTTTGCCAATATTCGTAAAACTGTTTCCTCTATAATATATATGGATTTTAGGACAATTGGTTGCTTTCAAGTGAGCAGAAACGACTTTCACCCGAATCGATGGATTCCCATTTCTGTATTTTATTCAAAAAAAGAATAGTTAAAAAAAAAACATCTGTGAACGGTTTTCCTTTGAAAACAAACTCTAAAGCCTCCTGTAAAAACGGGGGGAAAATCAGTCAAGTTGGTTGACCTGTAGTGAATATATTGAATTTTTATCATAAAATTATTTATGAGACACCGTGTATATTTGAAGATCAAATCAACATTCATTTCAGTATAAATAAAGTCACCTAAGAATAAATAAATACATATTTAATAATAGACAAAAAGTTGGTGCTTGGCATAAGACATTCTTGTTTTTTAGAAAAAAGTAGACGGTTTTCCATTATAAAATAATGGAATTTGTTATTGATCTATCAATCGTCTATTGAATATGAGTTTCAATAGAGAAACGAAAAGTAGCAGCTGATTTGAAATCCTACTAAATAAATATAAATCAGTTGCTGATGAAAGTGATTTCAAACTTCATATTTAATAGTAAAGATAACCAATCTCTTGCTCGAACTCTAGACTAAAACAAATGATATCTATAATTTGTCTGCAACCGTTTCCAAGTCTTTTGCAGTATACTGACAAAAAAGATTAATCAATAAATTGAATTACCAAAATAACTTCTATCAGTCTTTACTAATATAAATGGATTATACGGCTGTTGACATATTTGTTTCGAAACTAATAACTTATAAGTAATGCTTGATGTTGACATTCGTCAAAAACTAGTTCATGTATACATTAGTTTCTGTAATATCATATAAGTCTATATTAAAAATCAATCTTACACTTTATAATACTATTCACATGTTGTTTCGGAATAATGTCCCGCAACCGGTTCGGATATATATGGGATCTCGACGTTTCAAATTACTTTTACTTTTTCAAGTTTCTATATATATATACATATAAAAGCATAGGAATAAAAACCGATTCGATCATAATCAAGCAATTCATGTAACTCGAGAAGAGGTTACAGAAGTAGAAAGTGATACAAACTTGCTAACAGAATTCATGTTCAATGAAAATTCATCCACAGATGATGAGAAATCCATTGACGAAGTAATTGAATACATGGAGAGGAAAATGAACTATCAAAAAGATGAACATGTAGGGTGTGGGTGGACAGAGCATTCATTTATGTGTATCCACAATTATGACGTTTGACACCAACACTGCGTTCTATTCCAGTATCATCAGCAATAAATATGTTACAACGGAACATTCCCAGATGTCGGAACGCTTTTCAGTCAGGATTTCACGCATCTTGTAGTCCTTAGTGAACTATGTCTATCATAAAGAAAGTTTGGGTTTCTGGCATATTCTTGCCGAGATATCGAATTTTTAGTAAATTTTCTCTATAGTATCCCACTTTTGCAGCAAAGCTATATTTTTTAATTTTGATCTGAAAGTTCGTGCACATAAAAGCCTCAGTTAGGCTAGCTTGTATAGAAAGTTTCAGAACTCCTGAACAAAGTCTCTTCGAGACATGGAACTATCAAGGTTCAGATCCTTTTTCATAAATAATATATATAGTATGCATTTTCTGAAAGCTTCTTATCTAGGAGAGACTCTGTGGAAAAGTTCTGAATTTCTTTATAGAAGCTAGTCTAGGTGAGGCATTTATGTACACGAAGTTTCAGATCAAAATTCAAGAATATAGCTTTGCTGCAAAGTGGGACAATATAGAGAAAATTTACTAAAAACTGAATATCTCGGTAAGAATATGCCAGAAACCCAGACTTTTTTTTATGGTAGACATAGCTCACTAAGGATCACAAGATGCGTGAAATCCCGACTGAAAAGCGTTCCGACACCTGGAAATGTTCTCTTGTTAGTTCACTTTCTTTTTTGTTGCTGTTTATGAAAAAAAACTAAATAGTATACTTTTTTATATAAAATAAAAGCTTGAAAACTGCACAGTGACGGATGCTATTTGTGAGATTCTTATAATACAAACAGAAGATCGATATAAAAAGTTTCTTTGTTCTTTAAATTGCTAGTAAATTATTTTCGTTGACAGAAAATATAAGCAAAGATCTAATATAGATGCGATTAAAGGCAAAATTCATTATTGCATTGATGTTAGAATCATGATTTTATATACAATACAATTATGAAGCCAATTCAGATATGATTTGAAAGCTAAGATAAATAATAAAGTAATAAGCTTGCTATAGAAAATTGCTGCTATGTATTAATTCCGACCAAAGATTAAGTCAATGAGTGAAAAATGACCGCTTTGGGACGAATAAAATTGTATTAACTCATTTTTATTGCGTTTTCAAAATGCGGTCACATATGTCAGTTAATGAACAATCAAAAAAAAAAAATTATATGATATATATTCATACACCTACCACATGAATAAAACAAACAAAAAATTACTTCATTACTACTATGTTTAACATTTTTTTTAAATATATCGATGAGAAACTTTTCGTGAGACTTTTTGATACAATTTTGAAATCTTGATCTCAAGAGTGTGGATGCTGAAGAGAGATAAGATCAATACCTATTGCATTTAAAAATGAAAATGTTCTTTTAAAATAATAGCAAGACGACATAATTCAAATGTACAAATGTCTATGATTGAACCATACTCGTTTGTACGTTTTAATCAATATAAATAATTATTATACAAGATTGTCTTTTCACCTTTTTGCCTTGTTAATCAAATTAACTTGGTATCCATTGTACCAAAAGAAATGTCACTTTCATTCTTCTCATTCTGTATTTATCAACAACATACAAAAAGATCTTGATCCAATTACGCAGTAACTAATTAATTAAAAAACAGTTGTTTTTTTCGAAACACAACAAAAATGAGACAATATGATTTTACTATTTCCAAAATGCGATCGTATTCCGCTATTTGACTTAATTTTTAACTACAATTAAGAAGCTACGAAAATTTCCATTGTCAAAGAATATGATTTTCTTGGCAAACATATGTGTTAAGTTTTCTTTTTCTTTTTTCTTTTTTTGATTATCATTTTCATCTCTGAATCATTGCATATTCATATATCAATCTGATCTAATATGCCAAAAGAAAACAATATTCATTTCAATGAAAAGTCAACATGACATCTAGACACATGCTTTCATTATAGACTTTTGTGTCTGGATAAATTTTCTCAATTATTTTTCATAAACTCATTTTGAAAAAATATATATCTCAATTCAATTTATCTCATGTCTCTTCTTGTCCTCATCATTGCCTTTCACCACATGAAACATCAACGGTTACTTCTTTTACCATTGTCATACGTCAAATTTTCAAGTGACTCGTGAACAAATTGAAAAAGAGAAAAAGAAGATGTACACCATGCGCGTCAAGTAAAGAGGCTGTGTATGATGGCTATTCTGAAGCATTCTTTCTCTATTCACTCTACAATAATCAACTCAAGCTTGGTTACCTCTTATTTCACACATTCTAACTCTATTCGTTCATTTGTTTCAAAATAACGAAAAAACACTGGTTACAAATCTCGTTCATGGTACTACAAATCCCATTTCCGTTACTTTTAATATGCCGATTTCCGTTTTTTATCATGTATCCTTAAGAGAGGGCGGTAAAATAAATAGCTTAGTATATATATATGACTTATCGACATACAGTAATGAGTTCGATGTAATCAAGCATATATAGTTCAAGCACCTCTCGTATAAAATACAAGATCAAGAGAATGAACAAAAATCTATATAACTATAGTTGATGGGAAATAGAAATGTTTGACATTAATGATCAAAGTATTTTTAACATATTAACTAGTTTTAATTGTTTTGTTTGCTTTTATAATCAAAAAAAAGAAACTATTTTGTAACAAAATATATATGAAAATATTTTTCTTTTAAATATACATTGGGAATATGATCTCTTCCGTAATCGATTACCGGAACAAATTTGATCAACAAATCAATTGAATTGAAACGATACTAAGATATATATATATAATCATAATACAAAAAAAATCACAAATGAGAGAAAAACAAATTGCATGTCGCTATTTGATCCTTCATTATTATTGTGCAGTTATTTCTTTATAACAAGAAAGAGTATATTTGCCTCATAGCAAGTTTTCTTTTTATATGTCAATCACTTAAAGTATGAAAGTACACTTTCTCCGCTCCGATTGGTAGTATGAAATGATGAAGAGAAAGAATCTCTTTACTTTTTTTTTTAATTCTCTCTTTCTCAATAATTGAATGATTAGAAAAAAAGAAAGCTAAGAAGGAATGATTGGCGTCCATGATTAACAGAAAGTGAAAATTGTTATTGTTCCGATTGAGTGTTGTTGTTATCACCGATTAGGTTACACACATACAATTGACGACGCCCCTCTAAAAAGAAAAATGAACGAACGAATCAAATTTTTTTTTCTTTTTTAATGCATCAATTATATTCATTTTATTTGTTGCGTAAATTTTACTTTTGCTTGTTGCTGCCACTTATGCTGTTTGTACATTTTCATAATACTTTTTCTCATTTTTCTCTTACTCTTTCTCCCTCTCTCTCCCTCTCTCTCTCTTTCTCATTCATTTTATACACGGATCAGTTTAGTTTCATTCATCGATGCCGCTTTATTGAGTGTGGCCTCTTGAGCTCACATACATATACATGTCAGTTGACAAATAGTGGAAAAAAAGGAGGAGAGAAAGAGAACGTTGAGTTTTTACCTGTAAGCGTTATGAATGGTTGATGCTCGCCGTCATTTATTTTTTTTTCTCTCTCTCTCTCTCTCGACAATGATTGGACACTAATGGAAGCAAAATGGAAGTTGATCCGGCCCTGCATTCGTCTAGCTAATCGACAAAATGAGAATTTTGATTGCCTGCCTGACATAGACACAAACATATAGGAGATGATGATTGACGCTGCATGTCGCCAATCCTCTTACTTATTGCCACTGTTAACGAATGCAGGTAGTAGTAACAATAAAATGAAAAGAAGTACAACAAATGACAATGAAGATGATTTAACTTTTACACCTGTAATTGGAATGAGAATAAACGACCATAAAAAATTATCACCACCACGAAAAAAACTCAAATTTGGTGTTGATGCAATTCTTGGTACACATTCAGATAATGAATCTTCATTTGATGTTGGGAATGATTCAGATGATGATTTAAGACATAAAGGTAGGCTTTGATATTTTTTCTTTCACAGATAATGTTGGTATATTATAGAAATAAATAATACAAAAAGAGATTTTGCTACTTTATATTCAACAGATTCACAATAATAGACGATTTTAGTTTTAAAATTGATAGTTACATTTATGAAAATAGAATAATATACGTTAACAGAAATAAAAAAGTCTTAATATTAAAATAAATTATTTTCTATAAATGTTGCTGTTGCGAAAAGATATAATGAGTACTTCATTTTGTTGTAATTAGAGATTTAGAGAAAGTAAAAAAAATATAGAAGCTTAATAGACTTAATGATTATTTTGATATTTCTATTTAAATTTACGGTAGATATTAAGCTTGAAGCTGAAAAAAATTATATCTCTTTATTTGACCATAATTGTTAATTATTCATTCGCTATTTCAAACTTTACTCAATAATGTTTTTTTTTTCTTAGAATTACTTCGTAAATTAAACTTATATTAGGAAGTTTCTTGTTTTATGAATAAATCTATCGTTGAATTTGTCTTATGTTTAGTTCGTGTTCATGCTGAATCACCTATTTCATCAAGTTCATCGGTTTCTTCAAATGAACCATGTATTACCAAATCACCTCTTTTCAAACCACCATTTTTAGCACATCTTAATAGTAGTTCGCCATCAACCGATCAACATTCTATACCACATTCAGCACTTCTCTCTCATTCTATTTATGGATCATCATCATATTCACCATTTAATTGTCTATCATCCAACAATAATAATAATAATAACAACAGTAATGGTATAACTGGATCATCACGAGAACATATCAATGAACAACAACATCAAAATCTTCTTCATGATCGTCTTCTTCTCCAAATGGCTGCTAGTAGTCGACAGCAACATCTATCATTTGATGGTCATCCTCTACCACCCAATGGATTATGGCGTCCAGGTCTTCGACCTTTTATTGGTACGTATAGAGTTTTTCTTTCTTTTTTATTACTTGTAAAAGACATTGTAATTTGATCTAATCAATACTCATCATCCGCCTAGTCACAAGTAATTATAATCGCTTCATATTTATCGCGCTCACCTTCCTCACTTCTCATTCTCTAACTTATATTCTTCAATTAAAAGTCAAAATGTGCATACAGACACACACACACACATACATACACATACAAGTATAATTGAATCTTGTTCGTATACACATATAGTCTAAAGAACATGTTCTTTCTCATTTCTTCTTTTCTCTCTCTTGTTTCATCATCCAAGTGGTTGCTTGTATGTACGTCTCGATTACTCGACTACATGGGCAAACATACCCAACAGGTTTTAAATTGATGAAAATGATGATGATGATGATGAGAAGAACTACCAATCAGCGTTTTTATTTGTCAACTACCTATCATATTTCACATGAGAATTTCAAGTGTGTGCATATATGAAATGGTAAAACGAAGGTAGATCTAAGAAGAAAAAAAAGATGAAGATGCAAGTTCTTGCCAAGAGGCAATACGATCTCTCTTTCTTTTCCCTTTCGGTTAGCTTGTTTTGATTTCTTCACTTAAGGCTTATTTCTATTGTATGTGTCTATGTATATATCTCTAATCACATTATTTTTTTTTCACTTATCGTCTCTCTATTCAATTAATGTATGCTACCTATTATGAAAACAATAGAAATTGAATGAATGTGTGCATTATAATTTTGTTGATTCTGACGATTTGTCGTTTTATTTTCTCTCTCTATTTCTCATAGGTAATCAACCAGGTAGTTATTTCGGTAGTAATGGTTCACCATCAATAAATTCATCAACACCTTCATTATTAAGTGGTACAGTACCACCAAATGGACTTTATATTCCACCACCACCTTCAAGTATATTTTGGCCTTTAGGACTTCGTAGTAAACCACGTCGTGGAATGTTACGACGTGCAGTTTTTTCTGATCAACAACGTAAAGGTCTTGAAATTGCTTTTCTTAAACAAAAATATATTAGTAAACCAGAAAGAAAAAAATTAGCTCAACGACTTGGATTAAAAGATTCACAGGTAATTATATAATTTCAAAAGAAAAAAAAAATATACATATATATATATATTTGATAACTATATTTTTCTTCCTTATTTTTATCGTGATTATCAAGGTTAAAATATGGTAAGTAATATATAATTTCAATTATGATGAAGAAAAATAAAAACTTTTTTGGTTTTAGGTTTCAAAATCGTCGTATGAAATGGAGAAATACAAAAGAACGTGAATTACTCACATCAAGTTCAACAACTAATAGCAATAACAATAACAACAATAACAATAATAATAATAATAATAATTTCACTGATGGTACAGAATCAACCTCGTCAACAAAAAATTCAACAAGTCATGAGAAAAATGAATTATGTATTTTATCAAATGATTGTTGTGATTGTCAACAACAACAAAATGAAGATACGATCACCTTTCATCCATCATTAACTGTTAATAATGATGAAACAAATAGTTCTGATGTTGATGTTAATGATGATTCAAGAAAACCATAACTGAATATCTTTTCTTTGTATTTGTCTTCAATGGACTTCGGTGATTGTGTATGTGGATGAAATGTATTGTATCTAATTTGATGTTCTTTTTTGTTTTGTTCGTGTGAGTCTTTTTTTTTTGTTTTTGTTTTTTTTCTTTGACAAACTTCATGTGTCACTATTTCTTTTTCCAAGTATTCGATTCAATTTGAGAGATTGTGGATATTTTTTTTCTTCATTTCCAACAATATACATGTATAAATATTTGACTTTTTTTTTATTGATATGCTATCGGATGCTTATACTAATGGTTCATATAAACAAAAGGATATTAAATCAAGTCAATTGTACTTTTGTCGTACAATTGGAAATAGAGGATCACATTGTAATGCAATCAATCAAACAAAGATTTTTTAAATTGTCATACTTTGAATTTGTTCATACGATAATTTTTAACTTGTTTATTCTCGATTTCAGTGGTTTCAATAGAGCGAAGATAAAGTTGCTCTGATTTTATTTGCACAGACAATTAACGTATTAAAAAAGATGAAGTTAAATTTTTGTTATTTCAATTTTCGTCAACATTTCTCTAAATAAAATCGATGTATAGTCAACATTCGCTTTGCTACTAGTTTTATTGATTCTCTACATTATAGTTATTTTGTCTTACTTACGCATAAATGAAAAAAAAACAGTCCACTTCTTTATTTATCATTACAAATATGTGAAACGAGAAGAAAATGAATGTTCTACTTTACTAGTAGGCAACAACGTTATTTTCACTAATTATTACTTTTTATTAGATTAAACATTATGAATTATCGAAATTCAGTGTATATGTGTTTATAGAAATTTTCCACTTATTTAAAAAAAAACATCTATTCTTAGCAGCGAACACTGTCCTTTTATTGTTGTTGGTCAAGTAGCTACTAATTTCCAATCAATGAAAGTTGATGTACGTATAATCAGCAGTAAATAGTCATTTGACGGTTGACCATTTGTTAAATAGGTTCAAGGAATGATCAAATGTAAGTGCTGATGTTATTTCACCTAATGTTGGCTCATATAAACAAATCGAACACGTACCATTTACTAAGTAACTGCGTTTCAATTCAAGTGATCATGTTACACCCGGAAAAATTATTACTATTACTATTATTATTATGGGTAGTTCAGGCGCTGATATTGATTATCATTATTAATTATTAAATAAAAATAAATATATTTTAGGCAAAAAAAATCTGCATAATGTAGTACGTAGTCGTTGGATTAAATATTTGAAAGTATCTGGTACAATTTGTTTCAATGGAGTACGATTTGATAGTATGCAGCTGGACATTATTTTGTTGTTGTTCTTGTATGATAATTGCCTGATATGATGTGTCAAGTTGGTTCATTATAGACATAACATTTGATAAATATTTTTCTTACTTCCTCATTTTGATTTAATGTAAGAAGTAGATTGTTGAAAATTATCTTCAAATGATAACAAATGCACAAGTCAAGAAACAATATATTTTTTTGCGTTGATAGTATTTTATTCATGTTCATATCAATGAAAAAATAATTCGTATTGACAACTGTATAAGAATCTATCTGTGAGATATCACTTAAATAATATCGTGCACCATACTGTAAATATGACGATGATAGTCTTATTGAATGAATCAATTTTCATTAAATTCGATGTTTATAGAAAAAGAACGACAAACTTCAATTGATTTGAATAATATTGAATATCAATAGATATATAAAATATAGGAAACATTTAATTGAGTACCAACACAAGGAATATTAGATAATATTTAAAACCAACTTCGTCTGATCGAAAGATTAATTGATTTTCTTATCTTTAAAACCATTTATACATCTATCAATAATAACCAAATTACATATGTACAATTATGCATATATGAAATCAAACGATTCCATTTCAGCAATACTTCCATGAGCCACAAATTGCTTGCGACTGTCCGTCTTTTGGGAAAAGTCAAGCTGTAGCACTAGATTATATAATTATGATGGATTCACGACATATTAGATTATTGAATACCGAGAAATGAATCCATTTTTTTACAACATTCGTTAGTGTTGCCAGTGTATTTGACATGAGAGAACTGACTTATATAATAGAAGAATTATGGTTTAGTAAACGAGATGCTGATAGTTATGATCCATATGTTAGTCTTGCAGAGTATCATAAAACATAATAAAATGGATCCCTTTGTAAGTTGAACTTATGAAGCATAGAGATGTCCATCGCGGCGCTGCCGCGGTAGCAGTTAGCGGCAACGTTTTTTTGAAAAAGCATCGTGGTACGGTAGCGGCATCTTATTTCTGGAAGACATTGCAAAAACTGCATGAATTTGCATAAAAATTGAGTATTCACAGACGTAACACCCTAAGACTTAATGAATCTTATCGATTAGTGACAAGAGTTGTATTTAAATACATTCACAGCAATGAAATTCGAAACTTTTTTCGAGTACCATCGCGGCAGCGGCACACTTTTTGGAAATTCATCGCGGCGCGGCAGCGGCAGATTTCGAGCCACGATGGACATCTCGGTTATGAAGGAACCGTTTTAATTGATAAATCGCTTTTTTAAAAGTAATCTATTGAATTATAATAAAATAATATTCTGTTTTACAAAATGAATTGTAATTAAAACAGTACAAATTTTTATGTTTGCACTCTGACATATTATGCATGCATCTATTGGATGAATTATAATGGCTGATCTTTTTTCTTTATAAAAAAATCAATTTGAGACAGAAAAAGTTATTGTTTTAAAAAGAGTTCGTTATGTCCTAAAATCTGAGAAAATCAAGATAAACTATTGAAAAAAATTAATTTCTTTTGGTTATATTCGACATTAGTATTGTCAATAACCTATACTACCGTCTCGCTCGAAAAGATTTTAAACTCCTCAGATTCTGCCTATATTAAAAAAGAGTTGTTAAGTTTTCGTAGAGGTCTTGTATATAATGATTTAATTACCTTTTTCTCAAAGTTACGTTTCTGAAAACAATTGATTTTTCAGTAATTGAAATTCGAAGAAGCTTCGCATTGCATTTCGTATGACGAGTTCGACTTGTAACTCATCTAGTATTCTCATAATTTGAAAATTATAAAAATGTATTCGATATATTTATATTGAAACCTCATAAATGATTTTAAAAGCCTCCAAGATCGTTGAATAAACGCTAAAAATAACTATTGCACAGTTCAGAAATCGAATCTTGTTTGCCGAGTAATGTAATATATTAAAACAAATAAATTTTTTTCTTATCTACTTTTGTCTATAGCAATATTCGACAAAGGTTTCGTTTGTGACGAAGGAAAATAAACAATCGAAACTGATGGTCCATCAGCATTAATTAATTCATCGACATTAACATCAATTTCTTCAACTATTAATTGTTCATTTAATCTTTCATTTTCATCTATATCAATATGTTTTGTTACGCAATTGTTCTTGATCACTGATTCTCTTCCAATTTTAATAAAAGAATCGGTATTTCCATTGTTATTACTATCATTTATCTTTGTTGGAAATAAAAACGAATTTTGTTTTGATAATCGTTGATTTCTACTTGACGGCATAAATCGTTTTTGAAACATATTATTATTATTTTCAATATTCTTTTGAATAAAGCAATTATTTCAGTTTATTTTTATAATAATCAATCACACTCACATTATCATCATCATCATCGTCATCAGATGTTGATGAATCATGTATAGCTGATCGAGATCGCGACATTGCTGATATTTCTTTTGCTAAATTCATGGGTTTTGGATCATGAGAAACAAATACAAAATCTATTCACTGATGATATTTTCTATCGAATAAAAGAGAATGTTCATTTACCGCAATAACAATTTCGATCAGCATCTTTTGCTGCAATAGGTAACAGGTCTCCGCTACCTCGATAAACAACGACACAACGGCCATGAATTAATTTAATTGTTTTTTTTAATGCTTTTCGTTTACATTTAATTGTTGCACGACAATATCTTGAATCAACTAAATATTCACTATCAGATTCAGATGTTGAAGAAAGTTCATTTATATTATAAGTATTCATAACAAAATGTTATTGAAAATTACATATAGAATATTAATAATTTTTAAAAAAAAGAGAAAATAAAAAAGAAATCCGCAAAGTGTTGTCAAGACAATTGATAAATACTGACATCTATATGTCAAATAAAAAACGTTACGAAAACCAAATAATAGTACATTTTATAAATAGAAAGAAAACGGGAATGAATATAGATGATGATAACTGTTGAAACTACTCATTGAAACTATGCATTAGATTATTGCTTAGCAACTTAGAATGCAAAAAAAGAACAATGAAATAACAATCTAACATGAAGCCTGAAGAAAAAGAATAAAAATTTTGTTTCATTTAGTTTTATTTTATATCTGACAAATTGAATATAAGTGAAGGGTTAGAAATTCTTTCTTAAATTTCCTATGTCTATGAATATCGTTATTAGTAATGTGTCTTTTTTGCATGTAATCACATATGTTTGATCTGCACATTGCATCCGATTATGTTTGATCATCTTTTAGAGTGCTGAGTTGTGAAAAGTTCTCCATATCCAACTCTGTTTGCCTTTTGTTTGTGTACTAATACTATGGGTTGTGGTGCGTCCGTTACCAGAGGGTCTGCTGACCCTAAAAAACCTTCAACTCCTGCTCGTCAACAATCAAGAATTCAAACACAGGCTACTGAAGGTTTGATGTATTTATAATTTGCCTTCTTCTCTTTTAGAAAGATCAAATATAATATGATCAACTAAGAAGATACGAAAAGATCTTTCGTTGAATTTCTTTAACTTATATTTTATCACAAGAATAAGATTATCTTAATGTTTTTCGTTGTATGTTGACTATTTGTTAGGATAAAGATATTCGGAAAATTATTCAAAACTACAAGATAAATGACAGAAATGATTTGTGCTGATTTACTCTTGTGAAATAAAAATTATCAACAAATCTCTTTTTTTCCAAGTGTCTTTTCTTTGTTATACAGGGTTTACACGATGCAGATTTAACAAAAAAAAAAAAAACATGTATTTTGGAAACTATGTTATACGTTTTTTATCTGAACAGTAATGGTGAGAATGAGAATCTTTTCAAAAGTACAAAATGTTTCTGATTTGCGTGAAACATGAATTTGTCTTGCACTTACTTTTTTTCTTTCTTTGTCTCTCTACCATTTCATTTCCATCTAGTATTAATATTGAACTTTGATACCATTTAACGTAACAATATTTAATAAATACTATTGATAGATACTAATGAAAATAATCTCGTTCTTATTTACTTTCCAACCAAGATATCATACTGAGATTCAGCTTTCAAAAAAAAAAAAGATTCTGCAATTACTACTCTCGTTTGCTTCATAGAACAAAACAAATACATGACATAAATGAGTCGCAAATTCATTCTAACTTGATATCTTTTTGATGTAAAAATTTTATTAATTATTTAATAGAATATGATAGTATTAGCTAACATGTACTAAGATAAACATTTAATGAACGCATTATTTGCTATGAAATAAGATTCTTTTAACATTTCAATATGATGATTGAAAATTATGATCTAAAATGATTTTATTATATTCGAATTGATCATTTTCTTCAATATATCTTCGCTTTTTCTTTTTGATTGAAAATTTAATTAAGTCTATATATGAAACATAAGTTATATATTTCTTCATTATTTAGTTCCAACTCTCATGGATTCATTGCAAGGTCACATGCCGAATGATAATACTCAAGATGATGACGCAGGAAAAATGATTCATATAATAACTCTAGAAAATGGTTTCTTTCCGGAAGAAATGCCAGAACGTATTGAATGCGATGATATTGTTGAATTTACGATTAAAGGAAATGATGAATATGATATTTTTGAAGTATATAAAGCTGGTAATGATTATTATCCAGTATCTAATGGTTATGAATTATTTAATATAAAAAGTCGTACACCAGAAAATGAAAGACGTCTATTACTTCCTTTTGCTCTTAGTCAATCTCAAATTGAATTATATTTTTGTATTATTCCATCATCACAACGTCAAAAATTACCAGAAACACGTAAATGTCCAAAAGTTAATTGTGAAAAAAATCGTCTTATAGTTAAAAAGCCTGAAATAAAATTTACTTTAACTGACGAAAAAGAAAATCAAAAAGTTTATTTGCATAAAGGTGATACCATTGATATAGAATGGACAACAACAAGTGGTTCCAGTTATCGTATTGAAGAAAAAAAATATTGTCCTGTATCTGGTGGTCTTTATACAGTTGTTCAAACTTCTGATAATGCATCTTATCGAGCTTCATCGAAAGGAAAATTTTCTAAAACATTTACTGAATTTGGTATGTCATTTTTATTTCGTTTAACTGATACAAATCAAATTCATGATATAACTGTTTGTATTGTTAATGATACATATAAAATGAAACAGATAGAAATAACAGATAATAATATTCAACCAAATATTATTTGGTTGGACGAGAATGATTGGATAAGATTTTCATGGAATGGAAAACATAAACAGACTGTTGTAGAAATTGAACCATTCACCGTTAGTGAAGATAAACAACAATCAATTGAAGTTTGTACTTCTAACAAAAAAAAAAAAGGATACAAATGAAAATATTTTTATTGTTTTATTTTTTGATTTAGCTTAGAACAAATGGAGAAAATTTCTTTTGGCCACATGAACCATCACGTGGTGGTTGTATGTATCATCAGTTTATTAAAGCAGGAGTATATTGTTTCAAAATTGGAGATAATCAAATTGGTACAATTATTGTTGAACTACGTAAAACTATTCGTCATATACCACTTTTTGGTGATCAATTAAGTAAATCAAAAGAAAATAAATATTTCGAAAAACATAATATCTTTTTTTTAAAGTTTATCAAATGAATACAAATGATTTAGTACAGTTTGATTGGAAAATGAACGATTCACAAGAACCATTATTAATTACTATTGAATCACTTTCATCTGTAGTACCAGATGCTTCTGGTGGTCCTAGTGGATTATTTGATTGTGGTAAGCAGAAAGAATATTCTTTTTTCAAGTTGATTTAGAAGTTATTAGCGTTTTTATGTATATACAAAAGTGCTTGTTAAAACATTGTTGTTTTTTTTATTTTTTTATTTGAAATTTCAAAGCTAATAGAAAAGAAAAGATCAATATCGTTTTACTGCTAGACATGTAAAAAAGAAACAACAAAAGAATAGAGGAACGAGAATCTGTTTGACATCATTGATTAAACAATCGTCATAGAAACCTGTGTGAAATATAATCTTTTATTTTGATGGACTCGATTGTAAGTTTTTTATTTGAAAGTAGATTTGTATACTTTTGATACATAATGCTTAGCAATTAAAATTGATCCAATCACTTCTACAGGGATTGTTTGCGACTAAATATAAAGAAAAATTCTCAAGGAATTCTATTGTGTTTGTTGAATACTTGAATCGTATGCTTCTAAAAATAACTCTTCAAAATATAGAATTCCATTCGGATTCATATTTTTCAGTCAATTTCGAGAATCTGATTGAACTTGTCGAGTTTCAAGATATATTTGTTAAAGTATGAATAAGTAATAAATAGTATAGTCTATCGAATGAAAATAAACATCAATCAAAAAAAAGAGATTCATAGTAAATTATTTTATTTGTCTTGTAAACATACCTTATACGTATTCTCGTCTAATACATAATCAAGATACGACATATAGTGTGTGTATCAGTTTAAGCATATCAAATGAATAAATATAGATGAATACTGATGAAAAACATTCGATTGGCAAAGATTGAAAAGAATAAAGCATAAAACAGATGTTGATGTTGAATATGTACTAATGAATTGAACAAATATTTTCTGTAGTCATGAATATGGACTGTCCAAAGGACAATTGTTTCGATCAACATCAGTTCAGAATGACGAAGATTAAATAAAAGATATTATCGAGTATGATCGAAACCAGAAGTCACAACAGGCTAAGCTGAACTAAAGAAAGCTAGTCCCTGAGTCACTTATCTAATTGCATTTGATGAATTTTTAACACATGAATGAGAAAGTATATTTCGAGTATCAATAGTTGAGGCATAACGCCATATTCGATAACATGAAAAATCTTCAAGTCTCTCAAATGCATCAGTATTTTTTAATTTTTTAGTTCGAAAACCAACAACATTCCAACACAAAGATGTGTTTACTTTTTCATTTTTAATAACAACATATGTCGATGGTTGTTGTTTGAATAGAAATTTGATCCATTCCGATGTATGTTGTTTTGTATGTGATAGTAAATGAGCACCAGTAGTTGAAACAAAAGTGTTAACGAAAATTGATTGAGAAGACTCAGTAGGAATCGAATTAGAATTCGGAAAAGTATTTGATGATGAACGAGAAGAGCTACTCAAGGATAATTTATTGAATATCAAGAAAGTTTTTAGCATTTCATTATTTTCTTCGTTTTCCTTTACATATTTGCTGGTCACGTTGCAGAAATGTTTTAGCCTATGGAAGAATTCTATGAGATTTTCGAAAACAAAAAACAGTAGAGATAGGCAACATATATTGAAAATTTTATATTTTATTAAAAATTCAGTTCACGAGCGTCCATCGCAATCTCAGATCAGTCCGACCCAGCCCATTGAGACCTCTGATCAAAACAATAAAAAAAAACAGTGTACTTCGTACGTACATTAGTATTCTTATGTACTTCATCATATTCTGTTGAATCCATTTCTCCAATTTCAAAACATTATAACTTTTTTTTTTTTTTATAAAAGACAAATGTGTTAAACTATTTGTATTCAAAAAGTACAAGAGTATTTTGAAGTATCTAGAAGAACAAACATCATTTTTTATCCTTTGAATTTTGTCAAAATTTTTCAATCAAAGTGCGACGTGAATATAAAATTTTATTAAACCTTTTTTTGAAGAAATTAGAAAATTGTTTTATATAAAATTTCTTGTCTTTTAGCCTTACATAAATGTGTTAAAGTCGAACCATTGTTTCGTCATCATTTTTATACATGTGAAATATATTTTTTACATATTCCTCGACATGGTCTCTACAACTTTGCTTATTCTGACAGCCAAGATAATAGTCTTATAAGTATTATTGTTGAAAATAATGTTGATGTAAGAAAAAAAAAACTTCTAAATATTTACTTTTTTTTTCAATAGATTATATATTTTATATTCTCTCAAATAGAGTCATCGTGTTACTTATAATGAACAAAATATATTCGAACCTGATATGTTAATAATAAATCGTTTTGATCAAGTATGGTTTGATTCATCGTCAAAAACTGTTGCTAATATTTATCAAACAAATGAATTAGGTAATCGATTAGAAACAGAAAAAATATTATTTCAACCTCAAGCAAATAGTATTAATTATTATATGAAAGAATTTCAACAATTAGGCATTTATTATTTTTCAACCGATATAAATAATACTGATAAAAAGAAAAATATACAAAATTCAACTCTACCATTGACTGTAGTTGTTTTACCAGAAATACGCTTTCATTATAAATCAATAAGTAAAGATAATTTTGATAGTGAACCAACAAGAACAAATATAAATGATTTTGTTTTTTGGCAATTCGATCAAATTATTTCTCATAAAAGTATACAAATAAATCCAGATGTAACGTTAGAAGAATTAATATCTTGTCATGAGCATGCTGTTGCCGGAAGAAATCGACAATGTCTTGCTGTTGAATGTATAGTTCAAGGAACATTTTATTTTGCTAATCCAGGTAAAATAAAATTACTTTTTTAAATAGTTATTATTATTGTTTTCATTATTCTAGAATTTGACCGAGTTAGTGGTTCAGAAGACGTAAGATTTATAAAAGAGATTTTTTTTGTTTTTGTTTATTTTGTTTTTATATTCAAGAGTCGTCTTCTATCAACAATTATTATTGATCCACCATTTTGTCAGAATAGTTTTATTACTACCAGCCATCAGTTTGTTCCGAATATTTTATATATTGCACAGGTAAATCTTGCCTTCAAAATATTGAATTAATAAAAGAAAACTAATAATAAATATAGAACGATACTGTTTCATGGACATTAAATATTAATGAACGAAATCATCGAATTTATGTACAATCAAAGGACGATGATGAAGAAATTGATGATGTAATATTTTATAAATTTCTTTTCAAAATATTTCTACTTAATTTTAATTTTAGGAAAATTTTATTGATAAAAAGCTTTCTGAATATGTACCTGGTGTTCATCATTTACATACATTTATTGAACCTGGAAAATATATTATTCGATCTAATCGTTTTCAGAGTACAGCAGTTGTGTTTGTTTATACGGAGAGTACTATTCGAAATCAAAGTAAAACTTTTATTTGAAGAATTTTTTTTAATGTGTTTTTTTCTATTTCTCTTTTGAATAGAGAGACAACTTCAAGAACCTCGAATACTCGAAGATATTGATCCTAGAAGTGAATATAATACACAAATTCATTTGTCTTGTCCAGATCGAAATGCGACTATTTTTTATACTCTTGATGGTTCACCTCCAACACGACATTTTGATAATGTTTTTGTAAGTAATAATAATTAGAAAAGAAAAACAATATTTTTTTTATTATCTAAATTTAGAGATATGATCCAAATGAAGGTGTATGTTTACGTGAACAAGGTTTAAATATTATACGTGCTTTTGCCATTGAAGATGAAAAAATATCAAGTTGTATTATAACGAGCAGGTTTGTTTTCTTATATTGATATTGTTTGAAATCGAAGCAATTTCACTTATTAGAGTCATTACCATTAAAGAAATTCAACAAAAAGTTTAATAAATATTTCTGTTTCGATTAGGACAAAAATTCGATATCTTCGTTTACTGACTACAGAATTCAGAAAATTGACTGAATAGTTTTATTTGTCAATAAAAAGAAAGAAAACTCAATCTACCGTTCAATCTTAATAGCGATGCAGCGTACATCCGTTGTGTCGTTCCATACGTGCATCGATCGATGATTTAAGAGTCATTCCGACTTATTCGGCCAGGAGAAGTGTATTTGCAGAAAATAGTTGAGTTTTTTAAAACATTACTAAATCGTAAAGACTAAACATTTCTCAAACTCGAGAATTTCAAAAAACCTCCAATAAATTCGAATTCTCAGGCTCCGAAAACTTTTAATCAATTCTTGTAAAATTCACGTATCTTCTTGAAATGACCTTTCTGATCGAAATCAATCTATGATCACCATAATTCTATCGAATTAGTCTATTGTCGTTGATTCCAATATCGCCGAAAGAATGCATAGCTGAAAACGAGTTTGGATCAAATACGGTTCATTTTATATATAATTTTATTATAACTAATTAGCACATTAGTAAAATTATTGGTTGCCATTTGAGTTGATACATGTGTCTCATATCCTACTACTTCAGATAGTAGCCAATCCATTTATCAATAAACTAATTAATTATAATAAAATTTAATATATACAATAGATCACATTTAATCCAGACTTGTTTTCAATGGTATTGTCCCGAAATCCGGAAAAATTCTGTGAAAAGATTCAACAGTTTATTTAACAAAGAAGCATGTACAATAAAGAAGAGAAATCATTTGATATGAAGAGAAGTGATGTAGTTCACTTTTTACTATCCACCAATAAAGAGAGCCCCTCGAGATGTTCGGCGCGGTCGATCGCATCGTCCTCAAAACGTTTGGCAAGAGTGTTAATTTTAGCTTGTAATGCCAAAGTCTTCTTCGTCTTCATTTTTTGCACACCCGTTGACACTTTAAGCAATTGTTGCCGAAAATGCACTTCTTCGTTTTGCAGGCAAGTGACGAAGGTCCCCATGTTCGGGTGACAGCTGTTCATTTGTTTTTTGAAACGATTATTCCCTCCTAATCGAATTCAGAGAGGATGGTACCCGACAGACGATGATCATGATTGACGAAGAGAATAGGAAAGAGTTATGAAAGACTACTATCCTTTCTTATTCGTTATAAAGACGTGGGAGATTTTTCCGGATTTTTTCTTTTCCGGATTTTTGGTTTCCGGATTTTTTGTCTTCCGGATTTTTTTCTTCCGGATTCTTTTCTTCCGGATTACAAGACATATTCTTTTCAATTATGAATTCATTCGGCAAGGTTGAAATCGATAACAATAAAACATACTGTTTTATCATGTGTTCACCGTTAGTCAACATACACATGCTCAGACAGCATCGTCGCCGTCGCATCATCAGATGTATTATGTGACAGAAGTTTGTTAAAATTTTAGAATAGGAGAGTAGATAGCTTTATAAAAAAAAAATTAACACGTCGACAATATTTCTATGGGTAATAGTTCAACATTAATTATAGTTTTACAGAGAACTACATTTAGGAATTTCATGACCAAGCTGCACATAAGATTACAATTAATCCTGAACTATAAGCCGTATACATTTCATGAAATTCTTATACCTATAAATAATCGCTGCATAATACGCAAATTTATGTACTTAAGAAAAATTCTGTCACCCCTTTTTTTTTCTATTAACGCCTCCAACCACATCTAGAAATAAGAAGAAAAACAAAATTTCTTTTCCTGTGTTTGTCAAGTTGGAATTCTTATCGATTTAATTGGTGTTTTTTTTTTTTTATTTCAGTCCAACATTTGTTTTGGAGAATAAAGAAGTTGCAGTTATGGAGGTAAGTTAATATTAACTATATAGTTAAAATATTTCTATTTTGTGTCATTATTAAAAAAAAAAAAGAAACTTCGAACTTCATGGAATGAATGTACAATAAAACTTTCGGCTTCACTAAAACATCCAAATACATTATATGGGAACATTGAAATTGAACCAAAGGAGTCAATTGAGTTTATTAATCATATTGAATTATATATTAATGATGTTGCGCTAAAAGCAAATATAGAACTGACAAAGTTGAGTTTTTCAGCAGAAGGTTTTGCTGGTGGAGAACAATATGAAATATATGTCGTTGCTTATCCAAAAGATAATATTACTAATGTTCAGCCGATTTCATCAGAGAAACGAGTAAGTTTTTGTATTATTATTATAAATAGAAAAAAAGAAAAAAAAAAACAAAATTTTCTTTTTGTCATAGGCATTTGCAATACCGCGAGAAGTTCTTGGTGGTGGACCATTAATTAGTTTAGCTTTGTCAAATGATCAAAGTACATTACTTTTAATGTGGGCGCATATCGGTGATCATATTAGTGAATATATTGTTTATGTTGATGATATTCAAACAAAAATTGTAAGATAAATTTCATTTTTGTTGGTTAATATAGATTTTTTTCTCGATGGTTTTACAGATTACTGAACGAGATTTTAATGATTTTTATGGTATTCATTTTCATGGTGCACAACTACGTAAAAATTATTCATTTCGTGTTGAAGCGAAAGTAAAAGGTATGTCTAACTGAAATGAACAAAAAAGTTTATTGTTTTTTTCTTGTCTTTTGAATTATTTCAGATACTCATGAAATTCGTAAATCTAATAGTATCACCGTGAGTGCACCATTATATTTACCAGTTAAAGAGGCAGTACTTGATCGATATTTTCCTTATCTTATAATCAATGATGAAAAACCAATATCTAACATGAATATTGAAAGTAAGTTTATACTTTGATATAACATACAGAAATGCTTCAGTAATTATTATTTATTAAGTAATGAATATCAATTGTTATCGATTTCTATATATATGTATAAACTAGATATTGATATAATTAGAAAGAAAATGAAAATAAAAACGAGAGATTTTATTTTATTAGTTTTTTGAAGAAAATTTTTTTATTCGGAGAATTTTTAAAATGATTATTTAATTTTTTTTAAATATGTTAGAAAAGACATTTGAATTTTATCAGAGAATATCATTTTATAAGTTCTAAATCACAAAAAAGAAAAAAAAAATCGAACAAAATGAATACATCATTTGAAACGAAAGCATTAAACTTCAATACTTAGCTTTCAAATGATTTTTCTTTTGTATTCTATACTTATAGTTCACAACTGAAAAGTTTAGATTAATTCTGTGTAATGTGTTCTTACAATTAGTTGTTTATTCACAGAGCGTATATCTCATAGATTTTCCATATAAATATTTCTCACCCAGGAATCTGTAAAGCACCATAGCTATTCGTTTCTGTTAATTTTCAATTGACATGCCTGAAGAGTTTTCATCTGTTTAGAATAGATTTAAATTCCGCACACAATAAGTTTTATGAAAAAAAGAAACTTCTAAATACACTTTTCATTTTATTAAATTATCTGAAAAATGAAATTAATAAGCACTAGTTTTGAAATTGATAATCAATAGTGGCGGTGCCAAGGTTGGGCTCCAGTCCAGTCTGATTTGTAGTACTGCCTCCGCCTTGAATAACACGAAAATCCTTGTATACTAAAATTTTTTATTGTGCTTTACTTGTGTATACCGTTGAAGAGGCTTGCAGGAGCAAAATTAAAATGATCTTCTTTAAAAAGAAATATTTAAAACAAAAAAACATGCCACCACAATTTTTAATTTTTCTTTTCTCCATTTTCTAGAGGGTTCGGATCAATTATCTTCAAAATTATCTGTCAGAAATTCTTCTCCTTCTTCGTCTGCTCCTCCTTCTCCTGCAGCCTCTTCGCGGCCAAGTATTCATAAAGTTGATTTGAACCATGCATCATTAAATACGAGTGAAATCATTCCTCAAAAAAGTGATGATTATGATAATGATAAAACTGATAATCTAAAAGAGCAAGAACAACAACAAGCACCTATTTCCAATGAAACATCAATAATGCAAGCAGAAAGTGATGAAAATACAGAAGACTCTACAACAGAAAAACTTGAAACAACACAACAACAACAAAATCAAAATTCTATTTTATCTGATGATGATAAACGTCGAGCACGAGATCTTCTTAAACAATTAACACGACAGATTGAAAATAGTCGGAAACAATCAAATTCAAATTCTACTCATCCACATAAATCATTTCCTGGTACTCAACATTATAAAGATGATCAACTCATTTCACAACGATCTTCAGTTTCTTCTCATGATCCATTTACAGATAGACTTCCACCTAAATCACAAAGACGCTCAGCAACATTGAATAAAAACCTCAATCAAAACGATAATACAATGTCCAATGACGCTTCATAATTTCGAACTCTTTAGATTTTAAACCACTCAGTAGTTTAAAACACCTTTGCATCTATTCTATTATATACGCATTTGATTAACAAAAGAAATAATTTTGATAACTATTTGAGTATTTTGAGAAAATAAATATCAATGCATGTGTGTTTTGTTTTAGCTATTGAATTAAATAGTTTTCCACATCGACGTCCAGAAGCAAGTCGACAAGTTGAAAGTTTACCGATTGTAAGTCATTGATGTCATAAAAGAAAAAGAAAAGAAAAAATTAAATTTTTCTTTTTCTTTTAGACAACTGGTTTACGCAATGGAGTACCAACAATTTCATATAAACGTAACCCAAATGGTATTTTTATGTATTGGAAAAAGAAACCTGCGGCTATTGCTGATTTTGTGGAAAATTATCGAGTAAGATAACAATGTTGAAGAATTTTGTAGTTTGAATTTCGACTTTTTAGATTATGATTGATCAAGAACCATATGGAAAATTAATAGCACCAACTGATGAACCGAAATTTCAAATAAATCTTGCACCAGGAAAACATCAATGTTATGTAGAAGTTATACCCAAAGATAAAAACAATGAAGTCTTCAAATCAAATGTTCTTGTATGTTATTAATATACTAATAATTGCTTCGTACTGTAAAACACGATATGAAACGACTGTCGAAATATATAGGGTAGAAATTTGCACCGCTCCCCCTCCCCATCACAACAATGACAATAGTCTCTTGCACGGATGCAATTTTTCGCGACCAAAACTAATTGACATTCGGCAAATACTTTTACAGTACAGTTTTCAAACTTTTATTTTATGTGAAAAAGTATACTATAGTACAATCAATTGCTCAGGTTTTCACTCTTGTGTTGATATATATATATAGGCAATTTGAAAAAGTAAAAATATTTTGAAATGTCGAAATCTCATTGAATACTGGGTAGGGTGCAGGATACCCGATCCGGTTGTCCGACCCTATATGAAAAACATTACCATGAAAACGTCACAATCTATGACGCACATTTTAGTAGTTCTGCCTCTCCTTGTGTCACAGATCGCGATGAACCTTATCAATATATGATCACAAACTATATATCAATAGTGTGTCGTTATAATAGCCAAACAAATTCCTTATTCCATTGCTGGACGACGGAATAAAATAACGGTGAAGAAATGTGTCCGAAAATAGATAGAATGAAGCAATCTTCCTATGATTACTAACAATGACTATATCGCGTTTCACATTTTAATCCTGCAGGAAATTTTTCTAACAGCTCTTTCCCTAATTTCTATATTCTTATAATAGAAAGTCGATGTTCCATCTACAAGTGGCTTGAAATCTGAACAACTACAACGGAGAGAACCATCTACTATTCATGCTCATGTATATAAATTCTTTTTGTTTTGCTTTACTTCATTTGCATAATTCTAAGCATATAAATTTTAGAGTATTGTTGAAGAAAAAGATCTTCCTATACCTAACTTAAAAGTACAAATAATAAGTGCATCATCAATTCGTCTAAATTGGTTGTTAGATCGAGCTATGTCAAGAGATATATTTGTATCTATTTATGAAGTTCATATATGTGGTCAAGATTTTCCAGATCATATGACAAGTGATGAAAAGTAATTGATTTTTCATTACGTATTTATATGCATTTCTTTTCTTCTATTGTCAATCATATAGATTCGAAGAAGATAATTATAAAGAACATGTCTGGTATGTATCTCAGTCTCCACTTGAAATACAAGGCATTTCTGAACGAGAAGAATATACGTAAGAGTATTTGAAAAAATAAAAAAATAAAATTATCGAATGTTTTATTTTGTAGAATTTTTGTTCGAGCTTTATTTTATGTTCATGGATCAGATGATGCCAGATTTACTACAATGGCAACAAAATCAAATGAAGTAATAACAACAAGAATTGATTCATTAATTGATTTATTAACACGACCATTATTACAAGTAACACGTATTGGATTACAAATGGCTGTTTTATCATGGAAACTTGATGATTCTGTTGATCAATCATTAGTTAAAGGTTATCGTATTTTTCTTAATTCAAAACCAACCGAAATTCTTCCACCAAATAAACATGAATATGAATTACGTAATCTTAAACCAGGTATATATTTTCTTGAGGAGATCTACTCACTCCCACCCCCACTCCATCCTTCCGGTCATGACAATCGAACTTTTGTTGATGTTTGTTCTTTTCATTGTTAGTATAGACCCGAAGTTTCTTCTGTCAAATGTCATATAAATGAGCGGTCTTCTTTATTATTTAGTACTTTTATTAAATCCAATGTTCGAACTTCTCTAGCAGAAAAGCTCGTACTACGATTATTTTTTTAAATACAAAATACTCATAATGAAAATGATTATTTCTCATGCCAAAGATGCTTAGCATATAGGTCATAGACCCGTCATGTCGCTAACTTTTTTATGATTACCTTGGTCAAATAGAAGTGCGTATATTTGTTTTCTTCAAAATGTTGTTGCTACGGAATTCGGTAGCCTTTAAAAAATTAATACTATTGAGAAAAACACATTTTTTGACGGTGCTAGCAGTATTTTTCTACTCCTGAGCTCTAGAAGCGATATTTTTTCAAAAAAAGAAACTACGCATCCCAATTTGATCGTAGTTATCATAAAATATTGCTGCTCGAAAAAAAAATGAAGTGTAGAGTTTTACAGTGTTAAAAACTTCTTGCCATTTTTGGCCTTTGGCGACCTTTATATCTTTCTGAAGAACTCATCTGGGAATTATGAGTTTACGACAACTTCGACTCTATTTATCGACACGTCTATCGGTCTTTAAAGGTTCATAATTTTTCTTCAAATCATTTTCGAAAAACTTCGGAAAGAGAAACGAAATCCTAAATTTAAAAAAATAATTTTCATTTTTTTCTATGTATTAATTCTATAGATACAGCAAATGAAATTCAAGTATCTGTAACATCTCATCCAGATTTTGTTGATGAAAAAATTTCTGAACCAATACGTATTATATGTCCACAACGTCCTCAACCTCCTAGCATAGAAAATATTCCAGCTGAAAAACCATTTTCAATTCGAATAAAATGGAATTTAAATAATAATGATCAAGATGAAATAACTGCATTTAAAATTTTTCTTGATGGAAAACTTCATCAACAAATTGAAACAAATGGACTTCAGTCATTTAAATATGATTTTACTCAATTAAAACCTGAACAAACTTATTCCATTTATATAAAAGCTTTTATTGAACAAAAGAAACTTGATGGTTATGCTCATCAATGTGATATAGAATCAAATGCATCAAATGAATTATCATTAAAATGTGCTGCACCACCAAAAGGTACAATACCAAGAATTGAACGAATGGATCGAAATGGTATTGAAATTGTTTGGGATGCACCTATTGAATATGGAGATGTAAAAGTAACTGTATGTTATAATGTTTTGTTTTGTTTTTCTTCTTAATTTGAGTCATCTAAAAAGTTAATCATAATTTATAGGGATATAAAATATTAAAAAATGGTCGAACTATTGGAAAATCATTATCAGTTGATAAACGACGAGCTTCAATTAATGATTTAGAACCTGGCAATCGCTATTCATTACAAGTTGTACCAATAACTGATCAACCAGGTGGTATTGGACTTCGAACAGGAGAAGGTTAAATTAATAATTTTATTTATTACATAAGAAACATAGCTTGTTTATATTTTTGTTTTTGTTTTGTATAGAATATGATCCTGATCTTCATGGCCATTATTTACCAGGACCACAACTTGAAGTAGAATATACAGATTTAGTTTCACTACCAACAAAACTTTGGGTCGAAAATATTACTGGTCATTCAGCTATGGTTTGTTGGTCTCCAAGTAAGATTTTACAATAATTATTTAATTAATCTAATTAATATTTTATATTAGTTGATCAATCAACAAGTTCAAATGTGCAACCAGATTGTTATAAATTATCAATATGGGGTGATGAAATATATACACCTGAAAAACCAATGATTGTTGAATTATCAAGTAAAATTTTTTTAAGCTTATGAAACAACATATGATGCAAAAATCTTAATAGAGTTGTTTAAAGCATACAACGAATAGATAGTATTTCTATTATTTAAGATTATATTCTTATTGAAAATACTCAAAGAAAGGCAGCCGGGCTTTCTTTCACTAACACGATAAAACTACTCGAACTGATATCCGTCGTTTGAGCTTATATGATGCCTACAAAGATTCCTTGTTGAGACTATCAAAACTCTGAAAGAGTTCATTACCATGGATCTTTTGAGGCTAGTTTTATGATGACTTAACTGAATTATCAATCTAACATTAAGTATATAAAAAAATCATGAAAATACCGAATTTCGATATAAAATTTTACCCAGAGTAAGATCTAATGATTCATAGAATATCCTGGAAGATCCAGTCGAAAAGCATGTTCCTTTGTCGAGATATGAAATTTTCAAAATTTCAGCAAAAAAAACAATCTTTTCGACTGAAACTTTGAAGATTTTCTATGGATCATTAGATCTATATATAAGCAAAATTTCACATCGAAATCTTTTTATTTTTTAGTATGTATTTAAACGTGGATCGAAAATTCAGTAAAACGATCCTAACTCAGTCTCAAAGATTCATGAGAACTCACCCATTTAGGTTTCTTCTAGTCTTATCAAGATTCCCATACGAATCCAAATATGAGCTCCGATGACGGATATCAGTTTATGTAGTTTCGTCGTACTAGATCAATTCTACTATATATGTAATGACTTTCGCATTATATATTTCAACTGCTCATGACATTTCCGATGAACACAACGAAAACTTTTTCTTTGTTTTTATAGAAGACAAAGTGAATGCACTATTAAAAGATCTTCAATCCAATACAACATATAACATTCAATTAGAAGCATATAAAAAACGAAATCATCCGACTTCTTCTCGTGGTATATTTATCATTTGTTCAAAAACAAAAAACAAAAGAAATGCCTTTGTTTTTTTATGTTTTAGACTCATATCTCGTTTCAAGTATATCAGAAATATTACCTCTTCACACTGGTGCACCACCGGATGCACCATCAAGTCTTCATCTTATTGCTTGTACAAATACTAATGCTCGTATTGCTTTTGATCCATTTATTGAACATAATGCTGAAATAATAACGTTACGTGTTCAATGTGAACCAATTTCTTCTGAAACACATGCAAGAGAAATTTCAATAGATATAACACCTGATTCAACAGAATTTATTTTATCAAATTTAATTGAAAGTACAGAATATAATGTAACTATTTATGCTATAACCGAAGAATATTTAAATGAAAACAAATGTCGTGATGTTTCACAATTACCAAAAAAATTAAAACCATCAGATTGGTTAGCAAAAAATAATTTATCATTTACAACCAGTGGATGCGAACCAGCAAGTAAATTGAATATTGTTCGAGCAACAACTGAAGCAATACAACTTCAATGGACATTACCAAAAGTTTATGGTTCAACAAAATATATTAGTCAAGTACTTCGTTGGAAATTAGAACATGGTGGTGAAGAACATACTGTAGAACTTGATGAAAATGTTACACATTATACAATACCTGGAAGATTACCATCAGGTTTATATAAAATTTCACTGGATTCATTTTTTAGCGTCAAAATAAATCTTGAAGATGATGATGATGAAGCAAGTCGAAAAGAAATCCATTTAACAACAATTCAATCAGTAATAGTACGTTTTCATCTACCAGTCGTATGTGAAGAACCAGAACTTTATGTAACGGGTTATACAAAAGACACTATTGATTTAACATGGAATAAACCAAATATGTTTAGTATTATTGATCATCCAGAAAAACTTAATGAACAACTTAAAATACATCGTCGATTACTTGGATATAGAGTTGATGTTGATGGACATACGCAAAATATATTAGAAGGAAATCAATGTAAATGCACATTGACCGAATGTAAACCAGGTGATGTTTATAAAGTTCAACTATTTGTACGAACTATTGTTCAAAATGAATATATGAATGATATGGTAAAACAGAAGTTTTGTTCAAATTTTTTGAAATTTTGTTCCTTTTTTTTTAAAGATAACTGATGATACAAATGACGTTAACGGACCAGATGAAACTCCATCAAAAAAATTACAGGCTCGAATGTTAAAGAAAGATGGTAAAATAAGAAAAGAATCTATTATTTTTCTCATAACTTTTTTTTTTTTATTTAGACTTTCTTCGTTCATTTCGAGCTAATTTTGAATTTAATCCTTATGAGTCAAATGAAAAGACAATGAGACAACGAAATGAAGTTCAATCATTAGGAAAAATAAATGTCCAATGGGAAGTATCAAATTCTAAAAATATTTCACATTTTATTCTTCAATGGCGTTCATCAAAAGATTTAAGTACTCAACATAAAATAGTAGCTGCTAATGAAACATCATCTACTATAGGTTAGTCAAAATTTTATATTTCAATTCTAAATATAACAAAATCTATTATTTGTTTCTTTTTGAAATATCTGTAGATTCATGTGATGAAAAATATTATTATGTTATTGAAATTATTATTGTTACTAATGATCAAAATAGACTTCAATATGAACCATTAACAATACCAATACCAGGTGAGCCAGATGCACCAAATTTATGGCTTGTTAAAACATCTGATACAAGTTTTGTTGTCGAATGGTCTGAACCTAAATCATATGGAATGCCTATTATTGGTTATCAATTATTTATCGAAGGTAAAAAGAAAGGTGATGTTATTCAAGTTAATTTACGTCGTGCTGAAATTCCATCACGTATTAATCGTACATATCAAGTTAATGTATGTGCCATGACAAATAATCCATTACGTTCACGTTCAATTATGTCTCAAACATTAACTGTTATAACAACACCAACAACAAGTCTTATTCCAACAATCTATTATAATAATGACGATGGAAGTCCAACTTCATTTGATCGTAATATAGCACGTATTATACCATTAAAAATTGAATCAATTAATGAAGAAAAACTTCATATTGATTGGACATCATTTTTACCTACAGCAGAAATACGTGCATATTATATTCATTATACTTGTTTAAATAATGGAGAAGTACAAACAATGAAAGTATCGAAACGATTTCGACATGCTGTAAGTTAAAGAATAATTTATAAGAAAGACGAAAATTTTTTCTTTTTTTTTTTCTTTTCAAGGTTTTACGTGGTTTACGACCAGGTTTTACTTATGGAATAATGATTTTGGCTGCTGATAAAAATGGTGGTGTTTTATATACATCAGATAAAACTACTGTTCAAATGAATGCTCCACCAAATGCTCCAATTGTTGCTATTAGGTAATTATACAAAAAACAAAACAAAATAAAACATCAATGAAGAAATATAACTTTGAAATTTGATTTTAGTGAACGTACAACTGATCATGTTAAACTTGAATGGCGTCCAGCAGCAAGTTATGGTGAAATTATAGTTGTTGGTTATCAAATCTTTGTTAATAATCGTTTAGCAGCCATACTAGCACATGATCAATTAACATATACATTAACAAATGGTACACCATGTGATATTTATACCGTATATGTACAAGCATTAAGTAATGATAAAAATATTGTTAGTCCAATGTCACGTGGTGTACAATTTTCATGGCCTGGAATTAAACCAGGTGCATTCAAACGTTTGAATGATGGACAAACAGGATCTATTATTGTTTCTTGGGAACATCCACAATTAGAAGATCAAATGGAAAAACTGATTGGATTTAAAGTATGAAAATGTTTAATGATGTAAAAGAATGAGTTTAACTTTAAAGAAATCGAAAATATCAAACGATTAAAAAGAAAAGATAGAAACGTATTTTTTTATTAGAATTGTCGCTTTGATCTTCTAAAGAGTAGATTATGAGAAACAAATCAACAATAAAGCATGTGTAAAGTCTTTACTACTAATTTATATCACTTAATTCTTATGGAATAACTCGTTTTATATGAATTTCAGACTGATTTGGTTTTGAGTTTTTTTCAGATGAGAAATTTTTATAGTACAATGTTGAATATAATCGAAAATCTACAATATCTAATACTTCTAGGACGCTTACTTACATACCTATGGAGTTATATAGTATAGAAGTTGAATTTTTTTTCTTTATAATCCTTTTGATGCATAATTTGAGTTATGAAAGCATCAATTCCTAGAACACGATGTCAAAGATGATATTTTTTTCATTATTAAGAATGTAGTTTCTGTAACTTGTTTATATCAAGTATGATCAGTTTCTTTTTGCTCTACCGAAGGCTGTAGTCAAAATTCATCACAATAGAAAATGAAGACTTCAGAATTAGTCGAAAATTCGCATTCTTTTATTTTTATTTTTCAATCTATTTCAAATGAGTTTGAGATTTGTGTTTTGCTTTAGACAAAACCTTACAACAGATTCCGAAAGAGTGTTCAAAAATGAGCATAGCTAGCATGAAGGATCGTTAAAAGTTCGGTAATTCTCAATGTTGGGTATACAGTTTTGTAAACAGAGATAAACTAATTCCTTGAATTTTTAATCGAAGTTTTGATTATTTTCAGTATTGAGAATTGCTAGATTTCTAGCGATTCTTCATATCAGTTGTGTTTAGTGTTGAACCTTGTTTACGAATCTATTCTTTACTTTTGTCTAATGCAAAATACACGTCTCAAAATCAGTTGGAATTGATCGAAAAAAACTAACAGATGCGAATTTTATTACTAATTCTATAAACTGATCATGATTATTATAAACAATAAGCAAGAACTACATTTTTAATAAGAAAAAAAAAATGCCATCTTTGACATAATATTCTAAGAAATATGATGCACCCCTAATTTGATTTCAATCTATGATATGAACTATGTCTTTATTCTATAGTTATGTTCTGAAAATCTTGCAACACATGCTGTACGTTTACATGGTGATTATGATGCTGCTACACATCAAGCAACAATTTATGATTTAAATAATGGAAAATATTGTCTTTGGCTTGAAATTCAAAGTGAAAATTATTGTGTACGTTCTCGACCAATAACAATTATGTCTGGTCGATTTAATTCATTACATAATCGTCTATCATCATCTGATTCAGCTAAATGTTTCATGAAAAAACAAAAACGGTAATATAATAATAATTAAAGAAAAAAAAAATTTAACTTTATTTTACTTTTACTTTGCTATAGATTTCGTTCACCAGTAGTAAACACTATTATGCCTCCACTTCGACACACTCAATATTCATAAATGAAAACAATCCGTTGATGTGATATTTTTATTGATAATCACTTGCCTTCTACTGATATTGATCTCATCTTGTGATGATTTTTTTGAATAAATGTATTTCAATCAAAAATAAAAAACAATATTTTAAAATTATCATCAATAAATTATTTTATTATTAATCTTCGTCTCAAAGAAATTTAGTTCATTATTGCATATTTATATTTTCTTAATCTGTTTCTTTCTTTTATATATGATCGTCATTATATATCTGTGTGATTACGGGCTTTCTTCTAATTGCATTTTTCAAAGAAAATAAAGGAATATCTCACGAAATTATGTTTCAGATTGAAAATAAACAAAATGAAAAACGTGTTAATTTTAGGTTTATTTATGAGGGTGTTTACATAATACATTATCACTTTTTCTTGATTTTTGAACTTCTCTTCCTAAGCCACCACTTATCATTCTCACGAGACCTCCTGATGACGTGATTAGAGAAATTTTTAAATATTTTATGGAGTATTTTCTACCAGTGTTCTGTGATCACACGTATAAGTCTTTAGTTCATTCATACTCTCAAGAATTGCTTTTTGTTCCTTTTTTTGATTTCATCCCATACTTATTAAGCATTTTAAAATGCTATCTACATTGAGAAGAAGAAATACAAATAACCGTAAAACTATCAATCTCTGGTAATACGCATAGCTCGTTTTTCAAATCCTTGTGTAAACTAACATAAGCACTTGGAAATGAGTTCTACAGTTGCTACAAACAATACATTCATATTGATAAGAACAATAATTAAAGATCAAAATAACTAACAAGCAACAAATGACGTGAAGATATATGTTTGTACCAATGAATCATATAAATCTAATTTTAGACATTGTGTATTAATATATCATGTAAATCAACAGTTTTGAAACAAAATTTTTTTTTTCATCGAATAATTTTCTTATTTTTTTATTCTATTTCTAAAGAGCTCATACAGATGGAAAAAAAACTTGCTTTCGAGAACATATAATAGTCTAAGATGATATAAATATTCATACTTGACAAACAAAGCTACTATTGATTAAAGTCATGTATCAATGCTTTAGGCGACTTATTCATACAAGTGGCGCACAAATCATTTCTCTAATAATTTCTCCTTTCAACGCTAAAACTATGAGTACAGATGTGCAGCGTTTTGTTGTTTTGCCCATCGGTTTCTCAAAACACATTTTTCATCGTTTCTTTCCTTCTGGAAACGATTTTCTTCTCCGATACTTTTTTTTTTTTGTTCTTGCCTTACTCGTTGTAGTACTGCTCTTACTTATTGTCGACTGCATATTCTACATAGTTACTATGACTAATCTATGTTTCTCCAATAGAAAAAGAAAAGAATTAATCATCTTTCACTAGCATAGATGAACTGGTAGCAACAATAAAAATTTTTAGACCATTTTTATTTTATTCAATGTAAATTTTTATTATTTTCAATATGCTTTTGTCATATTCTTAATATTAATTTCTAGAAAAGAAAAACGACCATAGTACAATGTAAAATTCTGTTTTTTTGCTTGAAAGTTATAGAAAAAATACGCGAAATTTGTAATACAGCTAAAATTATTGCTTTACTAAGTGCTGGGCATAGTGATTCTTTTGTTGAAATAGCTAAACAATATTGTCTTCATGTATGTCGTGCGTGTACCAAGCTATCCACATAAAAACAACATCATTATAGTTTGAATGATTTAGTTGGTATTGATGTTTTTGGTAAAACTGTTGGAATTGATGGTATTGAAATTTGTGCAATAAATATATTTTTAGGATTTGGTTGTAAAGTTTTAGCATATGATATGAAACCTCATGAAACAACTGCCAAAGAACAAGGTTTTCAATATGTTACAATGCATGAATTATACTTCGACAAAGTGATATCGGTAAGACAAAGAAATATAAATTATCTATATAAAAAACGAATTATTATTATTCTTTTAGTTTCACTTTATGCATCATTGAATAAATCAACCTATCATTTAATAAATCAAGAAGCTCTAGATAAAAATGAAACAAGGTGCAATGTCAATTAATACAAATCGTGGTGGTTTAGTCGATACAATAGCTCTTGTTGAGTACCTTAAATCAGGAAAAATACGAGAAGCTGTATTTGATGCATATGAACATGAAGATAAATACTTTTATCTAGATTTCAGTGAACGAGTATGATATGAAAAATTTTTTATAAAATTTTATTTTTAAAATTATTCTCTTTTTTGTTTTAGGTTATGAATGACGATACATTAGCACGTTTTATTTCAATATCAAATACAATTGTTACATCACATCAGGCATTTCATACAGAAGAAGGATTGAAAACAATTGCAGGATCAATTGTTCAAAGTTTTCTTGATTCTTTTCTAATGAATCAAAAAATGATACAGTAAAAGCTTAATTCCGTGAAAAATGGAAATTAAAACACATTCGTTTCTTAATAACTCTAAATAGTAGTTTAATTAGATAAATTAAAATGTGATTTATCAACATTTTCTTAATTGTGCTACTTAAACCATTAACATATTTATAAACGATCACAAAATTATTGTATAGCTAGTTCTATATTTAATAAAAGAACAACACGAATAAAAAGTTTTTCTATTAATCTTTTAATTGCTTTATGAAATATCCTAAAGACAATAATAACTTCAACGATAATAATTCATAAAATTTTATATTTTCCAGAAGCAAAACATTGTTCTGGTTTTCATCTTTATTCAATGTTTGATGAACGAAGAAAAAATAGAAGTATAATAGTTTTATTAGTCTATTTTTTATTGAAAAACAAAAAAGAAAATTCAATATTTTGTTTTATGGTATACCAGCTTCAAAACCAGCTAAGGCATTAAGTTCATGACAAAATGTAAGATAATCAATATCATCTCGTCCACCAAGACGAACACGAAATTTTTCTAATAAATTATCTTTTTCAAAACCATTTAATAAGGTTAATAAGGCAAGATCATTTAATACACGTAAAAATTGATTTTGTGTTACATGACCATTTCGAACTCGATCGAAATCTTCAAATAATGGAAATAATTGTATACGACGTGCATGAACCTTTTTATTTTGTTTTTAAATGAAATAAGTATTTCGATATCTTTTTTAAAGAAGAAACTTACACGTTCAGCTAATTTATGCATTACATTTTTTACACGATCTTCTTTATCAGGATCTAATTGAATAGTTGTTGCTTCTTTCAGTGCAACGTATTGTTCGGATTCGACAAGCGGATTTTTTTCAAGAAAATCTGTAGTAAATATAGATTCAATTTCATCACAGAATTTTCGATATTCAATTGCATTCGAATCAATCCGTGATCGATAACTAGAAAAATAAAATAAATAAAAATTATTTAATACAAAAAAAAAAACTTGAATTAAACAAATAAACATATCAACGAATTTTCAAATTTTACAAGATAATTTTATGTTTTTAGTTAATCATGTCGCTTTCAAGTTAATCTTGAAAACTGTTTACTAAAATCTTAGGACTGATTACTTCTTGATTGACATATACAGAACAAAAGAAACAAATCGTAGTTTCCTGATTAATACTCGCACTTATCTAGCTAGAACACATTGATCGGATCCGACCTACTTATCGGTTTCGCCTCTATAAGATGTAGTCATTTGTGAAATTTACTCTTGAACGACATTCAAACATATCATCTTTCATATACAATCTGACAACTATCAAATGATAAGAAAAAGTATAAATATCTGCAAGTTGTAGTAACAAATTTATCTATTTTAGACACAGTAGACATGTGTTAATTATATACCTATTGTCTTCAATTATCGATAAGATGATTTTTCTTTGTTCAACAAAAACGTACATTTGTAGAACCATTTTTCCATATCATTTCAATAAAGTGAGTTTAAAAGGTAGAAAATTTAATCTACTTTTATTGAAAGAATTTTGTTATAATTTTACAAAAGCAAATTAAATGACATTAAATGTTCTATTATTCTCGTTATTTTTTAAGGATGCTTAAATATCGTAGCCAGATCTTATGAAATTCATTTACAACTGAGATTATTCTCTTTACATTTTAAATATTATTAAAAAGAAAATTACTTCTATAATTTTGATCTTCTTTCCTTTTGTAACCCGTCGACAACTACTTGCTTTGAAATAATAATAGTCTAGAACTATTGTCAATAGATAATATCACTGACATATAGTTTGTCAAAACAGATCGGCACTATTGCAAAACAAGTTTTCTTCACCTGAACGGCTTGGTTATAATCAGTACTTTCACATTAAAAAAGATTAATATTAATAGTTTTCTATTCTGAACTTTAATGTTATTATAAGATCCTGTCGTGTTTTGAATTAATTAGTTTTACCTTAAAAAATCAGAATAATTTGATTCCTGTTTTTTCTATTGAAAATATTCTATTGGATAGGAAAAGATCCATCCTTTGAAGAACGCTAATAAGCAGAGTTTAGCCTGTAGAAAAAAGAACGATTGATGTTTACTACTATAGCTATGATGATAATGCTTTAAACTAGATGGCAAAAACATTTTCTTTTTAGTATTTCTTTCTGTCCTAGAATCGTTGCTATAGAAGAGTATCGTTCTGTCTTTATAGGTTCGTCAAGTATTTTTTTCCTTTTCTTTCCTTCTTCTTTCTACCAGAACAACTTTTTGTCGCTATGTTCTCTTCTTTCTATTTTTTACTCGTGGTATGCCACTTTCATCGTCACTCCTTTATTCCGCGTAGTTACAACAACTAGGCTATATTTCTCTCATAGAGGAGAAGAAAAAAAAGAGAAATCACTTCGCCGCATTGAAGTAAAAGAATCCAGAAGAAAAACAACATCTACAGGCCTGGTGATTCAGTTCAATTTGAGTAAAGTAAATTTCTTGTTTATTTAATATCTTATTCTTCTAATCATCTCGTTCTATTTTTCTTTGTTCTTTCTTTTGGTAATTACAGATGACACTACGTAAAATTCTTGTTTTCGATTCAAAAGCATACGATGAGAAAACATTTAAATTAGCATTAAAAGCATTAGATGGTCAAGATAAACTACGTTTTACATATCTTGAAAGTAAATTAACTGATGAAACAGTTGATGAAGTTGAAGGTTATGATGGTATTTGTATTTTTGTCAATGATGTTGCCAATGCTCATGTCTTAGACGCAATTCATGAAAAATATAATACGATCAAAATAATTGCCTTACGAAGTGCAGGATTTAATCATGTTGATTTAGAAAGAGCTGAAAAATATAATATGAAAGTTTGTCGTGTACCGCGATATTCACCATATGCTGTAGCTGAACATTCAGTTGCTCTTTTATTATCACTCAATCGTAATATGCATCATGCTTTCTTTCGAACAAAACAACATAATTTTAGTTTGGACGGTTTGGTTGGTGTTGATCTTTTTGGTAAAACTGTTGGTATTATTGGAACCGGTGGTATTGGTATGTGTGCAATTAATATATTTTTGGGTTTTGGCTGTAAAGTTTTAGCTTATGATGTTTTTCCAAATGAAAAAGCAGCACAAGAAAAAGGTTATGTATATACAACAATGGATGCATTACTTCGAGAAAGTGATATTGGTATGAGAAATAAATGTTTTTCATATTCTTTTCTTTTTTTTTTTTTGAAAATCATTTTCCAATTTTAGTTTCAATCTATGCACCATTACTTGATTCAACGTATCATTTAATAAATAAAGAAGCTTTGGATAAAATGAAACAAGGTGCAATGTTAATTAATACAAGTCGTGGTGGTTTAGTCGATACAAAAGCTCTTGTTGATTGCCTTAAATCAGGAAAATTACGAGGAGCTGCACTTGATGTATACGAAAATGAAAAAGAATATTTCTTCAATGATTATAGTCAACAAGTAAAACTTGTTTTTTTTTCTAAATCAATTTCAAATTTTTTATCTTTTAAAAAAATGTTGTGTTTTGTTTTAGGTTATGGAAGATGATACATTGGCACGTTTTATTTCAATGCCAAATACAATAGTCACATCACATCAAGCATTTCTAACAGAAGAAGCATTGAAAAATATAGCTGAAACAACTGTACAGAATTTACTTGACTTTTTCGATGGTAAACCGCTCAATGCAAATAATGAAGTGAAAGCACCACCAAAAATTGAACAAAAACAATAAAATTTTTAACTTACTAATCTTCAAGTAAAGACAATTCACTTTCTGTTAATTCTAATTGACATGGATTTATAGCACGGCGAAATGTATCAAAAGACATTCGACCGCAATTTAATTTGTCATGATCTTTAAGCCATTCGTAGAGTCGTATACGACGACGAAATACCTTTAAACAAAAATAAATATTTTTAGTTTGATGTCTTACATATAATAGTTTAATAAATATTTTTACTTGTCCTTTTATTTTTTGTAAAACATCTTGAATACTTGTTAATGGTTTTATTTCTGGTAAAATTCGTTGTTTATTTAAAGTTGTAAGTTCTTCTTGTAAAATATTATAACGAAGAGGTTCACGACGACGTGGTTGAATCCATTCAAGAAAACGACGATAATGAAAACCATTATCATCAATAAAAGCTGCTTCAACAGCTTCTAATTCTTTTTGTGTATAGGACAAACCAGATATGGCTAAACATTGACGAAATTGTGCTCGAGTTACATGACCACGATTGTGTCTAAAATCAATATTGTATAATAGTACATAACAAGAAAATGTATTTTTCTACGAAATATATGTTATAATGGTATCTATATTATTCGGTTTTGTGAAATGTCGCTACATGAGTTTCAACAATTAATACAATTTCCGCCGAAATTTTCCCAGTAACAAAAGAAAATGTCAAAATTCCGGTTTACCAATGAGCCGCAGTGTAATGAAGGGAGAATATCAATGGAACTCTATAATTTTGAGAAATTGCTCGATTTCTGACAGACTTTTCATAACAAAAAGTTTGTTAAAATTCAGATAGCGAATTTCCGGTTTATCATATTATTCTTGTTTTTATTTTCATCTAGAATATTGTAACTCGCGAGTACTCGATCTATGTATCTGCTCAGGTCAACTAATTAGTTGGCAAAATATTACAAGAATCGTATTTCTGATCTTGCCTTAATCTTATCAGAATAGATAGGAACTGTAAGAAAAATTCTCATCACTAAAGTCTAACATCAAATCCTATTATAAAGATTCTGAAATAATCCAGCCGTCCTATGAGATAGGGCTACATGAATTTTGGTTAGAACTTTCGGTCCGGGCTCAAATTCCTCTGACAAAATTCTATAAAAATTCGAAATCCTGCAAAAAGTTGGTAGCCTCCACAGTGCTGCTCAGTGGCATGGATTTTCAATCAAATGTAGTGCTGAGCAGTCTGTTTTGATCATATTGGTAGTGATCAGAGATGTTCATCGCGGCTCGAAATATGCCGCTGCCGCGCCGTGATGATTTAAAAAAAAATTCTTTCTTCCGCGCCGCGACGAATTTCCAAAAAGGATGCCGCTGCCGCGATGGTACTCGAAAAAAGTTTCGAATTTCATTGCTGTGAATGTATTGAAATACAATTCTTGTCACTAATCGATGAGATTCATTGAGTCTTAGAGTGTTACGTCTGTGGACACTCAATTTTTGTGCAAATTCATACAGTTTTTTCAATGTCTTCCAGAAATAAGGTGCCGCCGCCGCGCCGCGATGCTTTTTAAAAAAACTTTGCCGCTGCCGCGCCGCGATGGACATCTGTGGTAGTGATGCGATCTTTTAAGATAATCATTACTTGTATGCAATAAGTGCCAACGGAGTGCTCAAGAGGACTACCAAGTGATGCGCTTTTAATTAATGAACGTTTCTTTATAAATGTTCTCAACTTTATGATGTTTTTTTAATTACTTGTAAATTCCAAGCACTATGCCATCTTGCTGAGCATTATATTACTACTACACTAAGCACTATGGAATGTACCAAGTATTCATTAAAATAAGGCTTTTTATTAGGATTAATAAGAGGAATTTCGGATCAGATCGAAACTGTAACTAATTATGAGAATATATGCATACGGTGATAGGAAATATTATGTGACGATAAAATATTTGAAGAATCGTATACTGATCTGCAAGATCTTAAGTTTAACTTTTTTTTATATGGATTTAATATAATGATTAATGGTTCATGGTGAATATTTAGATATGAATTTATTGTTCTTAATCGAATAAATTCTTTACTTCAATCTTTTTATTGATTTACTTGTCAAATTGTTGAAATGGTTGAACAATCTCTATACGTCGTTGTTCACATTTTATTTTCCATGTTTGCATTGCTTGATGTAACTCTTCTTTATTGAATGGATCAATATTAGACCAATCGGGTGTACCAGTTGTTGGCATTTCATAAATATTTTGTGGTGAAACTTGAACATTTGGTGCTTTTTCCAAATCCGATAATGTAAAAACTATTGAATGAAATAAAATGAATAGTTATTCAATTTAATAAATAATCTTACATACCTGATTCAATATCTTGTTCAAATTGTTTCCATATGATAAGATCATGTTGATCTGGATGACGATAATGATCACATAAAGCATGCATTTGTGCTTCAGTTAATGGAACTCCATCAAGACCAGTTAGACCTAAACTAGCCAAAACACGAATAAATCGTGCTTGA